TTATAAAAAGACAATCGTGTGAACAATTGAACATTGAATCTGTTTGAAAAATTATTTTGGGTTTTGACAAATTTTCAAAGTTGCATGTTGTATATTAAGAGTGGTTACAGCAATGAAGAATAGTGAGTAATGGATGGTGAGTAATGAGCAGTGAGTAACGAGCAGTGAGTAATAAGCAATGTGTAGTATGTAATGGGTATTGTTATTGTGTCTGATGTAAAGTGTATTGTATATTGTTTATGGTGTAAGTGTATTGTGCATTGTATTATGTAAAATACGTAATGAGCAATGGGCAATGAGTATGTAACAAATAGATGATTTTATTCATGATTTGTCACATAGTTGCTACACCTAGTATTTCTTAGAAAATATCTTCAATCATGGCATAAAAATGAGATTCAATCAAGAATCCTTGAGTAGTGATTGTGAATTTCATGTGAACTTAAAACAATAAACAAAATCACTTCAAATGTTAAGTTAAGACAGCAATGCAGTCTTAAAGTAAAATAAATGAAAGTAATGTGATAATAAATGAAATAAGTAATGTGATAATAAACGAAGTAAATAATGTCATAATAAATGAAATAAATAATGTCATAATAAATGAAATAAATAATGCCATAATAAACGAAATTACTAAATCTAACAAAGTATGTTTACATGTATCATAAAGTAGTGTAACAAGACAGTGATTTTCTTGAAATCTTTGCTTTTCATCAAAGAAAGAATTAATGCTTTGCCTTTCTTTATTTTTCAATTTTATTATTAATTTCAAATTAAGTATATACACTTATGCGTTTACTGTCAATTTATGCAGAGTAACAAATATTATGTAAGATATCAGTGGTACACAAAGAGTAAACCAAATCCTCAACATTGTGCAAAAATACGTAAGGGTTGCATTCAAGGAAAAGTGACGCTAGACTTTATGCTCTAATCATACACACACCTGTTCACATACTATAGTATACATATACCTCATACGGTGGACACTCATGCGAAATACGAATGACGAGTGAATATTAAAATAACAAATATTATGCAAGATATCAGTGATACACAAAGAGTAAACCAAATCCTCAACATTGTGCAAAAATACGTAAGGGTTGCATTCAAGGAAAGTGACGCTAGACTTTATACTCTAATCATACATACACCTGTTCACATACTATAGTATACATATACCTCATACGGTGGACACTCATGCGAAATACGAATAACAAGTGAATATCAAAATAAATATTATGCAAGATATCAGTGATACACAAAGAGTAAACCAAATCCTCAACATTGTGCAAAAATACGTAAGGGTTGCATTCAAGGAAAGTGACGCTAGACTTTGTACTCTAATCTTTCATATAAGTGTGCACATACATGTATACTTCACACTGTGAACACTCATGTGAAATACGAATGACAAGTGAATATTCTCACACACAACGTCCACGTGTTAGTGCATATATACCGTGCACCATTTTTCGAAGACAACAGTTACAAAATATCATCCGTGTTTATAACTTTAATTACATCGATGTTACATCAGTTGTGAACCAATTTCATGCAAGATAAAAGAACGGATTCAAAGGAACATGTCGCACCGCACGTAAGCACCAGAAACGCTTTACTCTTTGATTATATCGTTTTGCACTTTCTTATTGCTCGTTGCATCACACAATTTCGCACACATCGCAAGGTGTTATTTTGTTCGCGATAACATAATTTATAGCCGCGGTCGCGATTTAGCTGCGCGAAGGGAAATGCGCATTTTTTATGAAATTTGAGAAGGTACGTGATTTGAAATCGAATAGGTTTGGTTTACAGGAATTTTTAGTCTTTTTGGTATTCGAAGAATGTGGCGATTTCAGTTGCAATTTGTTAATTATAATAAATGTAGTGTTATTATTTTCAATTTGGTTTGATATGTTGTCTGATACAAATATCAATGGAATATTTAATTCAATAATTAAATAATTTTATGTGCAACATTGAATGATTTAATGATTTAATGTACAATATTGAATAATTTAATATTTCATATACAAAAGTAATTTAATGTACCTAATTAAATAACACACTTCATCTACATATTTTACTTCACAATAATAAATATGTGATTCTCGTAAAATTATGTACTGATCAAAATTTCCATAAAAGAGTTATAAATATAAATTTTCATCTTCATGACAAGTAACAGTGAGAGTGTTTGATTAAAACGTCAAGAATAATAATAGTAAACCAAACGTTAATAAACGAAACACGATTAAGTGAATAAACTAAATATAATCAGTAAAGATTGAAAAAAATTTGATAAATTTTAATTACCGTTGATAAAATTTATCGACTGTTTTTAAAGAATATTCTCTTGAAAAACAAATTAAGCTTTTAATTTCTAATTTTCTTTTTCCAGTGGTATGTTTACTTAATATAAGAGTACTTATAATTCCAAATACTATCTGTTTCTTTTATGAATTAATCGAATTGTGAATGCTACAAATAATATTAAACAAGAAAAGTGTAATTTAATGCATAAATTCCTCACTCGACTACAAAAGCTCGAAAGACCCAAATGACCGGAAGAAATAATTTTTGACAACGGTCGCCTACGTCATTACTTTTTCCTCGCGAAGCATCCGCAAAAATAGTTTCGGCCGTGAGCGTAATCGTACATCCGGTTCGTTTACCGTGAGAATGCTCGTGTGCCTGTGTCATACAACCTACAGGTAGCGATGGGTTAGTAATCGCTTCGAGTCATTCCACCACTAACCTACCGACGTATAATGCACGTTTACTTTGAATTCACTCGTTGCACCCAAAGGGTGACTCACTTGATTTAATATAGTAATTTGAAAACAGTATTTTTTGACTAAATGGTGTTGGGTATAAACGACGACTTCGGTAGATATTGGAAGTAGACGGATTTTCAAATTTCTAAATTCTCAAATTTCCAAATTCCCAAATTAGCAATTTCCCAAATTCCCAAATTTCCAAATTTCCCAAATTCCCAAATTCCAAATTTCCCAAATTTCCCAAATTTCCCAAATTCTCTCCCAAATTTCCCAAATTCTCAAATTCCCAAATTCCCAAATTCCCAATTTCCCAAATTCCACCACCCCCCAATTACAAAACCCTCAAATTCCAAAACCCCCCAATTCCAAACTCCCCAAATTCCAAAACTCCCAAATTCCAAAACCCCCAAATTCCAAAACTTCCAAATTCCAAAACCCCCCAATTCCCAAGCCCCCAAATTCCAAAACCCCCAAATTCCAAAACCCCCCAATTCCAAACTCCCCAAATTCCAAAACTCCCAAATTCCAAAACTCCCAAATTCCAAAACTCCCAAATTCCAAAACTCCCAAATTCCAAAACTCCCAAATTCCAAAACTCCCAAATTCCAAAACTCCCAAATTCCAAAACTCCCAAATTCCAAAACTCCCAAATTCCAAAACTCCCAAATTCCAAAACTCCCAAATTCCAAAACTCCCAAATTCCAAAACTCCCAAATTCCAAAACTCCCAAATTCCAAAACTCCCAAATTCCAAAACTCCCAAATTCCAAAACTCCCAAATTCCAAAACTCCCAAATTCCAAAACTCCCAAATTCCAAAACTCCCAAATTCCAAAACTCCCAAATTCCAAAACTCCCAAATTCCAAAACTCCCAAATTCCAAAACTCCCAAATTCCAAAACTCCCAAATTCTAAAACCCCCCAATTCCCAACCCCCCAAATTCCAAAAGCCCCAAGTTCCCAAATCCCCAAATTCCCAAATTCCCAAATTCCCAAATCCCCAAATCCCCAAGTTCCCAAATTTCCAAATTAATATTGTAACTAAATAATTTCTCAAATATGTTCGATTCCATTGCGCATCCCATTGCGCATCAGAATTGTCAGACATAGTCTTGTGAAAGAAAAATTAATCAAGGATGTACTCTCACATAAATGCTCATTGATTAATTTCATTTGAAATTAATGATTACGAGTTTGCGATTGCTAATTTTTCTATTGCTCATAATATTAGCATACATTAGTTCTCTTTTATTCAAACAAGCATGATATAATCAGTGTCTCGTGAAAGATCAAGGTTTTCAAGATTTCGAAACCTGCGAAGTTTTTTCATTTTGAATTATAGTTAACGCGAGTCGAGATTTTCATTATACAAATATGTAGATATTCAAAGTGATTTGAGATCCCTGTCATATAGATATGACACTGGTTTGTTTTACATAAGATTAATGTTTGCATTTTGAAAATAATGATGACTTATTGTACTCAGAGAATCTCACAATTTGCAAATATGTCACTATTTGTAAATATTTATAAATAAATTGTGATAAACATTCTCTTACTGTTTTAATTAATAGTTGATTACAGATTTTAGTATTTATCACTCGCCTTTGCGCATAAATTGCATTGTTCTCGCATTCAAATAATCTCGAACATCCTCTGCACTCGAATCTGAAGATCAAAATGGAACGGAATGACTCATAAAAAATCGTCGAGCAATGAAGCGTTCATAAAGAATTAAAACATCTCAAACATTTATATTTGAAATTCGACAATAAAAGTGATATCACTATCTTTCTCGAATTTTAAGAATATGTGAGGATACCTGAGTCACTGTAAATATACAGAATAGAAATTTTCGTCACGTATGTTTAAAGTGACTCAAAATTTTTACCATACATTCGAAGTGTGCATGTACATTATATACTGGGTGTCTGTAAACTTTCATTGCAAGTAATTTTACCTCTCTGAGAATTATTATTAAAATTTCTTTACTGGAATTTTGTATTCTTGCTGCAAATTATTTAACTCCAAAGACAACCATTACATTTGCAAATGGGTTAAATATTTGGCTTACCATTTTTTAATTATGCGACTCAATAATTTATTCCCTGACTTAAGATATGTAAACAATATTTCTTTAACAACCATGTTTAAGCACTTAAAGTAGCAATTTTGAGGATAAATATGTAACATCTGTAAACAAAGCGAAATTTTACCTTTGTCTTACTTCTGCGACGTATTCCTTCAAGGCTGGAAAACGTGCAACAATTGAAAAGTAACTGCTATTTTTCCATCCCGTCTGAAAAAAAACGTAGTACTCAATGTAGAAATCAAAGCAAACACCTGTTGCCTATTTGTTTTGCTAATTACAAGACTTCTTTTCTGTCGACATCTCGTTATCATGAAAATTTGTAATGTCACGTCTTACGAACGCAGTTTCATCAAAATATGCGAAATCATTTGTAAATTTATTTGCGGAGTTCACAAGAATTCGTTGCGAAAACGTTTCTCATTTGATACTTGGTCCGATGGAGAAAGGACTCGTATTTTTGTTGCACGCGAAACGGATACAGCAACTGCTAACAAAGTTAATAGAATTTTCTACATAAGACGATTCACTTTTACTTGTCGATATTTTCTTGATCGAGCCTCAAATAGAGTTGGGTTTTTCTGAACTTTGATATCGAGCTTCAAATAAGTTTCACAACGTTGATAAGATTTCTTAAACAATGTGTAACAAGTTCGATTTGATTGGGATTTTCCGTCGCGCTTTCAATTACAGTGTGTTATTATTTTTTATTGTAAATTAATAGTGTTATTTTGACTAAACTTTAGTTCGGAGTATACGATTTTTTGTTGTCTAGTCTTTAAGAATGCAGTGGTTAAAAAGTTATGTAAATTTCAACTTGGGCTCTTTTGGCGTATTTGGCGACGCCATATTGGTTTTTGCGCATGCGCCGTCAATTGGGTAAAGAATAAAAATGTTGAAACATGTTCTTCTAATCACTAATTGTAAACAGATGCCAGTTTTTTAAATAAACGCTCACTTTAACGCTCATAAATTCATAATTAAAAGATAGAATTCAATATGGCGTGACACACATGTTAAATAAACTAAAAATGTTCTTTACATACAAACAATGCTTTAATTGTAGTACTCCCATCATCAAAACTTGCATTTTTACATTCTATATATCAAAAACTCTTCGATAATAAAAAAGAAGTCAATTTTTATTATTTGAATAATTCCCAAGAGCAACCGTAACAAAAACATAATGTCGTCCTTCAACACCTTATTATCGGAATTGCAGCATAAGACGTAATGTCAGTCAACTATTACATCGGATTGAGATAAATTTTATCAATACCGTCGAATATCACCAGCGAAGACGCAAATATAAAGAAGCATTGAATCAGCCCATTCTTTCGTTTATCTGAAATTACCTCGTAAAACCTAAGCCGAGCAAAACTGCGATTAGACATTTTTCCGGAAACGGAATGTTGCTTGCGCAAGTTCATCGAAATTTTAGTTGGTATCACGAAACACAGATACAACCGGATACTCCCATCACCGTATTCCATTGTGTTCCAGTCACCGATGCATACCTTTCGATGAGTAATTGCAGGAATAATCACGACAACGCGAGTCGAATCTTGTTCACGCTTGTCCCCCGGTTGGACGCAGGTAAACGCGTAAAATTCGTGACAGCATGACGAGCGTCACGTATTTTCGTCCACTGTTTTTCTGCCGTATCAATCCATGATGGAATTATCAGACGACCTCGAAACGTTCGATCGGCTTCTTCGAGATGTTCTGTCGGATGCAGGAGTCAAGATTCAACTCCCGGATGAAGTCGAGATTATCGATAAAGTTATCGATAACTGACGATAGAATGGGTATTTTCGTTCGATGGTATCGTTAAGATATGGATTACTGTGATAACAAGTATGTGGCAACCGATTTCTAAATTTTGCAATTTATCAAAATTTGAAGTCTCGAGAGGCTTCACGAGTTTTTAATTTTCTCGTCTTGAGAAATTCACAAATTTTGCCGCTCCACGGTTTCAAATGTGAAGTTTCAATTTTCTATGAATTTTCAAACTCTATAAATTTATAAACTTTCTTCAAATTTGTTTGAAGTTTTCAAATTTCCACATTTGCAAACTTCTAACTTTTCAAATTCCCACATTTGCAAACTTCTAACTTTTCAAATTCCCACATTTGCAAACTTCTAAGTTTTCAAAATCCCACATTTGCAAACTTCTAAGCTTTCAAATTCCCGCATTTGCAAACTTCTAAGTTTTCAAATACTTCTGCCAAGTTTTCGAAATCGCCGAGTTTGAAGATGTACAAATTTAAGATTGAGAATATTTCACTTCGAGAAGTCGAAAATATGAGTTTCTGGGTCAAGTACTCCTTTAGCCAACGCAGTCTTCATCGACCAATGACTTTCTTACTCAAACTTGCACGACACCCATGCATTTCTCACGGAATAAAAAAATAAAAAAAGGGCGAGGATCTAAAATTTGTCCATCGGAAGATCTCGAATCAAAGATAGCCTTCGATCACGTTCGATAACTTCCCAAATCCGTCAATATCATTTATTTGCAGATCCATCGCACGGTAGATACGGATTAAAATAAAATATCACCGTTATCAGTGCTACCGTTAAGTTATCCAAAGTGTAACAAGCATGGAAATTAACGTAGGGTTGACTTTCACGGAACAATGAAAACAGCTTTATCGTGCAATAAAACGATCTTCATCTAACGTATCATTTTTTTAAATGGCGAAGATAAGAGAGTTCGTGATAAACGTGGACAGAAAAAAACAAAAACGTGTATTGTCAATAATTATCGAGGATGACGTGATCTTGATCATGATGAATTTTTTGACAGCGAAATGTGGAAACAAAGACTCGATCTCTCAAAAATGGAATAACTCGAACTTTTGTTATCAGAATTTCATTGGTGATATTATTCGACCTTGTAGCCATTCCACGTCGTATAATTAAACTTCTATGACAATAAGCAACTAAAACGTGACTGTAAACAAAATTTGTGATCACGGGATGTTGTCGAAAAAATTAGTCATCTTAAGTAAAAATATTTTTATAACATAAATTTCTTATATCTGTAACAAAAAATTTTCGTAAATTTTTATTGCAAATTTTTGCATTTAAACTTATTTTTTAAATTTAAACAACACTCAGTGATCAGAAATAAATAGCGTTAATTATCGATATAATTAGTCATTGTATCGATTCATTGTTTGCTTAAAATGCACGTGGAATTGGACATAGGAAAATTTACGTGATCCATCGAATGACGTGAAACGTCGATTATCGATCTTTTACAATATTTTTATCGAAATCGATGAATTAGAGATATGTAATATACGATTGTATTTCGAAAGAAAAAATTGATGTCTGCCTTCCGGTCTATCAAAATTTTTATTCTTTTGTTTAAAATGTCTTCAGAGTTTGTTGAAATGTAACAAAAATTAGGAAGCAGTTGACGAATCGTTAGACGGTTATTTGCGTCGAAATTCTTCTCTTAAATCATCATCCAGAAAAATAAATTGAGTAACACCCACGTAAGTGGCAGAAACGAGTGCGTTGAAAAAAAACCACCAAGTTGGCCAATATCCGGTCGGCGGGCGAGCTCGTTTGGAAATTTGAAGGCCTTACTCTGACTTCGGATCCAAACGCCACGCAATCAACCATATATCTTCAGAACATATACATACGCTAGGGTGATATTTGATCAAACATATTTTTCCATTTTTTCAACGCAAATTCGCACTTATGAGCAAATAATATCACGCTTTTTATTTAAATATTAATTCTGTGAGATATTTAGGAATTTTGGAATTGCAGACTTTGGAAATCTGAACGTTTAAAAATTTGTAGAATTTAAACCTAAAAGTTTGCAAACTTTAAAAATAAACTTTGAGAAGTTTTAAAATTCAAATATCGTTCGAAATTGAAGAGTGGGAGTACATAAGACGATAAGACGTTTCTCACGGTCATAGCAGAGTACGTGGGTGAGGTTACGTGCCCTTCGTTACCACCAATTGTTTAAAACGTGTCTCCCGCGGTTACTAAGGAACGTTAAGGTAGGTCAAGGGCGCAGCATTTATGAGAAAAGAATACGTATGTACGTATTTCAAATTCTACGCGAACATTTACTCATCAGCCTTCAAACTTGAAAAATGCTCAACTAACTGCATACGATGATTAATCTAAAGAACTTTTATACAGCGACCATATTTGGTTATGTTCATGTACAGTGTATAGACACCATGTTGTTTCCATTACGAAACGTAGCTCGTTTATAAGCAGATCATTTTACTACGGATTTTCAATTCATATTACGAGCTAATAACATTGGATGATGCAGAAATAATTAATGTTACGAACAGTCCGTTGTGAATGTATAAAATATTTACATGCACGACCGCGTGTCGCGGTTTAGGATGCCCACGTACGCACTGATGTGGCCAGTAACGCATCTCTAAATTATAAGACCCCATTTTATGCTCCGAAAAGGCAACACTCCTTATATTGCATTCTACCGTTATTCAGCAATTTTGTATCGTGTTGTATCATCGGTGTAGATTAAATATAAATGAAAAGCGTATTACTAAACACGTAGAAGCTAGGTACAAAACTGCTGAATCAGGAACGTGACCGATATGAACAGAAAAAAATGTTCGCACTACGAATGTTACAGTATAATTTTGACGCGCGATGCGAGTGTTAACTTGATTTAGGTATGCGAGAAAAAATATAATTTCTTTCGTCACGCACGAAACGTAACGTTTCAGACATTATAAAAAAATGTAGAAAAGAAATAACTCACCGCAGGAATTCTTCTAAAATTTCAATCGCGTTTTCACGAACACGAAGCACCCATTCATGCGATACCCTTAGGCCGACACTGGAGATCTCGAACTGCGCATGCGCGTACGTTCTCCCCACCCCGCGGCGCACTTACCGATTCTGTCGGATTAATCCGAGGCGGCGACCGTAGCCTCAGTCGTTTGCTGCACAATGGCGCGATCGGTCTGTGCTTGCTTGTTCTGTTGCCGCCGTCGTTTCTGAGCGGAGGGCCGGCCCAAAACGTTGGACCGTCCGTTGCGCGGGATACAAATCGCTCCGCACAGTCTCTCCCTCGTTCGCAACCGCTCAGCTTTTTACGTTTCGCCGTTTCTCCGAAGTTGTTCTGTCCTCCGGGCCGCACAACGAAAGGGAAACAACGCGACGACTGGTCGGAACACGAATCGCGAGAACACTACCAACATCCATCCTGGTAGATCCAACGGAAAGAAGACCAGGTTTTATCCGACGCGCGCGCTATTCGAAAAAGCAGCACACCAGAGGTTCGCTTTTCGAGCAGACGGCGGTTTATCAACAACGTATTTGGGGGAAACTCGGTTACGTCTGGCTCCATCCCAGCCTCCCGTTCAGGAACGTACGGCAGCAAGAACATTGTAAAGGTAATCATTGTTCATCCTGGTGTACGTTCTACCGAATTGTACTTTGAAAACACAAACGTGTTTGGAGTGAGTGCGCGTATGCGTATTTTGCGTATCAGCCTCGCTACGAGTACAGTGCAAAGTGCAGTGATTATTACTGACACGTACCAGATCGATGTCAAGCTCTTCGTTTATTTTGTTTGGTGCGCTTGCCCTGACATAGATGCACCCCTTTCAGGCATTTCTTTTTATAATTTAAAATTTTGTAAGATTCGAATCATTTTGAATCGCCGACTAACGGTCGAAAGAGTATGTTGTTGTCATCGTTGGTAATTTATTCTTCGTTTACCGGAAGTTACTTAAAAGGCCGGTTAGATCCGTGGTTGTAAAGGGGCTACGTGAACAAATGTATTAGGCAATTTATTTCGCTGTATTGCGTCATGTTTGCGCGCTATTAATGCAACCGGTGCCCGCAATATCGCCGTGACAACTGTGGAACTCCGCCATTTTGACCTTACCGAAGGATATCTGCTATCTGCTTGGTTGTGTGCGTGCACACGCGTTTCAACACGCGCTACCGTGTGGACGCAATCCTTCACCAATTCCAAGCTAGCTATTTCGTCAGATTCTCGTTCATTCAATAAATGTGGATAGAGAACACTCACTAGTACCAGTTACAGGACTCCGCACCTGCCGCTACGATGTTTACTTGATATTTAAACAATTTGAGTGATCGAAAATAAGTAGTGGATTGCTGTAGATCTTCCAGTTGAAATGATAAGTTAGAATCGCGCTCTTAGCTGGACTATCTTTTGAGGAACCAACTAGGGGGCGAGTGAGTACTGTCACGTATGCTTGGGTGTAATGTAGGCTTTCTTTGCATAAGGACTGGTTTACCGACACCATTAAGGTTCATTCAATTTTGGAGAGGTTCTTAAATTTTTTAATTTTTAAATTCGAATATTTTCATAACTTTAAATATTCAAATCCAAACATTCCTAATTTTTAAATTAAAAAATTTCTTTATTTTGAATGTCGAAATTTAGAAATTACTATACTTTGAAATTCTTAAATTTTCAATTCAAGTTTCATAATTTACAAATCAGTTTAATATTCCTATATTTTTAAACTCCAAAGTTATTCCAAAATTTATTAACCAGTACTTAACAAATTATTGGGTCTTTTTCCCGTTCAACGTCATTCTTCCCAGGAAAGTCTTCCGTACTCGCTTTTATACGTCCCTGATCTTTGGAACGACAAGAGTTTTGCGCAAGTGCGTAGATATCGTAATGGCGCGATTTCGCGAATATTGATAGCCGGGATTTGCGCTAACGATAAAATCGAGCGATCGAGTCGGCTTTGAAATTTAAATTTCTTCGAGCTTTGAATCATTCTCTCTTGAAAGTTAACCTTGCCATATTATTTGATAACGTAATGAAATACTTTGTGACATGGGCGATAAACATGATTGGTAACATGTAACTTTTTTCTTAATTTCATACTCGTAATTTACATGCGGCAAATCTCACAGTCAGATTGCATACCACCAAGGACGTTGAATTTACATATCGCGCATATATGCACATACATGTATATTTCCAAAGTGACGCAATTAAAAGAAGTGTATTTTCCAGGTGAAGCAAAAGACTGATATGAGAACAATTAGCTAATAAACCGATGTTAAATACACCTTACATATAACAAATTTTTATAAGATAAAAATACTTAATTTTTCATAAAATATTATGGTATCCTCAGAAGCAAATAGTATAAATATATACTTGAAACATTCATAAGCGGAATGCGAAGTTGTAGGTTGCACGCGACAAGGTGTAAATATACAGGAAAATTTCTTGTGCAATTAGTTGCATTAATAATGGTCTCACGATTTTCTTGCATCACGTTTTACAATTTTTCTGCGACTTCCTCAGCCTCTTTGACTGGGTAGAGCGGTCGGCGCAACGACCGCCTTACAACGATATCCCTGACCTTACGGTGTCCCCTTCTCTATGGAAATTGCGCACAAGGCAGGACGAGTGTCGAAACACCGTCTTTTGAAATTGTCCGTGAATCACATAGAGTTAATGAACGGAACTCTCGTCATTCGAATCCTATTACGAATACGTATAATTGACTTAAAATTACATGACACTATTCTGCTGTGGCCTCGACTCATATAATATTCTTTCAAACTTTATATTTATACAATTATGTAGTTTAAAAATTACAGACTTAACCTTTAAATTATAGAGACTATTTTTGTAACATAAATGATAGGTTATTAGCGACTCTATAAAAAAACGTCTTAAGGTGCATTTTAATGTTTTATATGATTCTTATATGTATCATTTAATTAATTTATTTTATTTTTATCTGTTACAGAACTTATACATAAAAGTGACCGACTTGTCACCTACAAAGATCTCCGTCCAAGGACCCAGCGGTAGCATCAAGCAACACTGCGTGGGCCCTCGCACAAGTGATATTCTTACCTATGATTAATTATCAACTATACACGAATTTATACCGGTAGAGCTTATAAGCATCAAGAAATCCGTTAAAGATCGATAACTGTCGCAGCTGCCGTGTGGTAATCTTGTGACGTGAAGTGTGTTCAAAGATTTTTCTCCTTTAACGATCCACCGACAATAATAAGGATTACAAAACTGTTTTCAAACTCGAAAGTGAGGACACGTGTTGTATTACACAATTAAAACATAACTTTATTGAAGAAGTACAAGGAGGCAGTAGTGTCGCGAGTGCGGTAAACGGTGCGTGTGTGAAAGCATCACAATATGAGAGTGACAGCCGCCGTTAGGCAGCATCCTCTTCATCTGCAAGTGACTCGTACCAACAATGGAAAGTTTTTGGTCAGTCCGAACAGTAGTCAGGATATTAGTCAACAACCGACGAGCGACGAAACGAACTCGGTGCCGGCAGTTGTCTTCCCTAGTTATGAACCGTTGCCCACCGATCATCATGGACCCACCATACTTGGCGATCGGTATCTGCTTCTTGGTCCGGCCGAGGGGAGCGCTTTATACCGGTGTGTTGACGTTCACACCGGCAAACAAATCGTCGCAAAGGTGAGTCTGAGCTTTTTTCTTTTCGAACCATCGTATTTTGTATCGGTTTAGTGGGGTAAACCGATTTGCGGTTTGTATCGGTATGAGTGGGGTGTAGAATACGATAGGTAATCGTGTGCGTCAATTGTGTTTCAAATTTCGCGGGTGAATTAAGCAGTGGCGGAAACGCTTCGTTTGGAGAGAATGAAATACATATTTCTGCACCTTCCGCACGATTTAAAATTTATTTATAATTCGTTTTTTAACCTTTTTATAGTAACGTAGGCAATTAAAGGTATTATTTATAACAGTATAAATATGTAATTTATTTTATTTGAAGAAATGAACATTAAAATTTAGTAAAATATATGTGCTAGTGAAATTTTATAATATAAATTCTGTTTCATCAGAGATTTTTTGTTGAATTTATAGCAACTACATGTAAATCTGCTGTACACGACAAAAATCTCCTTTTGAGTTGCTGTGCATACTCTACACGCCTCGCATTCTGAAGGGCTTAAATGCTATTTTTTTAACAACTTGAAAAAGATAAATGTATATACTTTTAAATAAATGTTACATTACTTTTACATCTGTATTTTTATTACCATCTAATACATATAAAGAAACAATTTTAGTTGAAAATATTTAGTCTGCATAAATGTCTTGCATTTTTAATTTAAAATATCATAAGATTCTTCTCGTTACAACATCCTGTTCTATAATTTCACATAATTCATATAAAATAATTTTTTTCGTCAAGTTTTATTGAATGAAATATAATTTAGAATAACCTTTAACTTTGTTAGTCAACAAAGATACAAAAGAAAAAGAATTGTAGCCAGCAATTACGAAATGTTTCGTCTTTATCCTTGATAGAGCAAACGCATCCTGCCTCCAGGATATGTGTCGCGTAAGTCTCGAGGCAGGTGTGCAACAACGAGCAGAACCACGTCCAATAAAAGTTACATGGTGTATTGATGGAAATCACCTTTCTAAACTGTCGCCTTAAGGCTTTTTCGTTCGTATTCGGGTCGAAGCGAACGGGTTCGCGTTATCGGTCGACGCCACCGACGTAACCCGGATGGACGAAAAATCCTCCTTCGTTTAACCCGAACGCGTGACTCTTGTCATTTGTTTCTTGTTTACGATAATAATACACGCTACATCCGTGTTAATCACAACGCGTAAACATTTCTTGCTGACGTTTTGTCGGACGATTGCTTAACCGTTTGAAATCGGAAGTCATTCTTTCTGCTCAACCGATATCAGCTTCTTCCTTATTGAAATTGAAGAGAAATCGATTCTCCGCGACGCGTCTAATTCAATTACTTTATTCTGCGTCATTCCTCTTTTAGCACCGGAAATATAGCATCATCGTAAAGGTGATATGGTCTGATAAAATGATACAGGTCAGATTATATGCAGTATAGAGTTTCAAGTGATAAAGATTATTAATTTAATATAGTTTAATATTACTGGAATAACTGTCAGTCCATGAAGGGTGTATTGTGAAGAATTTGAACCAAACTTTTTCTTTGAATATGTCTTAATAGCATTTTCTAAGAATATATCATATATTATGGACATATTACCTATACCTTGATATTTAATTAACAAAATGACAAGTTATGATTACAAATTAATCGTAAAATAATGACATGACTTCGCAAATAAAACTTTTGTTATTTATTTCGAGAAACAAATATTAATCGAAGTATGTTGAGTGAGTAGCGATATGTAACGCGCATGCGCAGTAATGCGATACACGACGCATGCGCATTAAGTGTCTCTATTCACGAAACAATAATTTCAAATTACTTAAAGGATTATGCTTTTACTGATATCCGGAAGTTACACTTTTCAGAGCATGTCTGCACAGGGTTTAGGTTAGAATCTTAGAACAAAAAGTAGATCTTCTTGGTATCCGGTGTTTCTTCTGGCGTGACCAGCAACCGTTATTTCCATTGTCATCGCAATCGTAGGATTCATTGGTAGGAACGTGCGTGCCGTGTCATTCTATGAGAAAAGTTCTACAGAATGTTGTTGCGTCAACCTTCACCGCATTTCTCGCAATTAAATCCTGCAGTTGTTACATGTCTAATAAACTGCTGTTTTAAGAATGCTAACTTTTAATGTTGCAATATACTTCGAAATCTAAATAGATTAAATATTACATTAGCATGAGATTAAGAAATTTAGACATTTTTGTAATGTAAAAATTTCAACATTTGAGGATTTGTCTCACATTATGTACATAAAGTTTAGTGTTATTTGTCTTGAGAATTTAATTGATACATTTTCTGTTGAGAACCACTTAATACATCTTGCATTGTAACTGGATGGTGCGGTCATTGCTTCCGCCATTTAAAATCTTTGAAGTTGTTGACGTAACTTTGCTATAATTTGAAGTAATTTGCTCCAAGTTTTCGTACATTCCATACTGCACAAACAATCTTCCGGTACTTTTTATAAAAACGATGTGCCTTTAAGAAATTAAATATATTTCTAAAAAGTATGAATAATTATATCTTTGTATATATTGACGTTGACTTAGCTTCAAGTAAAACGATGATATATAATTCAATATTCCTATCAGTCCATTATAACTTAACGACATAGTAAATGTTAGTAATTACTGTAACAGAAAACGAAGTAAGGAGAGTAAATTAATTTAAATAGTAAGATAAGGTTCATAGCCACTATAACTCATAATAACGGCGACGATCGTTGAAGGATTAGATAAGAAGGCATCGCAGCTGTTAAATAATTAATACGCGTAAATGGTGTAAATTAAAAATTTCCTTGCTTGTACTGTAATAACAGCTACACCGGAACGGTGCATACGTTGCGCAGCGCGACTGCTATTTTCCACAGAACACCAGTTATTATACAACAAAAATGTGGATACGTAACGGTTTTGCTAATATTGGAGTCGATCGAAGCTTCCGCCAGGAGCTTATGCGGTGACTAATGAAACTAATTGGATTTATCTTTGAATATTTCCTGAAGGAAATTAATTAAGTGCGTTTTAAATATTTCATCCTTCACGATGAATGGCAATAAAGAACCTAATTATAATTAGCTTATTCCGAATTAATAAGCGATAATTGCGCTTACCTTGTTATATTATTTTAGTTATTATAATTTACTCGTTAATTGTTATAATTAGGTAGTCAATTAGCTAATTAATTAGGACTTTTTATCTAAGTTCCCCAGTTTTACTGATAAGTGTTAATATTGGATGTTTGTAAGTTTGAGAATTGAAAATCCTATTTGAAAAATTAGGTGTTTAGACATTTTTAAATTAAACAATTTATAACAGAAAATTTTTAATATCGTTTCTATAAAAAATAGTTGTGGATAAATTTAGCAAGAACTGCAAATTCTAATTACTTTTATTAGTGCAATTATCTTCCTTTTGAATCAGATAATGATTGACTTTCTCTTATCACTTTCCTGTTAAATTCCAGGATATTTTTAGTTTGCATTTTGATAAACAACATCCGTGAGTAGATACTGTACAAATGAATGAAAGCACATTCAAAATTAACGTTATCAGAATTTCCTTTCTCATGACAAAATCAGCAAATAATTCATGAACGTACAGCCACTGGCGCTATTGCGTTTCCTGCTACCATCGCCGATAACGTTATCTTTCCGGTAACGAATGCAGTATTAACAATAAAAATCATACATATATAAACTTATTAGGTTGTTGAGCATCATTTTTCACAGACAAAACGATAACTTTTGTCATTTATTTCGCGAAATAAATTTTAATCGAAGTATGTTTTCTTGAATGAGTAGATATGTAATGCGCATGCGCGTGATACATAGATCGCGCATGCGCATTAAGTATCTATTCAAGAAAGCTTGTTACTTCTTCACCAAATACTTCAGCACTGTTTGAAGCATAAAACTGGACTTCAAACAATTTGTAACGCCTTGAAATATTGCTCACAACCTTTATTTTCAGATATACTGTAATTTCAACGTGAAAAGAAAATGTTATTCTTGAAAATTAAATTCTAACAGTATGAGTTGCACAGGCGAGTGTAGCTAATAAAACACATCCATTACTATTTCTTTGATGTAGCAATTTATAATAGAAGGAGTAACAAAGATGTATCTATCAAACTAACCTATCCCAATAAAACTTTGTGTTAAACATAAGATAAATATCAAACATTGCACTCCAATATTCGTTAAGTTTTGTAAACGTCTTAATATTAATCTCTGGTACGACATAAACCATACGAAACTGCATATGCCTCTCAGGAACACAGAAAGATGTGTGTGCCACGCGTTTCTTGCCACGACAGCTGCTGCTGCCGCGTTTCCATTAACATTTTACAATCGTCGCGTTATACAATACGCCGCTTACATCATCGAGCAGCCAACAAACACAAGGCTGCACCTTGCCTCACCTCGCCGTTACTTCGTCGTATCGGCGCTGCCCGTTATTCATAATCGCTTCTAAAGCCAGGGCCGTTTAATTTAATTGACGATTACATCGAGCACGGGGCTTGCGTGACATGCTTTCGCAATTGCGTCCAGCTTCTGACGAGTTGGTCCGCCGACTTTCAAAATATTTTCAAAGACCTGTTCCGGATACTTTTCTGCATATTCTCAAACACGAAGTGCAGCAAGTAGTCAATTATCGACGCTTATTCGTACTTTATAATACAGTCCTGTTGGTGACAACACTTCTGGTGGCAATGAACGTATTAAATAAACAAACTCATAAATAACACACACAATGTAAGGACAAGCTCGCTTTGGACACACAAGCTCACGTTTGCCAATGAAGTCTTGAGACTAATATGCATATATACACTTTATTCAAAAGTGCTTAACATTTAACTTTGGGTACATGAATTTCAACTTAATGTTTTGAACAAATGTCATAACAGTCGTAATAACTATATAATTGTACTTAATTACTCTTCCATAATATTCAAATAAGTATAAACTTCTTGACTAATAATTTTGAATGCTTTCTGTAAAATTTTTGTTGTATTTTAATTATTTATATATGTAGCATATGTATGTTGTATCTAAGTGCTCATCACTGAACTGCAGTATTGGTTACTTTTAAAAAGAATTAGGCTCTTCTAAATATTGAAATTTTGGGTTTAACAATTTTAAAGCTTTGAAACTTAGAAATTTAAACTCGTGAATGAAAAATTTCTGTGGCCCCCTTTTCTCAAGATGCCCAAGCACGTGCTTATGTAGCTAACAGTCTGTGAAAGAACAAAATGGTAATAGCACACAACGTGTCTTCACAAAACAGATCGATAAGGAAGCAGACACACGAAATCTTGGCTACTTTTGAAACTTTGTACATCCGGCCGTTCATCTCGTGGTGTCGAAACCTGACACAGTTTCGAAACTCGAGTCCCATTAGTTTAATAAGGGCACACACTGCGTTCTTTACGAAATCACCCGGTGCCGATCGATCGTTACACTCAAAATGTTTAAGCAACATGACCAACAATAAAGTGTGATACCGCCATATTGAACTATCGAGGGTAGGACCCTTAGAACTTGAGAACACCTTTTGGTGTTGTATGACCTAGCACTTGGAATGTTTCGTATCACAATATTAGATGAAGCGAATCAGGAATTGGGTGATTTTCATTAACAAATGTTATTAAGTTTAAGTCCATTTCCTTTAAAGGATCAGTAAAGTATGATGATCCTTGTAAAAATTCATGTGTAGCTCATATGACAGTGAAAAATTTTAATACTTTTACTTTAAATTTAGATTAAAATGTCGAGAAAGTTGATCAACATCAATCAAGTAAAATTTGTGACGTTCACGTTTGTTTCACAATATTTCTGAAGATAGAATCTTCCATCTTTGGGAGATCGATTAACAGCATGGACGAAGATAAACGCTTAGTCATGTCTATTTCGGTTTATTGACACTTCAATTACAAGTGTAATTAATCTAATTACACGCGACTTTAGAGAGACACTAGCCGTTGATTAGTTCACATGTAATTTGTAAATAACGTGGAGAGCCTTGAACATGAACTTGATTGAATGATAGCGATTTTTAAAAACACATCTTTTAATTTTTGTAATAAGGTACAATTCTAAAAATATAATTTGATATAAGCCATTCAATTTTTTTTGTATATGTATCCAAAGCGGTTTTGAATCGATTTCATTTAACAAACTTACAGTCACATAATGAACAGTCGCAGATTAATTCAACAACAACCCATTAATCCCGCTTATCAAAACACGTAAACAATAAAACTTTGTCACGCTAAATTCATCACAACTGGATTAAAATATCAGAAAGCATTCAATCTGCGATACTCGGGATCAATATTTCTTCAGTTGGTTATCTTGAACGATGGATCAAGGTAGTAAAAAATGTTTAAATATGAGGAAACACGTGTGAGCTGTACTTTTAAAATGTCGTTTCGAGCAATACGAGTGTATACGTATTCGTATTGTCTGCTGCGGATATCCGTATTAACCGGTCAATGCTAACGTACAATTATCTAGTACAATGGCAGATATTATGCACGTTATTGAGTACGTTACGCGGCGTCCGCATAAACCGTTCCTTAAAGAATGCTTCGTTAAGTGACAAGTCTTTTAATGGTAAAATAACGAAATGTATCCGCTCGTGAAATTGATGGAGCAAGTCCAATTCGAAATGAAGTTTGGAGAGTCAGACACAAGGATATACATTGAAAATCTTGAGAGATTTGACCTTTTAAGGATTATGACCCATTTGTGGTTTTCATATACTTCTGAATATATCAGGGTTTTAATACAGTTTTGTAAACTTGTGTACACAGAATTTTTATATTCATATTACTGAATCTGGGAATTTGGAACTTGAGAAGGTTGGAAATTTGAAAATTTTTAATGTAGTACATAACATCCCTACAACCCTACATTCCATAATCACCGGAGTTCATATGTTAACTTGGCTACACACACTCCAGTCCCTATATACTAACTACATCTATTTTGTAACTTACGCTACAAATGAATTTCTCAAGCCTTCAAAATTATCGTCAGACCATTAACTATAACTCAAATTGATCTCATTACAGTCAAGAAAATATCAAAAACCCATTCAAATTTCTACCTCCACATCGATATCGCCAAAACCTCCACTTCTGACCACCGCTTAAGCTCCAACTATAAAAATAAATAAACAATAAACTAGTAATACAGAATTCTTAAACTACTAACAAAATTCTGTAATAGAATAGAATCTTAACAACGAGAAGCGAAATGTTAACAACGTTCCAAATTATAAAGAAAGATGGGTTCCGAAACCCGTGCAAATACTAAACGAATAAAGTCTACCTACTTTACATTTAAAAAGCTGCCGATCATAGGTTGTCATGAGCGAAGCCGTTTCCTAATCCTCCTCGATTCGTATGTAGCATATACATAGACGAACGAGCCAGTGACGCAACGATATTCGTGGATTTCAGGCGTTGACCGTGGGCGACAAAGGTTGCGAGGCACTACTACAGGCTCACCTTCGATTAGAAGGTACCGGGGCAGCAAGCGGTGTCGCGGGCGTGGTGGAAGCACCTGGAGGTCGACGCTATCTGTTACTGGAGGGTCACCACGGTGATCTGCACGCCTATGTTAGGGCACGCAGGAGGCTGCGGGAACCGGAGGCGAGGCGGCTTTTCCGGCAAGCGGCCAGGGCCGTGGCTACGTGTCACGAGTACGGGGTTGTGCTAAGAGATCTGAAACTCAGGAAGTTCGTTTTCGCTGACGAAGCAAGGTAAGAGAAATGCCACTTTACCCTTTCATACTGTGGTCAAATTCTCATCCATACTGAACTTAAAACTAAACTTCTTCAGATAGAATAATCTTAGAGGACACTTAGACTTAATCATAATTAAACTCTTGAATATTTTTCATCGTCAAACTGCAAGTGGAAACACACTGTGGTCAAATTCTCATCCAAAAATTTATACTCAACTTAAAACTAGACTTCTTCAGTTAGAATAATCTTAGAGAACACTTAGACTTAATCATAATTGAACAGATCTCTTGAATATTATTCATCTTCAATCTGCAAGTGAAAACACACTGGTCAAATTCTCATCCAAAAATTTATACTCAACTTAAAACTAGACTTCTTCAGTTAGAATAATCTTAGAGGACACTTAGACTTAATCATAATTAAGCTCTTGAATATTTTTCATCTTCAATCTGCAAGTTCTAATTGAAAATAGAACTGTGACTTTCAGTCAGAAAATCCTTCATACAAAGTTCATAATTTAATGTGTAATTACGAGTTAAATATTCAAGTACGAGTAAACGAAGAAGCTAATTAATACGAAATCGTAAAGACAATGAACTATTATAGAAATGATATAATTAGTTGACAGAAAGTCATAGATATTGATTGAAAGTCTTGTACGCCAAAAGCGGTGTGCATTAGGGTGACAAAGTAGTTACTAATTTGACACGAACTAATGATGCGATACGCCTACGTTCGTAGCATTCCTCGAGCGAGTGAGAGGACACCGTCTGAAAGAGCCATGGAAAACCAGTTCGTATTCGTTTCATTTCCATATTCGCCTATAATTCCTTCACACCATCGAGTGTATGGGAGGTATCTTGGAAAAAGAAGTACTTCCACGCCTACATAAATTAACTTCCCCTTCACCGGATCGAACTGCGCACCACGACATAATGCAACCCTTCCATGTTTAATGAATTCCGTTCTATTTTCTGTTCTTATCCAGACACTCGATTATTTACTGCCAATTACGAATTCGACAAGTTGTTGTCACCGTTACATTTCAAGCAGACTTGATTCTGTCTCGGCCGCATAATTGTACGTCTTAGGTAATACATAATTTCTGTAAAAATTGAAATGTTTCAATTTGTAATCAACAGTCTGTGGCAATATCGAATTCCAATCGTGTCTCGTATCTTGCGTTAGAAACTGAACACGTTTCGTCAGATCCATCCTTTCCTACAGATAATTTATGCGATTCATTTTTCTGCACTCTCGTTTTTTATCTGAAGTTTTGGCGTGGCATCCAAACGTTTCTACGTAAAATTTCAACCATTTATCGCTTACACAAATTCAGGTTCTTTCATTTGAATTTTCTCAATTTTCGAATCTCCAAAAACTTGTTCACGTCTATAAAACACTATTAACTCTTTGCCATACAGATGCGTCAGAACAAAGTATTCACTGTTACAATATTAAAATAAAAAAAGATAATTTCCTCATAATAGGACTTTAACTTCAAACAGCGTACTAAAAAAACGAGTAAGATTTATCACATTTGAACTGCGAGTGCGTCAGACTCGTCAAAGAGATTAACAAATACAAGGAACCTGTGGCAGGCAGAAATTCTAGTTACTCCGATAGCAGTCATGTGACAATTGCTTATCAAAAGCCTCGGTTAGAATTCCATTCCCGGTATCGTCATCTTCCGGAAAGGGTTCCTCTTGACCGGATAGAACGCAATCGAAATGAATTCAAGGAACGAGCGGATCGCGCCACACCACACCACACCACTCGAGTGCCACGCCACATCGAGCTATTCGCAAGGTGTGTTCTCGCGATTGAACGTGACTGTTCGCGCGAGCAATAGGCACCCACACGTGAGACGTACACACATATCGCACACAATTAAGCTATCAATACTCTGCAACGGTTCTCGATCTGCGGTACAATATAATTTCATTCAGAATTTTCGATAACAAATTTTTTAATAAAAAAAAAACGTTATGCGCTATTAAGAATTGTACTGTTGGATTGTACTGTTAGATAAGTATACTAAGTTACTATGTTACTGAGTATGCAAAGCAAGGTTACTATACAGCTTTCAGGGACTTATACTAATTATGAGACACCCTGTACAAATTTTTAACTGCCACTATACAACCTTCCCCAAAACACGTTCTATAAGAGGTCATAAAAATACAGGAAAATATATTGATGTAGAGTTAATACACTAGGTCAGGTTCACAGGTGTAAACTTGAAAATTACTCCTTTCCGCTCCTAAGATCTCTTAACTCTGGAAAAGCACATTTAAGATTGAGAACCGCTTTTGAACGAAACACACAGAAGTGGGCGTGGTGTGTACTTACATATGATAAAAGCACACGAGAGACCGTTTCGTGTGCCCCGTTGTGTGTCGGTTCAGAGTTGGCTAATCGCGCGTTGCGCTCGCATTCCTGCCTCTTGACGAACTGCTCCCGCGCGTGGAATAAGGAGAAGCGAGAAAGAAAGATCAGCGAGATATATGGAAGAGTGGGGCAAGAGACACGCGGGGGGAATGTTGCAAGTCAGAAAAGCATATTGGTTCATCGGCTGGGGAGATTTTGAAATGCTGGTATAATTAGGAAATGCGTGGTTCGTTCCACCTCCCTAGAAGCCGAGTCCAGACGTCTCTGTGATTGCATTACGCTCTTAATGATTAAGGTATGCGCCGGCGTCTGCAGATTGTGTCAGAAAAGATATATTGCCTTGGCCAAAAAGTTATGTCGCCTTTGTCAGTAGCTGACATTTATTCAATTTATGTGTCAACACCTTTTTCTCTGACAAATGAATACATAACCTGAAAGCGAATACAAGTTTACTTTTTGGGGTAATGAGACAGCGTCAAGTTTTATATTAATAATTTTGGTGGTTAAAAATTAAAGATATTACATTTTCATAAAGAACAGTTGCTTTAAATGATTTTATGCAAACGCAAATTTGAACCAAATAGGAAAAGTTAATACAACCCATTATTTCTAGTCAGTATCCAAATTTCAACGTCGTAACAGCAATGACAGAAATTAATTTCTTTTATAAGTACGTAACCCAGCTAATGACCCGAGACAAGTGTTCCATTTGCCCGGCGCTAACGGTGATATTACAAGCGAGTATTTTTAGAACATTCGGACACGCTGCCTTCCAATGCAGTGAAAGAATGTTCGTTTACACTTGAATTTTGCTGAGAGAGTAGGGAGAACGGACATTCGCTCTCTCGATATAAATGCCCCATAAGAGTGAATGACCTCTTACCGTTGATAATACTATGTGTATGTTACTTGTTTAACTTCTTGCTGCATAATATCGGGTCACACTCCTTGTGCAACATTTATAAATGTAGCAAATGTGAGTCATATTTGTACGGCTGGATTTTTAGTCCACGAGATCGTTAACACAGCGCCATCGTGTTGAAGAACTTGATCTTCTTCGACCGTGTACTAATTCGCTCTGTGGAATTAAGTAAAGTTTTTTATTATTTGAAACGATGAGCTAATTCTGTAGTTGCAAATTAATGTGCTAAAAGCAATGATCTTGGTATTTAAACTTTATTTACCTCGATATTGTAGTAGTAGTTATATTGAGGGTTGCTATATTGTGAGGCAACAGGTTTCAAATTTTTAAATTCTCAGCTTACCAAATTTTCAAATCCCCACATCTACAAATCCAGATATCTAAATTCACAAATTTTCAGATTTCCCAAATTTCGGGTTTCTCACATCATTGTTAACTTTCTGCACTCCAAAAATCTTTGTTTTCCTAAGTCTGAAGTCTTCAATTTTCAAATCCCCAAAATTGCAATTTTTCCTAAATTTGAAAGTAATTAAAAATCAGCCAATGAATCCTTCCGTGTCGCCATTTTTGCCAGGAGCCCATCACACTCTCCGCTGCACACATCAGTCGATTCTTCGCCATCAAACCACAGAAAAGCTGTAACTGAGAAACAAGGTCAAGCAAAATCCAATGTTGAAACCATTGTTAAGCTGAGTGATGATGAAGCAACCTGTATCACGCCGAAGACGTTTTATTGGCAAATCGCGAGAAAGACGTGTCCGCGTCCTTCAAACCTAGAAATAGTAAATTGTACAATAATACGATGTTGATAATACGCTCGAAGGTAGAGCTTGTTACCGCGTGTAATCTAACTGGTTCCTCGAGGTAAACGCTTGCGCTAGAGAAATGGATCTCGATAGTGTGTCATTAAAAATGCATTTCTGATCGATATGCATCGATTTCGTGTCGGTCGTTTTGTTATAGATGTAATTACGATGCAATGCGCAATACTGATACGTAACTATCCTTGTACATTACGGCAATCGCGCTTATGCAAATAGCTTTGTTTCCTCTGGCCTCACATCAGTTGCAGTTTGCACTATGTCTTATTGATTAGCAAAATGTGGTCCGTAACATTCTATAATATTTCAGTATTCTATTTCAACGAATTTGTTTAATAACATGAAGGCTGTATTTTCCTTGTTCCATTTGGCCCACGATGCCGTCATAATCCGTATGAGATCAGACGGAAGTGTAGAATTGATTTCGCTCTCCAAGAAATATGATTTCATGATCTTATATATCCTCAGTGATTTTGTGTATCCAAGTGATGTGTTCGATCACTTATTAATTTTAACAGTATCATTAATAGTATCTATACTACTGTGCTACATTCAGAAAATGTTCAGCTATTTTAAAAAGTTAAGTACTGTCCACATAACTTCAAACTTATACAAAGTAACTTTTTTGTTTTATTTAATTGAAGTGGTATGTCGGATACATCCTTCCTTTTTTTGTTCGCTCTTTATTTCGGTCGCGTTTCACGGCTATTGCCGTTCACGAATGACGCACTCTAGAGATGACGCGAAGAGATACGTGGTCAGTGTCCTTATAAGTCATAAACGAAGATCTTTGTCTAGCGACAATGAGCTCTCTCACGCGTCTAATTTTGCTGTACAACGTTTTGAAATTCATTGGCGTCAAGGTTCTTGACATTCGAGTTCGCACTGAGGTTGGACTGAACGATCGTGCGATAATACCGGGCCAGAACTCATTTCCATCGGGGTCCTTGACAGTTTTGTCGTTCCTTGCTCCGGTCTTGTGACCAATGAACCCGATCGATTGATCGAATCAGCGGTTTCCCGGATGTGCCTTTTTGTGGAGTTCAAGTGTCTCTATCTGATGATACACGTGGAGATAGTTCGCGGGAGAAAGAATAATTTCCTTTGAAATCTTATATCTATGAGTATGCTTCCGCAGCAGGTGGTCCTAGAAAAAATGGTAAACGCAGAAACGAGAAATTCTAATTATTCAAATTCTAACATAAAATTTATTTTAAATAAGCTTTCTCTATGCTGTAAATAGGTCCTGTTTGCTATAGTGTTGCGAAATGGGATGCACTTTCCCGCGCATGCGCGGCAAACGTAAATTCATGAATGAAAAAAATACATCGATCACCAACTTTGCAAAAATTTGTGTGATTTAATTAAAATCGTATAAAATGAGTGATCAAGGTACAGCCTCTTATCTTCATATTTATGGATATATTAATTAATTACATTTATTGATTATATCGATTATATTTATTGATGTCATTGATATTCGTCGCGCATGCGCAAAATGCGTACCGTCTCACTACCAGTGTATCATTACATTCAATCTGATCCTGCTCTAAAACTTGCCTAACACATTTTCGTAAGAAATCAAAAAGAATCACGAAGTATCTCTGAGAAACTTTCGTAAGAAAATCAGTTTGAAAAAAGAAAGGCGAAAGCAAAAACGTGGTCGCTATTAACGATACACTTGTTTCTCAACCAGGGCTCTGAAATACACGAGCCTTCTCTGGAAGAAATCACTGTGCTAGTATTCACTGTCCGCGGGACAGGGTTCTTGAACCCAGACACCGGTGTGTCGTGTAGGAGTCGTTCGCTTACGAGTGAAAGTTTGCGAAGAAAGCTGTACCTGCCTGCGAGGCTGACTATCCTCTCGACGTGTCTCGTGCGTCCAAATGGAGAACGTGCCGTCGAAACCGGGTTCCTCCTAGGAAACTCGCGGCCATTGACACTCGCTCGGATTTTCAAGATCGTGCCAGGGCTTTCTTCTTCCTGCGCTTTACTTTCCAGTTCTGCTATGAGAATACTCTTCGAAATAGTTTCACCATTTTAATCGATTGCGCATAACAAAAATTCTAAAGAGGTTATGAAAGGTTTGCGCGCACTTTTCGGAAGTTTTATGTAAAACATTTTACCGAGTAGACGCGTAGCGACTTGCGCATGCGTGCGTCGTACTGCGCACATTGTACCGATATGTGCTAATAACAGTTGCGACAGTTATAAATATTTGTTCTGTATTATTAAATAGTCACTACTTATAAGAACTGGTTAGTATGATGTTAATTCTGTAACATATATTATGGTAACCACGATAGAATTATAAACAAAATAATTCTTTGTCTTTTAAAATAGTAACATAGTAGAGCTGTGAAATAGTAGCATAGTATAATAAATAATAGAATTGTAGTGAATTAGTAAAACGAAAGATTAGTAGTACAGTAAAGAAAATACTCAAATGACAAAAATAAAATAGTAGTAAAATGACGAAATATTAAAGTAACAATATGCTGGCACAGTGAAATAGTAAAATAATAGTGCAACGATTTTCAAAACTGGAAATCCGAATGAGATTCATAGTTCTTTTCACACGCTTCTCAATTACTGCAACCCCATGCAGAAGGAAAGAAAGCTTCATGATACTTATTACATGATATTCTTCCTGATTACGTATCGATCGAATATCGTAACCAACGTGAAAAGAAGAAACATCGTGGAAAGCTTGAAGTTGCCCAAGAGCCGCAGGGATATTACGTACACTCGTTCTGCGACTTCCGCATTTTGCAGGTTGATCAACTGCCGACACTCTCTTTCGCCAGTTCTTTCGTTGTGCCTCGTTTCACGATGACACGCGGATTGTTGCATCGCCACGATGTCCTCTTGCTAAATATCGAAATAACTTTAATAAATTCTTAAATTCTTAACTTTCAAAAAACTTTACTATGCTTTCCAAGTCGATTATATTTTAATGTGTGGATTTTTCTGTTTTCTAGGACACGGCTACGTCTGGAGAGTCTGGAAGACGCCGTAATAGTAGAAGGGGATGACGACAAGTTAACCGATCGAAGAGGTTGTCCAGCGTACGTGGCGCCAGAAGTTTTGCGTTCGGGAAGAGCCTATTCCGGCAAAGCAGCCGATATCTGGTCTTTAGGCGTTCTTCTCTACACTATGCTGGTCGGTCGTTATCCATTCAACGACGCCGAGCACGCGTCGCTGTTTGCCAAGATCTCACGTGGTCACTTTGCGGTCCCAGAGGGTCTTAGCCCACGCGCAAGATGTCTGATACGTTCATTGCTGAGAAAGGAACCGTCCGAAAGACCGTATGCTGAGGACGTGCCAAGACACCCGTGGCTCTCGAAACCACTGCGGGTGTGCACAGTATCCAGCAGCAGCAGATCCTCTTGTCAGGATCAAATTGTACCAGAGCTACCTAACAATCCTCAAGACTGACTTTTCCAGGAGAAGATATATTCCGCGCGCGATGAGCCCAGTTTCACATGTTAATCCTCTATTTGGACAGGGGGACACTTTTTGCCCGGGATTTAATATGGTTTTTCTCTATTTTGCATTGTGGTGCACAGCAAGAGTCTTTAGAAAAATATACGTCATAATGTGCGAAATGTCAGAGTGAAATAAGTTGAAAGATTCTTTCTCACTTTTATGTATTAATAGTTAAGTCTGGATTCTTAGACTCTCAATATTTCCCTGCGTCAGAAAAATTATGAATTTCCAGATTTTCAGACTACAAAATTTATCAAATCCCACAAAGGCCTAATATGGTGTGAGCTTTCACTGTAACACATCTATCTTTTTGTTCATTAATATAAATAATGAAATGTTATTTCCAACTTATTTCACAATGGAGAATTTGCAATTTATATCATGTTCATAATGTCTTATAGGTTATGGAACCTATAACATGGGCTAATAATATTTATCAGAAGCATACTTTTCATTGTAAAAGTGTCTGTAATCAAGCATACTTAAAAATTTGTTGTCATTGACAATCTGTGTCATAGGATGCAGATTATACTACATATTTCATAACTGATTGGGCTACAGAAATTTTTGTTAACTATTGTATATACTTCTGTATGCAGGCTGTGCATAAAAGCCATGTTACCTAATGAAGGAACACCAAATAAAGGATTAAATATTAACTGCTGCATCAAGGGATCACCTATGATTCCGTATCTTTCTTTTCTTTCGTTTCATCGACACAACGAAAGGAAAATGGCTTAGGATATAAGAAATCGTTGTGTTTGCTTTTTCGTTGAAGTATGTTAGGGAAGGTCTAATGGTATGATCGTTATTTGAATATTTTGTTGGTAAAGACCTACGGGTTATTTGTTTTGAAAAACATGTGTTATGAAAAGAAAATTTATTTAATCTTTGCGGTAGACGCCTGGGTCCACTCGGGCCCCGTATAGTCCATTGGTATTAGCATTTCGAATTGAACTTTTATTGTTGTATTTTTTCTTACTTCTATCAAAAACTCTGTATTGCTGATATTTCTTTATTTTTTGGCCCATAGCTTCTGTTGCATTTATAATTTGTTCTTTTCACTCAAATATTATTAGAAAAAATATATATAAATAAATGAGAAAAAATTAAAAATACAGATATTTTTGAGTGAATCAAGTACCTTTTTCTTCTCTTTCCAAAGATACACTACATATTGTCAAGAAATATAAATCTGTATCAAAGACCACTGATCTTTTGTATCTGGGACCATATAGACCCAGGCGTAGTACAGTGAGAATTTACAGAAATTCTTCATATTTTGTTAGCAAAGTATATTTACTCTAATGTGTTGTACTTATATGTCTTTGCTTTTAGACTGGGGTCAGACAACTGTTTAAAACATCTGTTACAACATCATTTTAGCTCATTGATTACTAAATGTCTGTTCTATAAATTTGAATTTAGCAAATTATACATAGCTATAAAAGAAAAAAATATTTTGTGCTACAATTGAAAATATTGGAAATGGTAATAATTTGGTTAAATGCTTGTATGGGCCCCAGCCTTAAACATAGTGTATGAGCCACTTAAATTGTAAACAGTTTGAAGGTTTATTTTCTAAATTGAAGAAATACATGTTTGCCTTGGAATCAAAAATATACATATATGTATATATTGAAATATTGAAATGCGTCAGAATGCTATTTATTTAATTTAGAATATAAAAATTATATTCATAAACATGAAACAAACCTATGAGCATTTTATGAATAAGCAAGTATCTCATATTTAATATTAGTTTCCTATCAAGGATTATTTTTGTATAGTTTTCTTTTACAAAAAATCGAACTATTGAAAGTCAATATCAACAAAACATAATTAACGATTAAACCCTTGGTCTTTGCTGATTTGCTTGGTGTATTCAAGCGTTGTATTTGTTATCAATACAAATTGTTTTTTATTTCTGCGAAAATAAAATTAAATGCAAAATTACAGAATGTGTGTGTTGAATGCGTGTGCAAGAGACTCTTTTCCTTTATATTTTTTAATGTAATTTTCTGTGCATAAATGTGTTTAGCTCGGTGCACAATTCCTCTTATCGTTTGAGTCAGGGTACAATAGTGACAATGTTTCATTGTTGCTAAAATGTATATAAAGACAGTTAACTAAATTCTACTAAATCCTAATAAACATTAATTAGGAGTATTAATAAAAAGTTCTGTACATAGGCAAATAAAGTGGCGTTTATGATAAATTAATCCTGAATTGTTTATTCTTTATTTAAAATACACTAAAGTAATATATACTAAAAGTTATTTGTCTTGATGACTAGGAAAAATGATGAAATGATACACAGTATTGCAAAGAAGTCTGATTATATAACAAAAGAAGTCACATATCTAAAACAAATTCTGAAGAGTTCCAAAGAAATATTGACTATATTAAATATTAAATTATTTAATAATTTTACAAAATTTGAAATTTACAAATTAATTTATAATTATTGATTGAATTGCAGACAAAAATTGTTTTGTATATTGCGTATTTTTATATATGTGTATTTATTTATACATACATATCGTATTTAAATAATAATGTAAATAAAATGTACTTACACAAGTACATAAACATACTTTATAGCACGCTATAAAGCTACTCCTGAAATAAAGAAATTTATATGTAAACTTTTGTGTATAGGTTAGGAATCTCAGATTATGTTACATTAACCACCATGACGAAATTAATGTACCTAGATCCTTTAAAGATCTAGAGAATTTGTAATAATGTTTTATGCAATTTTACAAATTTCAAATCAATATAAATACATTACAATAAAACAATTTTGCAAAATTTTTATAATTGTTATCTGTACGTTTACACCTGAAAGAAAACAATCGATAAACATTCTAACCAACGATCGCGTGCTCGTAAAAACCTGTTCTTTACAATTGTGCAAATTAAACATTATTGATTCAAGAACTTTCCTTGATAAATGAAATCACCCGATAACGTAATCAAATTTTTAGTAACACACAATTTTTTGTTTCGTCAACGTTCTTCATCTACGCATGAAATTTGTCTAACGTGATAAATGTTCATTAAGTAAATTGCATCAATTAATCAATGTTTAATTAGTTTATTTTATAGTATATTATCCCGCTATAGGATGTAATAGTTACAATCGTGTCGAATGAAAAATGGCCGCAAACGTAAGAACAGGTGAGTAGTACGTGCAAACCTGTCAGAACTCGTAATTGTCATTTAAAGGAATTTATTAATCAATCATCAATTCAATTCAGAAAATTATATATAAAATACATTTAAATATTGTAATTGATTGTCAATGTGTTTAAAATTGCAATTAAATTTAATTACTACGTCATATTTTTGACTCATACGTCAAATCCAAGAATATTGCAATTCGTTAAATTCGTAATGGTTATCCCTGCCCACTGTGTAAATCTATATCACATTTAAAAGTGTCCGACATTTGATAGTGGGCGTATAATAGTTACGCAGAATTTTCCTGTGAATACCGGTATTGTTTCCAGATTCTTTTTTGCATTAACACTATACGCATCTGCTTTAGTACATATGAATGTGTAGGAAATATTTGTGCGACAAGTATCTATTCAATGCCCGTCGTGATAGTGTATCTTAATGAAATTGCATTTCCGAGTATCGTTTCATTCCATATTTATTTGCAGAAATGCGAATTCCTACACGTTCTGCTCCTCGTCCACCTGTCAATTCAACGGCACAAAGAAATGTTATTTGGAATAGCACGTAAGTTAATGTTATATTTGCATATACGCAATTTCTCATTTGATTATTTTTATACCAAACATTTGTCTGCGTATAGTAAACGTCATTTAAAGTCATACAGTACAATGCAAGAAATATTTTTGTCCATAAAGGGTAGAAGGTAAAATAAAGTTACTGTAATGTGTACTACATTAATATTATATATTATCAATAAAGTTACAATATTATTTATAAAAAATAAATTGCATAATTTTGTAATGTTAATAAAGAAATATGATCAATTTTAACTTAAATTATTATTTTATTGATAATACATATGAATGAAGAATACATTACAGTATTTAGTACTATCATTTTTTTGTTATATATGTATTTACAATATTTTATAGCTAAAAATATGTTAAGTAACACTCATTGTAGATATAATCTATCCTAATACTTCACAATTAATCATACCATTATTGGCACAGATGAAAACACAGAAATGTATAAAATATTAAATTGATGCAAGAGTAATTTTTGTTACTACAGACATAAATACTAAATAAATTTTGCTTTACTTGTGTATATTAATCACTTATTTTCATCATATTTCATTCATTTTTGATTTTATGTATTTCTATTGTTTTCTTCAACCCCTTGTTGTACTTTAACAAGCCTAAACATTTCAATTTTTTTTATTTGTCTTAATATTGTAGCACTTAATAGTTCTAACTGATGTATCTTATGAAATACAGCAAGGGGTTAATACTTCTATTACCACAAAATGTAATCTGCATATTTGTAAATAAACAGTACTAAAAATTATTCCTTTGTTTTCTTATTTTACACATTTCTGTATTTAAATATGTTAATATGTTACTTGTATCAAATTCATGTTTAATATTCACTTTTAATATTCATAGAAACAATGTTTATGGTTCTACATTAACACAACAGTCTATTCAAAAGAAAAAGCCACCTCCTCGGCCACCACCACCAAAGTTCAATCAAAATTATTCACAAGTACAAAAGGATAAATCAAAGAAACCAGTACGTAGAAATGTAATTAAATTTTTTAAATTTATAAATGTTGTTTGACTGAGTTCACATGGCATTTATATAGGCAAGACCAACAGAACTTTTGAGTAATCTTTTTGGAAGAAAAAGAAATGAACATATAAATACAATACAATTGAATAGTCAAGTACAGAATGCAATATCACAATCAGAACATACAAATGGATCAGTTTGTCTAATAGATTTTAGTCCACCTGGTTCTCCAACATTTACAACTCGATCAAGTAGTGATGGTGTTAGTATTGATAGTTTTGGCAGTGATGGTAATTCAAATCCCTCTGTATTCACAAGCAGTGGAAATACATCTCAAACAGAAAGTGCCTTTGAAGATGATTTTGATGTGTTTGGACTATCTACCAAGAAAACGCCAAAAAATGATCCTTGGCAAATTAATTCAATATCAGATCCATTTGGACCAATAGAAGTATCTAATCATAATTCATTTGAGCCTGTAAAATCCATAGGAGATGCACAATTTTTTGCTTTTAATACAAATAACCATGTCAATAATCAAATGTCTTTCACTCAAACATGTTCAAAAACAACTCAATTACCAACTATTATACGTGCAAAGTTACCTAAACCACCAGCACCAAAAACTATACAGAAAAAAATGGAAAAGAAAATAAATTGTGACACTGAAACAGGGACAAATTGTTTTAATAAAACAGTAATTCCGTTTACAAAACCAATAACATTAGATTTAACAAATTCTTGGTCAAATGACACAAAAGATAGCCCTTCTCCACCAATGCCTACAATACCACCACCTGCACCACCACCAGAGTATTTAACAGAGATAAACAATGATCACTCAGTAAGTACCTATAATTCAATCTATAACATTTAATGTTGTATAAATAATTGTTATTTTTTCATTTTATATTTTTAGACCACTAGTGAAGAACCTTATGGTGTTGCCCTTTATGACTTTCCTGTAACACATGCAGATGATTTACCTTTCAAAGAAGGTGATATAATATATTTGATCAGGAAAGTTAATGATGATTGGATGGAAGGTAGAACAGGAAATCGGCAAGGAATATTTCCTATTAATTTCATTGATATAAAAGTACCATTACCTGGTGTTCCAGACAATGTAGTTATTGCTGTTTATCCTTTTCAAGGAGAGACCATAGAAGATTTAACTTTTAGTGTAAGTTTTTTATTCGTATCATAAGTACTTTGCAAACAAATAATGTAAATAAATATGGGTCAAAATGGTTCTGCTTAAGATATACAACATAGAAACAGTAGATCATCTGTTCTTTTATGGTTATGAATTTTTGTATGCAGGAAGGAGAAAAAATCACAGTTTTGTCAAGGATATCACAAGATTGGTTGTATGGTGAATGTAAAGGTCGGAAAGGACAATTTCCAGCAAATTACGTGAATAGAATCCCATGTAATATTCCTCAATTATATTGATTTGCATGTTTATTTTATAAATCATAAAATGTCAATAGTTTCTATGTTACGAGTATAATTTTTATTCTTTATATTCAATAAATATAGTTTTGCATCAGAATTATACTTACAAGGAAAATCATATCGGAGTCATACTTAATGGCTGAAAGTAAAAGACTGAATTGTACACAAGGGCCCATTGATTTGCAAATTTTTATGAAATGCTACTTTTATCAATATTGAATCGAAAATTAAAAATTTGTACTCTATATTGAAAGAAGAAAGTAATTTTTCAATCGAGGAAATATATGAAGTATTTTTTACTATTATAAATATAAATATCAAATCATGCATGTATATTTTCATATATTAAAATGCACTTGATTGCAAAATGCATAAGTAACTATACATATACAGTGTTCAATATACTGCATAATATTTAAAATATTTACAAGAACTTGATAATTAACTGTTTTATAAATAATATTTACATTTGTGATGTTTAGATAATACTATTTGTCTTTTACATTGCAAGAAAGTATTTTTCTATGTAGTTCATTATTAAGTTTAAAAACAATGTTCTTTTAGAACATTCTTCTAACAATAGTTCTGCTAGAACTATTTAAAAACATAATGAATTGATATATTTGTTTAATAAACAATCAATACATTTTGTACTTTGCTATATATAAGTAACATATGAAACTAGCAATATTTTTTCACGTGTATATAAAACGTTTCATACTTATAACAATTAATATAAAATTACAGTTAAATATGTAATGATTCAGTTGTTTAAGTGCATTCTAATATTATAATTTTAAATGTATAATAATAAGCAGAAATTATTGAATGATCAGAACTACTTGGGAATTGCAAGAATATCATAACTAACAAATTTGTATATTTCATGTTTAATGTCATTTATGGTTATTATTCATATATTAAACATAATAAATTTATGTTTCTTACATCTAAAATCTATCCTAATCAAGTTACCAATAGAAAAACAATAGTATAACTAGTATGTGGTACATGGATATGCATTTTTGGAAATATATAATTTAAATATTCTTGATATTTAAATTTTCATGTATTTTAATGTAAATACTTAATTACATGTTTACAAATTTAATTTTCGCATATCTTGTGAATTACCGAAAATGTATCTTAAAGATGTGTATTTATAAAATTGTATGTATGCGTGTATATAAATAAGTGATCTTCAGTTGCGCACTATGTACTAAATTATTATAAAATTAGTGAAAATGTGAAAAAATTTAAATTGCAGTATTAATAAAGATCAGTTCATTAATTCCACAGTTTGTATTGGAATTAGATACTTGATTTATAAATAAATAAAATGATCAGCAGTGCCTTGAGAGTTGATTATTGTTCAAAATTCATATCTTTTGAGGCAGATAGTCGTTCCAGAAAATTCCGAATGTACGTTTCTTCTTTGTTACGTGCTCGTGAAAAATAGAATAATCAAATGTTAGTTAATTTTAGGTAAATAATACTGAGGCTCATTTCATGAAGTGATTTTTAAGATATGGTTTGGATGATGAAGTTCAACTTACAAATACAGACAAAATCATTGTAAACTTTCAAGATATTGCTGTATCTTTTAATACGGCAGTGTACAAAAGAAATTCATTTATGTATACTTCATATTTAAATATAGATATTTATGTATGTTTCAAATTTAAAATCTTTTAAACTTGAAGAACTTCAATTTTGAAATGCTTGGAACTCAAAATACTTTGGAATGCTTCAAGCTTATAATGCTCTTTTAATTAATGTATCTGTGTTTCCAGAATGTCTTATGGAAGTGCACTGTCGGATTAAGATACCATATCCATGCTAATAGTCAATTTTGTAATATACGTTAAATTAATTATTTAATATAATATGCAACATCAATAACATTAAAAATGTCATAATTGTATAACAAATTTCGTATTTTTCTTCACATTATGAAGACAAACTAATACCAATAATATTGTATAGAATAAAAACGTGTATACATAAACAAAAATATTTTGTTATCTTTAATGCTAATAGTTTAAAAAAAAAGATCTAAATTAAATATTTGTAATCATATTATTTTGTGCAGAAATACTACCTGAAATTGATTGATCACTAAGAGTAATAGTTCTTATTAATAATACATTTGATGATTGTACTGATTTTAAATGTGTAGAATATTTGGGGCAAAGTATGCATCTGTTAATGTGTTTAGTACATACTGAAAATATTATGTCTTTGTATCGACCTAATGTTTGTATCACGACTTTTCTAAATTTTTCTCCTGTCAAGTAATATAAAAAGAAATTAAGGGCAAAATTCCAGTGATATATATGAAAACATAAGCCACGACACCACTTTAAGAACATTTTCTCCTTTAGCCTGAAAGAATTGAATATTAAAAATAAATAAGTAAATGCATAAATACATGTATATTGATTTAAAAATTCTTTTAATCATACCAATGTATATATTCTGCTTTTGCTTTTGTTTCGGTAGCGGGAGATTTAATTAAGATGATGTCCCAATAAAGTTCCAATGTTTCAACTATGCCAAGAGGTAACAGTAAAACTAAATAAACAGTTGACACAACAAATAGCGTTCTGGAAGTATGATGCGTTCTATTTGTTTTATGGCTGAAATTTTCTAATAAATAATATCAGTTAGTTTATTTGAATTTCCTTGATAACTAGATTCTGGTTAAACAATTTACTTACGAGTTAACTGACAATGAATTTTCTCAGATTTTTTCATATGTAAGATGAGTAAAACATTTCCAATAAATATAAAAAGTAATGGCAACCATGTTGATAAAGCAATATAGAAATACATTGCACTACCCCATGGTTTTATTTTTTTTTGACATGGAATAAATTCAAAGACACTATCTGTTTCATATCCTAAAAAGTAATTTATTTTAATAATTAAAATTATTAATTAACATAGTAATATTGAAAAATGTAAATATTTACCTCCTGAATATAACTTTGTTAATGATATTATAAAACTGACACATACTAGAATTGTAATAGTTACTATTTCAGAACAATTAGTACAACAACTATGTATTCCAAAAGGAAACATAACAGCAAGGACTCGTCTCCAAGTAAGGGCCACAACTAACCATGTAGATGTGAATTGAAAAAACTCCATGGTAACAGAATTTAAACTACACAGAAACCTACTATTCTAAGAAAATAATAAATCTCAATTATTTTTATACATAAGTTTAAATTGTTTAATTGATAACTTACCATGAAAAGATTATTGACAAATGTAAAGTCTGACTTTGCAATACCTACAGCATAATTAAAAACTAATGCTCCATTATCAGACAATGCAAGTGCTTTTAAATAAAGAGATAAATTTGATTCGCACAGTATAGGAGTACTTAGCATTACAAAAGAAACTGTATTTAATAATACACCTATATAAACAGTATTAATTTATTGTAATTAATTATGTAAACATATTAAATAAAATACAGTATTAAACTATTAAAAGTTTTTTTTTTACTTCCTTACCAAGAATTATAATAAAAGGTGTTATGTAGCCAAGCAAAAAACGTACGAATTTAACAAATGGCTGTAATGTCAACCAGTGAAAACGAATTTCACAAGGCCATATAATTTCTAAATCTGGTTGAGTAAAATTGTATATAAAATCCAAAGTTTTTACTGACAATGGACATGTTAAATTTTTTTCTATATAGGAACTAAAATTATATTAAAACGTAAAATGGTTTAGAGACAACAAAACATACTTGTTTATGAAATTAGTATTATGTTGTTTACTTAGAGTGGATATGAATTATTTAAAATTTTGTTCTCACCTGAATTCATCTTCTAATGAAATTTGAGTAGATTCAATTGTTTGTAACAGAACACTTAAGATCAATATAAGTAATTGTATGTTCACATAATTTAATAAAATTATTTTTATGCACATAATATAGCTGTATTTAAAAAATTTATAAAATAATATATGTTGCAAACAAATATATCATAAAAAATATATTTTGTTTGAATTTAATAACTCTTTCTCTGTCAAACACCTTTTCACTACAGTGACTAATAACAATGTCTTCTCATTAAGTACAGCTAAAGCACCTGTTGTCAATTATCATAACATAGAATTATTCTCAGCAAATATCATCTTAATGCAGATAACAGCTTATAAGGCTTGTATATGATTAGAAGCAGACCTGCATTCTGTGTACACTTAAGTAGAAATTTGCATGAACCTTAGTGAAAGTTCCTTTAATATGTTTATTTTTTTTAATTTATGTCAACTTAAATGAGTAATTTATAGTTACAGTTTTAAAGAAATTATAGTATTCTCCATATTTTATTTAATTATACTGAAAGAATACAGCTATCATTAATTTCCTTACTGGGAAAGATCAACTATGTTTAAAAAGTTTAAACTTATTCATAACTATAAATCTAATTTTTTTTATATAATATTTATAAATATTGTGAAAATATTTAGCATGCAATTATAAACTGACACATAAACATAAAATTAATATAAAAATTCTTTACTTAAATACATCTAAAAGACAGATATTATTTGTATGATACCATTCAGTATTCCAACTATAATTGTAATTAATCAACATAAGTATAATTAATCAGATTGGATAGGAATTATTATCGTGTCATAGAAATATAGTTTACAATATATTTTCAACATATGATATATACATATACAATTCACACAAATCCACGAGTGAAAGGCACACATTGAAAACATGATAGCCTGGTTTCTATTTTTGTTCATAAAATTATTGAAATTGTTTCTTTTTTTGTATTATGTTAAACATATTAACTTCTCGATTTTGTATTAATAATAAACCAATTCTTTTACACACTTCACCCTCTTTTACAATTTACTTTATCAGAATAATTACATAAAATATTAACACTTTTAAAACAATTGTATATAACATTTTTCATCTCATTTTGACAAAACATAATCAATATCATTATAAATTTTTAGGGATATCATTTTTTATTATTTGTTCTGCCTATCAAAAATATATCCCCCTTGTTTCATAACTTTTCTGTAGTTAACTTAATTATGTCACATCCTTTTCTTTCACATCAATTCTATGTTATAATTTCAATATAATAATAGATCTGTTTATTTTTAAAGAAATAATTTATTTTCTAATAATAATGTTTATTTATCAAAATACTAGTAAATTCGTTAGATTCAATGTACTCTTTGAAATAATTTTATAATTCTCTAATTTCAAAAATTTTAGGTTTGTTACAATTCTTATTTATTTATACAAACATGGTGTTTTTCGTTTTAGATACACTATATTTTTAAATATATTTACAATTGCACTCATGAAAATGTGCAATACAATTTCGTTATGAAATTAACTATATGTGATTCTAATATATTTGAATAAAACAAAAATGCTTAATTTTTAATTTCTATCAACATACTAAATACAGTTACAATTAATGATGAAACAAATCTCCATATCATTCGGTTAATAAACAATAAACTCTATCTTTACTTCTTGTTCATTAAAATACTACTTTCAAAATAGTTACATTTAAACATTTACAAATATTAGAAAGTACTTGTACTCTCTAAATTAACAAATTTAACCCTGCTGCCTCTTCTTGTGTCTATGTGGTCTAAAATGAATATTATATTTCCATAAATACTGTACTTTTAAATATTTCTTTTTAACATCAATGTACTTCAATTTTGTGTTTAGTTTTTGTAGTATATTATATTATTAAAGAATAAATTATTTCTGAATTTAAAAAAATATAACATGTTAATGTAACATGTTTCAAGGAAAACAGCAGGGTTAAAAGATCCATTATACTGAAGAAAAAGGAGTAAATATTGATTATTACAAAGATATGTCATTAATATTAAGATGTAGCACACAAGCAAGTTGACCTTTATCAATTTTGTATAATTTTGCTTTAGTTATATTTTTTAATACACAAAAAGTCAAATCATTTTTAATTATGGTTTCACTGCACAGTACATCTCAAATAAGGTGTCCACATAGAATATAGTATTTTGTAATATTTAACAATTTTACTTTGCCATTCGATTTTATCATTAACTAATTTAAACATTTACTTGGCACATCAAAAATAATATTTCTTATAATGGTATTTATCTGAATCATTATATACGTATGTATGAAGTCATAGCTATTGTAAAAAAATATGTACTAGTATTACTGAATAACTTTCCAAATTAAGTACATGTCTTACAAAAATAGAAATATAATCATTAAAATTATTTGTAAAAACTCGAACGTATACGATCTTAAAACATGTATAACATGCATACTTAAATTGAAAACTAGTCTTATATTCTCAGTCACAGCCACGAAATAGCAAAAACAATATTTATATTCTTCAAATTAATAAGTATTTTATAATTTTCCAACAAATTTTGTTATCATAATTAAGTTCAATGAATTTTATCCCAATTTCTATCAACCTAAATTGTACATTTTAACAATTTTTTACAGAGAAGTACCTGTGCAGAACCATACAATATAGGTCATTAAAGAAAAACAAATTTTGCTAACTTTTAAGTAAATAGTATGACAATTAACTTATTGAGAATGATATTTTACAATATATATAAGTATTGAATGTTAACATTTTTTTTTCTATTTTTAAAAAATTGTCACGCTAGAAATTACTATCAATAATAAAAAATTACTTTATCCCTTATTATGCATTAAACATTGTTTAAAACCATTTTTATTTTAATTTAGATCATTTGTCTATACATCTAATTGTCCTAAATTATATAAAATTTATGTCAGAAAGTAAAATATCATACATGTATATGTCATATTTTCTAGTATCACCTTGGTAAGAAATCAACCTCTAGATAAAATAAGTTTCTATATTGTATACATAAGTATGTACAAATGGGTATCTGTAGATTTTACATTATAATTATATATAAGGACTTGACAATAATTATTTTTTGCCTTTGTGTCACAAATACTCAAATGCGTTCGTTGTACTGTGTCAGATTAATTTCTTACCCGAAAATCTAATATCTAATCAAAATGTCGGTTTTGAAAATTGTAACAGGACAAACAAGTTATTTAAAATAATTCTTTTAATGACTAGTAAATTAGATATTAATTTTTTGCGGCTTCTTATACATACAATAATAAATATTTGTTGATGTTTTTCTATTTTCAATTGAATGATAAATTTAAAAAAAGTACAATTCTTTTAATAAAAAATAAATACATAAATTGTTCGTATTTCTATATCTGATCAAATAGATTTTAAGAGATGAAACTAATTTGTCATAGTTATTTCAGATTCATATTTCATTATTATACAATGCAATCCTACATATAATATTTACAAAAATAAGCATCCCATAAGTGCCTCTTCTAGTAATGCTCCACACTATTTTTATTGTAAAATTAAGCCAGAAGCATTCGGCTTTTCACATTTTAAACTTTACAATAATTTGTTACATACTTGAGTTACAGGAGTCCAGTTCTTTTCTTTAGTCAGGTTTGTATATAGGTATTTTTGGAATAAATTCAATTAAAAGAACCTGTAATACAAAAGATGAAAATAAGTATTTGCTTATATATAAAAAGGCTAAATACATGACACCAGCTTAGAAAATGATGTAACTAAAGATCTAGAAGCTTAAGTGTAAGTAAGGTTTCAAGTATTTACATCAACCTTTCTTTCTAAAGGAATACTTAATGTACAAAGAAAAGTGTTTCAATTTTATTAAACTTATATATAAAACTCAACTTATATATAAGTGAATATAGAAATTTGATGCACTCATATTTACTTACATATTCCATCATGGATGAAGTATCACATCTTTGTTTCGCTAATCTCCAATGTAATCCAAGTTTATGATATAGCCTACTGTTCTCCCATTCTAATAACTTGTTTAATGAATGTTGTGTCTATTAAATAATGTCAAAATTTATTATCAGTATGTACTTAGTAGAATATATATTATTACAATATATGAACTGTGCCATGTGGCTTATAATTTAGCATTAAATAAACATGAATATTCAAATTAAAAAGTTAATAAATCTGTTTACAAAGACAAATTTACCCTTTTACTCAAACAAATAACAGGCCACAAAGAACATCCTAATGTACAACAGCAGCAAACACAACCACAAAATAACCATTTAACGTTAACTGGTAATGTTTTTTTCAGAACACTGTTTATTCTCATAACAGTTGCTTTAAATTCTTCTGGAGCAACGCGTGACACCAGGCCATTTGGGAATTCTGATTCAAAGCGATTGCTAAGCCCAAATCTAAAACAAATAATTATAAACAATAATATATAAAATTATGCAAGAATATCTTTTATACTGCACAAAACATTACATTTGTTATTAATTCCCTTTGTGAAGTATCATGTCTTCATAAAATATATGTTAGTGATTTATCCAATGAATCATTAAAAATGAAGTACTGACATTTGAAATATTAAAATTAGATTCAAGTTTATCCTTGTACTGAAATTAATGTATGCAAAAAGTAGGAAAAATAATAGAATATTACGTACACTGTCATGTTACCAGCTCCGCGAATAACTATAGGATCTGGTACCATTGTTACGTAGTGTTCTTCCAAGTTTTGTTCATTTTCTTCATCTTCGTAAATTGCATCAAAATCTGCCATTGTGAAATATTCAACGATTCCCGCTCTACGAGCACACAATTATATCGTCGTAAAAGAACGACGTCTATTCTACTAGAAAATAGGGTTGTTTTTCATTTATATTTAACACGAAATAACGTTTATACATTGATTTCAATTGTCGCACATAAACATTTTCACGGCCCTAAATTATAGGCCAAACAACAAACTTTTTCTTGAAAGTTATTTGTAATAACACCAGTCACAACATAACACACGACGCGCACTGCAGATGCTCACAGCTCATCAATTTTTCATTCAATGTAATTCAATGCGATTTCAAGTTCGCCAACATTGCAATCCATGAATATGTCTAGATTGCAGAATCGAAAATAGTGTTATATGGTTACTGTGGCTCGCCGTAGTGTAAAATTCGAGAACTTCAAACGCATCAAATATAAAATTTGAACCGAAGCAACGAACAAAAGAATTTAGTAACATTTACAAATTTACAATTACTTGTTAAAATAAATATTTGTTCTGCTACGTAGAAGGACATTACTAAACTGTAAAACACCTTCTTTAGAGAACACAAGTATAAACAGATTTCCGATCAATATGCCACGAAAAGGTATACATATTGTATACACGTAACATTTTCCGGATCAACAATAATATCTTTACCAACGATATTATTTATCTTATTATTATGGAAATATCAGACAATCAATGCATATTATCAATGTTTTAGTGCAAATACTGAAACATTGCTGACTTATTACTTTGATAAAAAATTTACACAAGTTATGAAATAGTAGTCATTAGAAAATTTACTTAATTTATTGTGCATTACAATAATATTACAAGAATATAAAATAATATAATATTCTTAATATATATCTATTTATTAGAAGTAAAATATATTCGTTTTTTACAATTATACATTAGTAACAAAATATTTTCATGTACAAGAACTTTGTACTTTTATAAATATACCTAGTCCTGCTCTACAATAAGGTCTGCTAAGTCAGAAGACGAAGTTATTTTTAATACCTTTTCATTTGCCAGATGTAATAAAGATACAAAAGAAATTGGAAAACTCAATGACTCATTATTAGTTTTTGTTAACAAATTCGGTAAAGTTTTATATATCTGACTGAAGCATTTTTTTTCATTCATTTTATTAATTGATTCTCTTTTTTCTGTTTCTTTTGTACTGTCATGTCTGTTATTGATTAAACATGTCCAAATAGATTTTTTTAATTGTTTCATATCAACCTTCTTTGCCCGCACACAATATGCAATAGATAACTTATTTGTTAATTTTGGTGCAGCAACTAGATTTTCTCCAGTAAAAGGCACTTGTGTTTCAAACACTCCCTCGTCTTCAGCTGTGAAGTTTTCATTTTCGTGAAAGTCATCATTATTCATATTGGAATGGAACATGTCATTGTTATCATCATAACTATGTACATTATCAGTCAAGGAACCAGTATTTGTTTGTTTTTTATTTTCTGGTTCTTTGAATATTAGAGGATGAAGATATAATTTATTAACTTTTGTGATATCATAATGTTGATCTAGAGGTAATGTTAATACTTCTTCATTCCACTCTGTTCTAATAGCTTTACTAATAATTTTGCCTACATCAGTTAAAATATATTTATTCTTTAGCGCTTCAATAGTTTGATTATCGTAATTTAATTCTATTTCCTTTCTTTTCTTCACTGGTGCTTGACGGCATGTTTCAATTACATTACTATTAGATGTTAATTTTCTGAAGTTCGTAAATTTCCAGTGAGATGGGCCTGCCCAATGTATATTTAAATTTTGTTGAATATATGAATATTCAGATGTTTCTGACGATTTTGTTTGTTTGGATAAAACCTGATAAAAATCTACAATTTTTGTTACTGGTTTAGATACTGCAACACATCTGTCTACATTTTCTTCTATATACTCATCAGTATGAAAACAACTTGTATTGTGAGGATCGTTTTCGTTGTCGGATGGTATGGAAGCATCTAAATCAAACTGAAATCTACCTTCATTATCTTTTTCTGATTGAACTTCATCTAGTTCTTCATCATCTGCATTCCAACTTTGAAAATTAAAGTAACATAAAGGAGGACAAATCTCCATGTTCGAAAAGTCTGTTACTTTTGGAATATTGCATACTGAATCCTTATTTTGTACATCTTTAGAGTCTACTTTGTCTACCAAAATATCATTATATGGATGTGGATAAAATTGGGAAGTTGCATGGTTTGGTAACATTACTTGATATAACATATCTGTCGTTTGTAAATCTGCTTCCATAGATATTAAAGAAGGTTTTTCTGTTTCAATGCTGGTCTTTAAAGCTTCTGCAGTACCAAATATCTGCTGTTTCTTTTTTTTCTTTATTCTTTTTTCCAAGTTTTCTGTTTGATTATTTGTGGATGCCTCTTGAGAATCATTTAATGCATTATCCTGACTATTATTATCCTTTTCTTGTTGTCCTAATCCACCCATCATTTTAAGTATATCCATATGAACACCATCAACACGAAATCCATAAATTTTAGCACTTACATCTAAAGATGTACTAGCTACTTGTAAATTCGACATGTTGGCATCTTGTTTCTTGATCATGTATGTCATGAAATCAATCATCTCTAAGCTGAATGCATTCTTTGGATTAATTTTATTCTCTGCACCAAGTTTTATGCATTGAGATATACGTTCTGCCATCTGATCAGCTGGCATATGTACTATAAAACCAAATCCTGAAGAACGTCTTTTGTCATTGTGGTTTGAAGTACTTATTGAAGAAGCGTCACTAAGTCGTCTACGATGAGCTAAACGTTCTGCTTCATCATCATTTTCTAATAAAGTAGGATCGCAAACTGATTTTCGTGGGAAAGTAGATTTTCTTCGTAATGGTGATGAAGAAAATGGTGGATCTGTTGCAGTATTTAATGTATTTAGTACACCCTTATGAACTGCCATTTTTTCACTCCAAATTTTTATGTATTCTTATGTACAGTCCTAAAACAGATTACAATATTTTTTTGAATATATATGTAATTATAAAAGACATATCTTTATATTTTACATCTATTAATATATTCCTTTCTTTTAATATTACCTGTAAGTAAGGAACGAAATTTAAATATGCTTAAATAAACTTATACTATATGAATTGTGGGTTGAGTAGTTTTAGAGATTACTGTAAAAATTAATAACTACACAATTTAAGTCAATGATGATTAAATATTCAATTCTTTCTTACTTGGATAAATTTTAAATAAAATATTGTTTACTTCCGAGAAATAGATCGATTTGATTTGACACTATCGTAAAACTTCATAACAAATTTGAAAAATTATAAACATTTCTGTATAAATCATTCATCAAGTACAGTATACACATAAAATTATCAATATCTAATATGAACATACAAATGAAATGTTTATATTTCAATAACAACAGTTAATATAATTCAAATGGCGCGAAACAATTCTTTACAGAAACGAACCATGTTCAAACTGTAAGAAGTTTGCATACATACACAGCTTCACGAGAAATTGCATCGATTGCACTACTAGATGAGCAGTTTCCGCTTTTTCTGTGCATATCTGTTCTATTCTATAAACTCTATAATCTATGGATACGCACATGCGTTTTCATGAGAATTCAAAAAGAACTTGGCGTTTATTTAGTTCTTTCTCTCGTAGAACAAAGTATGCAAATACTTTTTTATTTTATTTGCACAGTAGAATATGTCCGAAATACCGATGACAAATAACACGATCGTGATATTACGAATAACAAAATATTATAGCTAGCATCAACATAGATTGCTGGATGCGTTTTCATGTAATAGGCATCTTTCATTGTGAATCTGCTTTAGGAATCGATATCAATGCACCTTTCTTATGCTTTTCAGGACACAAAATTGTTTCTAGTTATTTCGCGAAAACTAAGCTATATAATACTCCGATATCTTTTAAAGTAAATGTTAATAAATACATAACACAAGTGAATATTTGGTGAAGATTATATGGATTATTCTTATAAAATAGTTCTTTACTTTTTCGTAACTAAAATTGTAAACAACTATGCGTTTGTAACAGTTTAACCAATAAATTTGTAAGTTAGGATACCATGGAAGTTTTATTGTTATCAAAATCCATGCTGTATGTTTGTCAGTGGTCAGTAATAATTATTAAATCATAAAATGGTAAGAGACTAACTAAATTTGATAATCAATAGAAATGTATATACGTTCTGTTTTTCTTTGGTGTCAACATAAATGTTATGATACTTTTTGATTGTATTTTTTTTAATTTAGTTACTATGTCTATTCAAAAATAATGTATCATGATAAAAAATAATATATAGTTATAAAAATATAATGGTAATGATTGAAATATATTTTTCAAGTTGAATGATATATGTAAAAAATGTTGTCAGTGTTTATTTTGTGTTACCTGTATCATTAATTAGTTTATATTTATATATAAATTTACTTAAGTTTTTAGTTCAGTTCTTATGTACAGAAGATTATTTAATAATTATTGTTATTACATAACTTAATAGTTATTAGTTATTATATTGCATAATAATTTAGATATTATTTTAGGGTGCAAATATATCACAACTAGAAAGAGATATTGGTTCTGATCAATTTCCTCCTAATGAACATTATTTCGGATTAGTTAATGTAAGTATCAGATGTAAAATGTGTAATGAAAATAAAGCATAATATTAATTATATATATATATGTGCATATAACAAGTTTTCATTAATAATATTAACAAAACTAACATTAATCTTTACATATTATTACAGTTTGGAAATACTTGTTATAGTAATTCTGTGTTACAAGCTTTGTACTTCTGCCGACCATTTAGAGAAAAAGTTTTAGAGTATAAAGCTAGGAATAAACGAACTAAGGAAACATTATTAACATGCTTAGCAGACTTATTTTACAGTATTGCAACTCAGAAGAAGAAAGTTGGGTCTATAGCTCCAAAAAAATTTATTGCCAGGTTAAGAAAAGAAAAAGGTGATTAATATGTACTTATTTTACAATTATATAATTTTTCATAATTGTAATTAAGAATCTAATTTGTTATTAATTCTTAATGTTATATTTATGTTTAATGTAATCATATCTATTAAATTTATTACAGAGGAATTTGATAATTATATGCAACAAGATGCACATGAATTTCTGAATTTCTTAATAAATCATATAAATGAGATCATCCTAGGTATGCAAATCTTTATAGACATATCTGCTTATATAAACTAATATAATATATCTCATTAAAAATAATTTTTGTATTCTACATTTTAGCAGAGAGAAATCAAAGTAAACCAGCTGGTGGAAAATGTGGTGCAGGTGATGCTGGTTCACCACCTGAACCTACGTGGGTTCATGAAATATTTCAAGGAATTTTGACATCGGAAACGCGCTGCCTTAACTGTGAGACTGTGTCTAGCAAAGATGAGGATTTCTTTGATTTACAAGTCGACGTAGATCAAAATACTTCTATTACACACTGCCTCAGATGTTTCTCAAATACTGAGACTCTTTGTAGTGACAACAAATTCAAATGTGATCATTGTAGCAGTTATCAAGAAGCTCAGGTATTGATTAAGAAAATTTAAGCATTATAAATCCTTTATAACATCATATAATTTTAAAATCATTCATCCATGCATCTATATTATTTATTAATATGATCTTTGTTGTAGAAACGAATGAGAGTTAAAAAATTGCCGATGATATTAGCATTACATTTGAAAAGATTCAAATATGTAGAACAGTATAATCGTCACATTAAAGTTTCTCACAGGGTAGTTTTTCCATTGGAACTTCGTCTCTTTAATACTGTATGTAATTTGGAGTTATTTATTATACATTGCTCATCATTATAACTTTTAGATATATGAATTATATAAAAATATCTCTTGTAATTTATAGAGTGACGATGCGGTAAATCCAGATCGATTATACGATTTGGTAGCAGTTGTGATACATTGTGGAAGTGGGCCTAATCGAGGACATTACATTTCTATAGTGAAAAGTCACGGATTTTGGTTACTCTTTGATGATGATATGGTTGATGTAAGATTTGCATTTTACATTATCAGAAGTCCTTGTTATTATATAAATATTTATATGCATTTAATCTTCTTTACAGAAAATTGATGCATCTACAATAGAAGATTTTTATGGACTTACTTCAGATATTCAGAAAAGTTCCGAAACTGGTTACATTTTGTTCTACCAATCAATAGACTGTAGTTAGAATTAAATATAATTATATGATAATTAAATAAATTCTATATAGTAATTTCATATTTGATCGAAATATAGTGTATAAGATTAGAAATGTTATATATTATATTATTTATAAAGTATGTATAGATTCAATTATATTTTGTCTGTAAAATATAAGAATAGTCATTAGGTTTATGAATTATTCATTAATATAATGCCTTCGTGGAAATTATCTTTTACTAGAAAAGCTATTTTATTGTTATAGCATATGAATTATTTATATTACCTTTAATGTAAAGCTAGTCTAAAAAATCTTTTATTTTAACTTTAGACAAACCTGTCTAATATCTTAGAAGTGTTGGAAAGACTAACAAATTCTATATGTATGTAAAGAATTACTACTGAAAATAAATCATTGTTATTAGTTATTATTTATTATTACAAGTAGTAAGTCATTTTTTCCTTATTACTTCAAGTGTGTAGAGTATATAAAAATAACATTATTGTTTTTAAAGACGTTTTTATTGAAATTTAAGCAATGAATTCATAAGGAATAGGTGCAAGTGAAACTGGTTTTTCACGTCCTGATACAATGTGTGCACCTCTGGGTTCAGCAGGCTGTCTTTTCAGTTGGACTCTGACTTTCTTTTCCTTAGCTTCCTTCCTAAGTCTTTCATTCTCCTTCACTCTCTTTAAGAAATCTTCTCTGCATTTAGAATGAGTCAGATGTTCAATGCGAACATTGATCCTCTTGGCAATAATTCGTCCACGAACTCTCTTATTAACGATGACTCCAAGAGCATGTGGGGTTACATTAAATACCCGTCCAGTTTTCCCATGATAAACTTTGTAAGGCATTCCTTTCTGCACAGCTCCATTACCTTTAATATCAACAATATCACCAACTTTGTATACTTTCATGTACGTGGACAGTGGAATTGTTCCATGTTTGCGAAACTTTCGAGAAAACAAATCTCTTGTTCCTCTACGGTACCCTTTTGAATTCGTCATTTTGACAGCTTAATCTGTAAAGTATGTAATTAATTAGTACTTAATTACTTACAATATAATTTTTAGAATACATTAACGATATTAATATTATTCAATATTAAAAATGTTTATTATATTAAAATTTGCACAATAAAATGTTATAATGCAACTATTAATATTAAATTTGAATAAATGCAGAAAATAAAAACAAAATTTTTATTTTATTCTGATTATAATTTAAATGTTATGTATTTAACATATGCAGTTATGAACACGTGCATTAGGTTATGACAATAAATTTAAATAAAAGTTTGTTTTTTTTATTAATAAATATAAATCATATATTGCTTATATAAATTACATAAATTTTGAAGATACACAACAAAGTATTAAGTTAAAATTATACGGAAATTTAATAAAATCTCTATTAATATACGTACAAAAATCAATCACGATTGCTCGCGTCCTCGAAAAAGAAAAACCAAGATCAGCAACCCAACTACTATGACGCAAAATTCGATTATAATCGATATGTAACTTATTCGATATTAAATTATATTTATTCTTTTTTATAACTTAATCAATTAATCTCATTAAATTTAAACTACTTTTGTTAAAAAATGATGTGTATGGATAAAAATAAATTCAATATAATTTAAACAGAAATTATAATTTATTCAATGAAAGATCTTATATCATGGCTAATTTCAGTAGAGTCACTTTCACTGAAAGTTGTTGCATTTGGTCAGTCATGTATATGGTGAACAAAATAATGTAAATAGGTAGAATAACTGATGATACAAGAATTATACAAAATAAAAAATCACTGGGTATATATGCTCAGTGTTATGAACATATCAGTTGTAGACTAAAATTTAAAATTTTGTTCACCAATAGATTGCGCTTTTGTCGATTATAATGTTTCCTTTCTATAGTTTGTTTAATCGCTTGTTGCGCTGCATGACAGTTGTTTTATGAAAGTTCGTGTTTGAAAATTATAATTTTGCAGGTCTACATTATTTACCAATCCAATATTAAACAATGGTATTTATTTTACATGCTTTTTAAACAAGTATAAATAGTATTAGTTATTTCCAATTATGATCACAAAATTTGCGTTAAATTACTGATTCATTGTTAAAGAAGGGTTATATGTCTTCAAACTTCTAGTCTTCTGATTAAGATTGTTTCAGTTAATTTTTGTATGAAGTTGAACGTGCACTTTTTGTATTACTATATCTTGATACTCCATCTTCTAATTCTATTGTTAAATTTATTAATAATATATTCAGATATAATGAAAAATAAATTTTATCAAATTTTCAGTTTCGAAACCAGTATGATAGTGATGTTACAGTTTGGAGTCCACAAGGACGTTTACATCAAGTAGAATATGCGATGGAAGCTGTAAAATTAGGATCAGCTACAGTTGGACTTAAAAATAAAACTCATGCTGTTCTTATTGCACTCAAAAGAGCTTCATCTGAACTTTCAGCGCATCAGAAAAAAATGTTTCCTATAGATAAACATATGGGAATTTCTATTTCTGGTTTAACTGCTGATGCTAGAATGCTAAGGTACATTATAAAAAGTTTAACATATTTGCAGTTTTAACTTATGTTCAGGTCAATGCATTCCTTACTTATATATCCTTTGAATCATATATGAATCTTCATTGTTATTTATGACAATAAAATTATTTAATTCTTTATTAATTTAATTATAGTCGATATATGCGAACTGAATGTTTAAACTATAAATATTCCCATGATGATGTATTACCTGTGAGTCGTTTACTTGCATCATTGGGAAATAAACTGCAGACTTCTACTCAAAGATATGATAAAAGGCCATATGGTGTGGGTTTACTTATTGCTGGATATGATGTAAGTTATAATAAAATGGACAATTGTTAATTATCTAGAATGAAATTATTTTTAATGTGTCATCCATTCTTTTTTCAAAGGATCAAGGACCACATATATATCAAACATGTCCTTCATCAAACTATTTTGATTGCAAAGCAATGGCTATAGGTTCACGTTCTCAAAGTGCTAGAACATATTTGGACAAACATTTGAATGAACTTCTTTCATGTGATCTTGATGAACTTATAAAACATGGTCTTCGTGCATTAAGAGATACTTTGCCTAATGAAGTTGATTTATCTGTTAAGGTAAAACTATTCTTGAAAATTTATTAGTTACTGTATATGTATTATAATGAAATAATGTATTAACATATTTATTGCAGAATGTCTCTATTGCAATAGTTGGAAAAGGCACAGATTTTACAATATTTGGTGAAGAAGCAATAGCCACTTATTTATCTCAAATTGAAGATGATAAACGTGGAAAACCTACTGAACCAGATGTTGAACAAGATTCTAAACCCCCACAACCCCCACCTTCTGATGAAGGTCCACAAGATCCTCAAGCTGCGGTTGCAATGGAAACAGATTAAAATTAATGTAATATATTTTATACCGTGTTGTATGTGTACATACAAAATGAATGTGCATTTTGTGCTTAAAATTTGTATTTGTACTATAATTATCACATTCAACTTAAAGCTTAAATATTATTAATTGAAAAGTGAGTCATGAAAATTGGTTTAATAATCTAAATATATTTACGTTTATTTACATGTCATGTGTATAATATATACATATGTAACAACAATACACTTCAGTTTTACACGGGGATAATTTTTCAATTGAATCATAGCAATGAACACATAAATATCCTTTTATGCACAGATTTACAATAATTTATACTAAATTATACATGAACAATCACTTTCATGATAATCGTTGCATAACAATTTTTCATAAATATATTTACTATTTCTCGGTCTCGTTACTTTTACGCTTTTTTAGTATGTTTGTTAAGAAAAATTCTCCAGCTTTATATGAAGAACGCACTAAAGGACCACTAGCAGTGTATAAAAATCCTAGTTCGTTTCCTACTTGTTCCCATTTCTTAAATTTTTCAGGTGTAACATATTCAATAACTTTTAAATGTCTTTTTGTAGGTTGCATGTATTGTCCAAGTGTTAAAGCACCTACACCTACATCTCTTAGATCTTTCATGGTTTGTTCAACTTCTTCATCTGTCTCACCCAATCCCAACATTATTGATGATTTTGTAATTAAATCTGGATTTAATGTTTTAGCTGTTTTTAAGACATTCAATGACTGTCTAAATAATATACGAATGTGTAAGTTTTTTTTGCTTATTAAACCAATTATAAAGAATTAAGTAAACACTCAAACTTACCTATATTGAGCTCGTCTATCTCTAACAAATGGAGTTAAACGTTCAACAGTTTCAATATTATGGGCTAACACATCAAGCTTTGAATTAACAATTACTGCAACACAATCTTCATTTCCTCTAAAATCTGGTATCAAACATTCAACTAAAATATTGCTCCTATAAAAATATATATCAAATTTGTTTAATATCAATTTACAAAAGGTATTCAGTACTATAATCAAACAGTAAAAAATTCAAATAATTTACGTACTTCTTTTTAATTTCTTTCACTGTTTCTGCAATATGATTAGCTCCACCATCACTTAGATCTGTTAAAATACATCATACTAAATTCATAATTTTCTATATAACAAATTGTGAAAGTATTTACTAACCATCTCTGTCTACAGATGTAAGTACAACATAATCCAAGCCCCAATCTGTTATTGCTGTTGCTGTATTTACTGGTTCTTCTGGATCTAGTGGTAATGGTGTACGTGATGTCTTTACAGAACAGAAACGACAACCACGGGTACATGTGTCTCCCATTAACTATATTAAATTTTTTTCCACTATTACGTTTTCATAATACTATTAATTAACCTTTTTAAATAAAATCGAAGTGTTATTCAGAAGGAGTACATGACAAAATATTTGTTATAACTGCATATAAATAAAGGTTTTGACATTTGCATGGCCATTACAACTATTCAATTGCTTAAAAATTGATACATTGAAAGTTAATTCTTGGATATAAAAAGATCTATCAATGATCATGCAAGTGTTACAGTTCTAAATGACAATAATTTCACATTTCTATACAACATTTAGCAGTTTGAGATCTGAGTGATTTTTGGTAACCTATCCTGAGTGTCTACAAGGACTGTAAGTTGCATAAAAGATATGTGTATAATCCTTGATCTCAAAGTACTAAAATATAAAATAATAAAGTGTATTGCTACAACAGTACAAACCATAATAGTGGCAGTTGCTGTCCCATGTGTATCGCCTCCCCAGCATTCCCCAATATTGGGGCAACGTGCTTCTTCACATACAGTACTTAATCGTAATTGTCTTAGTTGCGATTTTAATTTACTATAATTTTTACCCACAGGTATCTGAGTTTTAAGCCATGGTGGTAACCTTAACCGAGATTTATCTCCTTTTTCTAATTTCAATTTTCCATCATATTCTTTGAAATCTCCAGCGACAAAATCTTTGAAATCAGGTCCATCCCTTAATTTTTGAGAAAATGTTTTTTCTTGAACACATGGTAAGTGCTTTGATAACAAATAAGCAAACATATATTTTTTATGCATGATTAAAATAATGTATAAAAGATGCTTAGGTTCGCATTGAGTATGACTTACCGTTGAGTGAAAATTGCAAACAGCTAATAGTTTTGATGGACTTGACTTAGAAAAAACTTGAAACATGATTTGTATGGAGATCAACATTCAAGTAACATAAAAATTTGATAAAAAGGAAAAACTTTTTTATGTCATATGTAACCATAGACTATCGCAATTTATGTAGGAGAGAAACAAGTTACTATATGCAATTATATAATGAACAATATTAGAGATTTATTAAGTCCATTTCTTTTTAAGTACAGAATTTCAAAACTCAAGAATAAGATAAATAGCTCAAGGAAATTATTTACAAAACATATTTCATAATATTATTTCTTTATAAGAACATGTCCACCTCAAACATGTCCTCTTTGCCCATATTGTGTACTAAATTTTGTTAGTTTAGCAACACGCACTGACGTAATATCATCCGATCTTCAGAAGTTCTGTGATTGGATGCTGTAAAGGTCGGGTGATTGTTCGTAATTTGTGAGTTATTACGTTTGACATATCAGCGTGTTATTTTGTTTTAACTTTTATATTTATTTAATGAAAATAAATATTTAGTATACAATAGGTCACAATGACAGATCCTGGAAGATGGTCTTCAACACAGGATACTGACTTTTCAAGCTTTCAGTCAAATGATAGCTTCAATTTAAATGAAGTAACTGGTATTGATGGTATGTTACATATAATATTTATCAAATTAAATTGTATTGTCATATTTTAATCGCATTGCACTCCTGCATTAAATTTTGTATATCCTTCAAATACACTTAGTATTATTTATAGTATATGTTTCTTCAATTTCAATAATATATACAATTAAGAAATTTCTTTAATAAATAATAATATGATTATATTTATTATTTATGTTTATGTATTTTGAAATCATATTTAAATAAAAACATAAAAAATAATAGTAATACCTTTCAAATGATATAATAATAGTAATTCATATTTTAAATAATTATTTACATTCTGCTATTTTACTTTCAGATCTTCTTACAAATTGCGAAAGTGAATTGCTGCAAAATGAAAACTTATTCAGCGATGATGCATTGCTCTCACAATTGGAAGATCCTTTAGCTATGGATGCAGAAGGTTTAGATTTTTTAAACTTTAACAGTAGCGAAGAGTTAAAAGATTTTAAAGAATTCCAAGATTTCAAAGATCCAAATATTATTAAATCTGTACCAAATGGAAATGTATTAGTAACTTCAACAATACCAGAAAATACACAACAAATTCCTTGTGTGTCATCACAACAACAAAAACAACAACAGCAACCTCCACTCCAAGACATAGCATCTATGAAAAATAGAACACAAAGAATATCTGTTACATCAACACCTACAGTATTTAGTTCACAATATGCTATTCCACAGAATGTAAACTTCAATGTTCAATCATCACCAGTAGTAACAATAGCACCAGTAACCCAACAAAGACAGTTACTTTTGCCAGCTAAACTTATTAAGTCAGAATCAGTTGTTTATTCTAGAGGATCACAAGCTGTTACTTCAGCTTCTGTACCACATCAAATACATACCTTAGTGAATACTGCTAATGGAACAGTTTTAACTACTGGTAAGAATTTAGTTATTTGAATTATTGTATGTCAAATATATTATGTTTCAATTTCTGCTTAGGTATTCCTGTTGTATTAGATACTGACAAAGTGCAGATCAATCGATTGAGTACAAATACTCATGTAGGTGTACCAAAAGTAAAAGAAGTAAAACGCAATGCCCATAATGCTATAGAACGACGTTATAGAACATCAATAAATGATAAAATTATTGAATTGAAAAATATTATTGTTGGAGTGGATGCTAAATTAAATAAATCAGCAATTTTAAGGAAGACTATTGATTATATTAGGTATATTATTTTGAAGTTTTAATTAATTTCATTTCATATATATCATAAAATAATAAAAATATTAATTAATTTTGAAAATTGCAGATTTTTACAGAATTCCAATGCAAAGTTAAAAGCAGAAAACATGTCATTAAAAATGGCACAACGACAAAATTTGCGCGATTTATTAGTATGTGGTGAACTTACACCACCAAGATCAGATTCAAGTGAATCATCTTTGTCTCCAGCACCAGCACCGTTATCTCCGCCATCTCCGTCATCGATCAAAGATGATCCAGATATACTACAAAATATTCATTCTACATCCGTTCTTACAAACCAAGGCATGAGAGACCACACCAGACTTACACTTTGTGGATTTATGTTTCTTTTGTTAGCTTTTAATCCCTTGGGTCTTCTTATAAATAATGTTGGAAGATTCAATTCTGATTATGCAAATACGAAATTGGACGGTCGGACAATTCTAAATTATCAAGGTATAATATTGCGATATATGTGTAAATTAATCGTAATAAATAATATTATACATTATTAATTTCATTTTAGATCAATCAGATTCTGAGAATCCAATTTGGAGTAATGTACTTTTGTGGTTAACAAATGCTATACTTCTGATCAGTGGGCTTTGCAGATTACTGCTTTACGGCGATCCAATATTAACTTCCGATAGTAAATTATTCCTCGAACTTCATCGATGGCGGCGTCAAGCAGAATTTAATATATCAAAAAATGAGTATAGTCAAGCATGTCGCGATTTGCATCAATGCTTGCAATTCTTAGGTCGACCATATCCATCGTCACGTACAGAAATTTGGCTTGCAACTATGTGGCAGATTATAAGGCAACTTCTTCATAAGTTATGGATTGGGAAATGGATTTTATACACTCATAAATGGTTTTCTGAAAAAACAACACGACAACAAGCAGAAATATCGGCTATGGAAATAGCCACTATTTATCAACATATGCTTTGTTTACGCTTATCGGAAGGTTCAAAAAATGGAACATTATATCTTGCCTTTTCTGCAGTAAATTATGCTGAAGCCGCCGGTGAAACTATACCAAAGTCATTATTGGCAGAAATATATATCAATGTTGCGTTATGTTTTAAACAGTCGCTTTTACCATTTATTCATAAATATTATTTGGGTAAAGCGCGAACACTACTTTCATCATGCGCAGTGCCACCGAAGTTCAAGTGGATTATGAGCGACGAAGGTGCTAAATTTTTAGCATTTCAGAAATGGCAATATGGAGAACAATCAGATAATGAATTTACATCTCAGAGTAGTAAAGCTGATCCTCTGTCATATGCATCACGTGCATACAGAGATTACTTAATTGGACATTGTTTACGTATTTTAACTGGTACTGCAGGAGACACTCATTTATCATCAATCTTGGAATATGGTCAAATTATTATGTCTTCTGCTGGAGTAGATACTGGTTTCGTATGTGCCAATAAAGTTACAGCTACCCGTAAGTACACAAAAATGAATTTATTATCAAAATTTTATCCTTTTCAGAGAAGTCATAATTTTGTCTAATGTTTCAGACTGTGAAGATGAAATTGGATTATGGTGGGGAGCAGTAATGTATGTAGCAGCATGTTGGAGATTAAGGGAAGATGATTCCCAAGCATGGAATATAGTTGAAAGCAAATTTCCTTATGAAAAAAATTATCAGCTTTGTAATAATAATAGTAACATTAGTCCACTACCATATATTGTTTTAAATGCTTTGCAAGCAGCAAAAGCAACTACTAAAACAGTTTCAATGCGTTTTATTGATCAAGCAGGAATATTACTAGAGCAAAGCCTAGTTTATTATCATTGCAAGCAACAATCATTGCAAAATGTTTTGGTAAGATTTATACGTTATTGAAATTTTAAAGTTGACATTTTTCTTTACTTTTATAATTTTAAAAATTGAAATAAATATTCGGTAATGGGGTTAGGCAAAATGTTTTACGCGCGTAAAATAATAAATTGTATATATGGTTCATATTAATTATACGTAATTAATATGAAGTTGAAACTGCGTAATAATAGTTTCAATATGTATTTATGCAGTTGCTTACCTGTTACAAGTGTGCATTGTAGTTGCATTGCATGAAATATAACTATGCAATACTTCTACAGTGCAACTCCTGTGGCAGGTGTCAGCGCCATAGAATAATATATATTTATATATATAATGTGTCCATATATACACATGTATACATATTTACATTCTAAATGTTATAAAGCTTTATAATGTATATACCGTTATATTCTTTCTAGCTTACACAATTGTGGATTTGTGATTGGTTACTTGAGATGCGAACTACATTTTGGCAAGAATTAGATGGTGATTTAGAAAGATCCAATATAAATATATCACTTGGCGGTTTTCAACGCGATTTAGCTTGTTTGAGACAGTTGTGTCAACATATTCCAGTAAGTGTAAATGTTTACGGTATTTGGTTATTCTTCATATTAATATTTATTAATTGTAATGCTTTTCTTAGTCTACATTGGCACGAGTATTTCTTTATGAAGCTACCGCACGTATAATGGCAGGAGCAACGCCAGTAAAAACTCAAGTCTTATTAGATCGCAGTTTACATCACCGAAATTCACGTTCCTCGATTATCTGTGGAAAAGATCGTTCTCAGGATCAATATAGCGGAGAAAGAGAACACGCAGTAGCTTTATGTTTAGCATGCCGACATTTGCCTGCATTATTATTGGCTTCTCCTGGCGAACGTGCCGGTATGCTCGCAGAAGCTGCTAAAACTCTTGAAAGAGTTGGTGACAGAAAAAGGCTTCAAGAATGTTATAAATTAATGCGACAATTAGGTCCTGCTATTTCTGCTAACTGATGCATTGAATAAAAATGCATCATTCATTTGATATTACATACTTCATGAAATCATTGTATATAAATTTCAATGCAGAATTCACTTCCATTAAGCTATTTTTGTAATTTACTATTTATTATTTTTTATGTAGGCGCTTTGTAATGTAAGATATATATATATATATATATTTTCATTATATGCATTATATATATGTAATATAAACTACATAAATATCAATCTGTTCTAAAAACAGTTATAAGTGATGAAATTATTTATAAGTTATGAAATAAAATGTACAATAATTTTTAATAATATTAATCTGATTTGTTGCAAATATAAAAAATAAAACTTGTAGTATTTAGTTTTATTTATTTCATTTAAAAAGTATGTTAAATTTATGTTATGAATACAAAGCTAATTTATATATGATTATTCTACCAAAGAAGTCTGTACTTTCATTAAATACAAATTTAAACAATTTTGCTTTTGCAGGTGTCTTTAAATAAAATTTTTGTAATGTATTTGTGTCTTCAGGATAAAATAATTCAAAAACCTCAGTATCCTTATCACCAATCTCTAGATGACAATTTTTGCCAGCAAATCCTCCTTGAAATTCAATTTCAAAGGAATTTACTTCACATTCTTGTTCAAAGTTAATAATTATCCATTGTGGTGTTCCCTGAAATATATTTTTTAAAACTATACAGATGCTGATGTACAAAAAAATGAATAACATTATTGCTTTATTGATCTAAAATGTTGAAAATACATTTCCTTACCGCATCAGAGTTCCAACATGTGTCAGGAGAATTGTCAAACATATAATTTTTCCCATATGATCGATTATTTTTATTCAAAACTGAACTGACGCTACATAAACAATTTTACTTTGCTATTAAACAAAATTTTTTATAATGTTTCTTGTGTAATACATTCTTGTTAATGATATAATTAAATCTTTACTATAAAATTGAAATTTATATACTGTTACATATTTCATTACTTAAAATGTATAGTTGAATTTCAATAGCTTACCGGCATTCAAATTTATGTTGTGTTAATAAGCAAGTCATAATAAACTAGAAATAATTTGACAATTTGCATGTATATACTTTAACCTTAAATTTATATTGGTTATATTGTTTCCTTCACGAGAGAATAGGATCATTTGGCGTAATGTGACTAAGTTTGACTCAATTCAAGAGGATTCACGTCACATGTGCTTCCCCACTATAAATTTCTTTCAATGTAGAAGTATGACGAATTTGAAATTAAGAAGCTCGAAAATTTGAAAATTTTATCACTTAAAAATTTAGAATTTAGTTCTTAAATTAGTCAACATAATCTATTTATCATTTTTATCTTCCTGATATAATTAATTCAATGTTAATCCACTGAATTATTTAAGCGTATTAAAAAAATCACTTGTCTACATACGTTTGTCCGGCCATATATGTTTCGTTCGTGTTCCTTCGCTCTCGTTCGCTCACGTTCGGCTCAGTGGAGACGCACCCTAATATTGAACTCGTGAATACAAATAAAAAATTCAATACAGTGCAGTCTCGCTGTATGGCTTCCATTTATATGGCCCGTTAAGCGAGTTCCCCTTCACACGGATTTACACGCACACTAATGTCACTCTCCCACCATTATAACGCATGGAGATCATGTTTCGACGTTGGAGCGTCGAAAAATTCACGAGCCGCACTGCTAGTAATACAGCGAGTTAAAAGCGACGGAAACAGTCATGGAAAGCAGTATCTGTAAACCTTCAAATAAAAAAAGAAAAAATGTTAGTATTTTAGAAAAATTAAAAATTTTAAAAGAACTGAATACTGTAAGGTCGGTGCGTGCGGTCGCGGAGAAATATGGCATTCCTATTAGAACAGTGAGAAACTGGAAAAAAAATGAATCTAAGTTGGAGGAAATGGAAAATACATATGTACTAACTAATAGTGTGAAGCGGATAAGAGTATCATCATTGGATCAACTCGACGAAGCATTGTTTATTTGGTTTGACAGAACGATAAAGAGTGGAATCACTTTGACAGGACCATTGGTGATGGGTAAATATATTTAAATTTATCGTTAAGTTAAATAATCCTTAAAACTTTATATTTTTTTATCTTTTTAAAAATAAAGTTTGATAAATCTATATTATCTAAATTTTTTAACACAAATTCAATTTTAAGCGGTAAATGTATGACTTAAAAATTATAGTTTTTCTTTTATTATGCATATGTATAAAAATTGTTTTGTAAAATGAAAATTATATTAAACATATTATTTCTGTCAGGGCCGACGTGACTATTTACGGGACCAGATTGTGCAGACGTAAAAAAACATTTATGTGTACAATAGACTCTTGTTATATTGTCACGAATGACGATATAGAAGCGGAAAACTTTTGGAATTGGCAATATATTGAATTAGGCAAAAAGCTTTCTCCTTTAATATTGCGACAGTCTCTATGGATCCTCATAAACTGCAATAATGATGGGCAGATCAAGTGCCCATTGGACAGCTCGCGGGCACTGATGTACACGCAACGGGCTATGATAAGGTGTCGGAATCAATTGGACTTAAAAATTTAGTAATTTGACAATTTGAAAGTTTAGAAATATAGAACTAGATACAAAAATTTTCAAATTGATAAATCGACTATTCATCAATGCTTGCGAGTATCCATCATCGATAATCTATACATCCAGTACGCGGTATCCTCACGGGTACAGTTGTCCGTACGGAAACGGCAACATAACGAAAGCCTACTATATTTATCAATTTTATTTGAAACAATCCCTTTCTAGTATTTATAGAGCAGTTTAATTGTCGTCACTAACAACTTATCGTAATAATTTATTTAAATAAATAATTTATTTTTAAGTTATTATTCATTATTTTAATTTCAACAATATTATAACATGACTATTTTCTTCAGCATAAAATAAGAAAAATGTAATGCTTACATTTTTTATTTGCAATGATTAGCAAATAATTAATAAGTACAAAATATATTTGAACAAAGTATAAAGTAATAGGATTACATTTTAGCAAAAGCATTGGAACTGCACAAAGATATGGGAATAGAAACAAAATTCGTCGCTAGTACAGGATGGTTATCACGTTGGAAAAATAAATATAGTATACGTCAGTACGCCGCATGTGACGAAAAACGCTCAACAGATCCTCCAGAAACTAAGTTTTTTAAAGAAGAGTTCGAAAGTTTCGTAAAGGGTGAGTGATTCTCGGAATACTGTACCTGTGCAAGGCCGCATTTATCATTAGGCGCATTAGGCGTAAGTTACAGCCCCACTCTTTACGAAATCACATTGTAAAACGTTCCTTTTTCTTTTGAAGTCTCATTATGATATTGCGTCTAAAGCTTCCAAAAGTATAAATGCGGTCCTGCATAATTGATAAAATTATTTTTTATTGCTAGAAAAAATTATTACCCAGTCACTACTATGAGAACATCAATACAAATTTAGATGAAAGTACTACCGAGGAGGAACTATTAAACAATTCATGTGACGTTGACGAATACCGAGACGCTGAGGAGGATTCAGTGCAATCTTGGATCGGCCCAAAAGGCGAAGACATGAACGGCAGATCAAATATACCGAGAAATTCTGAGTTGATCGCAATGGTAGCTCAAGATAATGCAGAAAGTATGTATATTTAATAACATTAAATGAAATATGATATTTACAATTTACGATCAAATTTATACTTACTTACCTATTAATTATACGTTTTTTCCTTTTGTTTTAGAAAATATTGAGAACAGTAATATTCCACCAGAAAATATTGAACCAACTGATATAATTTCTGCAGCCAATACATTACTGTCATTTTATGAAAGAAGTGATTTGTTATCTGCATCAGATTTGGCTGGGATAAGGAAAGCTAAACAATTAGCTGTTGAAATAGCTAATTCAAAATAATCCTTAAATATAATAATTAATTTATTATTGTACATAATATTAACTTTTTAAATATTCATTACAAAGATTTTAACTAATTAATAAAACTATTTATTTTTCTTATATAGCTTTCTTTCAACCTTTTTAACTGATCATATATTTCACCTTTTTTATACAGTTATGAATGCAGCATATTTTTCAGTACATTTCTGCATATTTAATAGTATTATGATAAAATGTATACACTGCTTATCAAAATATTGACAGTACAGATTTAACACTGAACATGTTGCTTAGTATAATGTCTTCAGCAGATACTTTATTTAACCATCACTGGGTTAAAGTTGAGTGGTGTTTACCATCTGCATTTCTGTGTTTATGATCAAAATTGGCAACAAGGTGAAAAAACAGATTACAGGCAGCAACTTACTTTTATATAAATTATTTACATCACTGACTACAGCACTGTTTAGGACCATATACATGTGTAGTAAGATATCACTACATTTGTTTTTTGTACATAGTATATCTATATTATGTTTCCACGATATGTTCTGGTCCTCTTCAAGTTTTTCTTTATTACATAAACACATTCTGTAGAAATGTTATCCGAATTTTAGTATTTCAATGATTACGACTATAAAATTGGATATAGTATAATAGAACAATTGCACTTACATTAAATTACGATTTTGAAAATGAATACTATATGTATATTGTTGAATATGCTGCCTTTGAGTGTATTCTAATTATATTAATAATATTATATACTAGTACTAGTATGGTATAGTTACCGTTCATCGAAATATTTAATACATTGCAGATCGGTCGAGTCGATGTGAATTTATGTATTTTAATTGAAATAGTGATATTATTTGTAGTAAGTTTTTAAAAACGTAATTTATATTTCTACTAATATTTATCCTATTAATCTTATCTTTTTCTTAAATAAATTCAACATTCACATCAATGGTAATATAATGCAATAAATGACGATTTTTAAACAATGATTTTAACAGTCTATTTTTATTTATAAATTTATTTACATTAAACATTTCTAAATGCACTTGAAAAGATTTGATATAATTTCACAGAAAACTGTTTTAATTAATTGTCCTTATTTGTATTTTTCCATGGTTTCATCTATAATCTTATCAATTTTGGGATTTTGCCAATTAAGAGAAATATCATCAAGATGATTATCAAAATCTATAAGATTTTTATAATGTTCTGCTTTCAATAAAGAATATAATGCATCTGTATGCATCACTCCCTTGTCATAAGATATACTATAAAAATAAAAAAAGTATTGTGGTTAATGAAAGCAGTGAAGACATTAAAAATTTTAATATTTTTAAAAAAGATTTAAATAAATTACTCTGTTATATCTTTAAGTTTCCATTTGCCATCTATGTACTGTAATACTCTCAAAGGATTTGAATTCATACTAAGTGTTATTTCTTTGTTTTCTACCTGATAAAAAAAAGAAATAATGATAGAGATGTTTAAAACAATTTACTTAATACAATAACTATACTGTGAATTTATAATACAAGTTAAGAATCATAGTAGTGTAAGTTAAAATTTATTGATTTAATAATTTTTGTTATTTTTGCATATTAATATTCATTTGCATATTAACTACATAATAGTAACATACACTACTATGAATATTAGACTTCTATATATCATAAATGCATAAATATTCTTAGTTTAAAAGTGTCACTTACTGCAACAAGTAAAGTATTGCCAGTGTTTTCTGCTATTTTGTCTGCTATTCTATGAGCAGGTTTATCTACACTAAATTGATAAAAAATTGATTAAGAAATTAATGAAATTAAATAATACTCAAAATATTTCATGAGGACAAATATTAAATTACCTTATATCATATATATTTTCATTTGCAAAATAATATCCTGCAATTATTAAACCTTTGGTAATAGCATACTGATCAATCTGAAAGTATTTTTGTTTTTAAATCACATAGTAAAATTATACATTATTAACTTCATGATTGACCTTTATTATAAATTAATATAGATTAAATATTAATTTAAAACAAATGAAAAATATATAAATGTTACACAGTGTTTCTATCTCCATGCCTTAAATTTATAAGTTACATTACATACTTGGAATTGTCAAAATTTGTTAATAATATAAAAATTCTATTTACATTGTTCTATTATTTAAGATTTTATTGCATTGAAGTATTTAAATATTTACCATAGTTAAAGCGATTTCCGCCATGGGTGAAACATGAAGACAAATATGAAAAAGCGGAATTGCATCTTCAATTCGTAGTTCAACAGATTTGCCATCACTTTTGTTAATTTGTTTGCCTAACAATAATCCATTTACTGCACAATGAGGATATTTAGCTGTATGCAAAATAATCTTGCAATATGCACGACTAGAAAATGATATTTCTGCCATTTTAACGCAGGTATATTTATGATATCAATGAGCATGCATGTACAATATGACACATATACACAATTTGAACAACGATTGAACAATTAAACAACAATACATATGCAATGACGCTGCATCAGTATGGTTTCCTGTCGCGTGAACTTAGTTGTATATGCTGTGTGAATTTAGCTCCAACATCTATACTTTCAATATTTGTATACTCTGCTGTATAGATATATCAGTTTACTGCGTTTATGTGATATTATTATGATAATTGAAGTTTGAAAAAAGTGTCCTGTTGAATATTATCTTGTATAATAATAATTATTGTGATTAACAGTCGATATATTTTTCAAAGTAAGAAATTCATGCTTATTAGATACGTATTATTGTCTTTTTATTTACCCTATAAATATAAATTATACAATTTTATAGAATGGAAAATGTTGGAAAAGTTATTGAGCTTCTACAAAGAAGAAGAGCTGTCCGTGAAAAACATTTTGCAAATGTAGAAAATAGTCAAGTTGAAGAATATAATAATTTGATGGAAACATTACAGACTCTGAAAGGTTTACAACTTTACATGTAGTAACTTTCCGTCACATGAGCTTAAAATATATATTTATTAATAAAATATATTATAGATGATAGGAATGAGTGTAAAGAAGATATTAATAAGAATCTTCAACGTTTGACAGCACACAAGCACTCAATATATAAACTTATTCATAATTCAGAAAATACTCCAGGATTGCCAGTTTCTCATGATCATCATCGGTATGATAAATTTATAAAAATATTCTTTAATGGTGAAAAATACTTTTAACATTTTTTTTTTCATAGACAAACAATAATGCTTTTATCTGAAGGAATTGATTTCATAAATAAATTGCAAAATGTTTATAAAAATTTTGATAATGAAAACAAAGAAAATAATGTGAATTCTGTAAATCTTATTCATAATATTGTAAGTTTATTTTCTGTTAATTGTATTATATCGCAATATTTTTGAAAGGTTCAACGTTTTACATATTTCTTTTTAGACATCTTGTACAAATTCTGTAGGAAGTGAACTTCATAAAATAAAATCATTAATTGCGGAAATACAAATATTACAGAATAATGTGGATTTATTGAATAAGTTAAAGCAAGAGTATTACTTAAATGCTAGTGGTAAGTTTAATTTAATAGTAAAATATATTTCTACATTTTAAAATGAATAAATATAAATATATTAAATGGTTAAGATTAATATTAATTATTATAAAATTTTAAACCCACTGGTTTTTATTAAAATATGTCTTCTTGTCTTATAAGGACATTTAACTTATGGTAAAGTTATAAGTAAATCAATGTATATTTCTGAAAATTTTTAGTTTTTTATAATATTACTTGTGAATAATAAATTTTTTTTTTATAGATGAGGATATGGACATCTAAAGAGTGCTAAGTATACTTTACATAAGAAAATTACATTTTGTTATTATAGCATTAAAAAAATAATATTTTGTAATTACATTTTTTTATTTTTATTGGTACAGTATTAACACAGAAAACTATTAACTGTCAAATATTTGCGTGTATTTGTTAATAGAGTCGATTTCATCATTAATATCTAATGTTAGCATAGTTAAATTTGGATCTATATTCTGTAAAAAAATGTGTTAAATCAATAGGACTTTTATAAATAAATTTTTTAAGAAATCAAAACAATTCTTTTACCATTAATTCCGAAGTAATTTGGGATTGTGACTGGACATCAGAAAAAGATAATATTTCGTTTTGAAAATAGTATAAAGCATCTTTACATCTTTCTGGTTTTTCATGTTCATAGGGTAATGACACTAGTCTATCTCTGTTGAATAAACAGTTATGTTTCATTTTTAAATATTTTCCTTTACAAACAGAATTTTCTTAATATACAAATTCAAATATGTATTAGTACATACCTTGCAATATTATATTTTTCACTGGCAGTTTTTCTCTCCCTTTCTATTAATGCATTAAATTGCATTTGTAATTGATTAAACTTCTCCTTATTTTGATTTTCTAAATGTTTTGCATCTTTCAAAGCTTTTATTCCTTCATCTTTTTTTATTAAAACTAACTATAAAATTTCCAAATAATAATTCTTTAAAACACTAATGATTCAGTGATAAGATTGTGATAGATATCATTATAATAAGAATTACCTGAGTAAAGTTTTCAAGCTCTTTCGCGCGTAAAATAAGCTGATTTTCTTTATCTTGCAAAGCTTGTTTCTGAACATTGAGTTCATTGATTTTTTCTTGCCATTTTAATTTTTCCCTGTTAGCACAAACAGTTGCTTCTTGTGCAGTTTTAATAGCAGCTTTCAACTGTAACAATCATAATATAAATCACTTTTTTTGTTAAATAAATATTAATGCATTTTTATTACTTTGTTATTTTGTATTTGTATAATGTTATATAATTTATATACCTCTATATTGTCAACTTCATCATTGTTACTTTTGAGTTTCCTTAAAACTTCTAATTGTGCTTTTTCTGTTGCAACTAGTTCTTTCTCTTCTACAAGTAATTTCAGTTGTTTCTCTTGTTCCTTCTTCCAAGAGTCTTTCAATGTCTGCAATCATTATATATGTATGTACATATGTACTAAAATGAAGGGAAGGTAATTCTGGAATATATGATATATAAGATTTTAGAGATAATGAGAATAAACTCTCATGGAAACAATTAACAAATTAAGTATGAAGTACTAATAACTTTAATATACCTGTAAATAATTTTTTTCCCACTTTACTTTTTCTTCAAATAATTCTTGTTCATGTAAAAAATCAGCTGATTTTTTTACGAGCATTTCTTGCAATTGGTTGCTTAGTACATTTTGTTTTTGAAGCTCGGTTATAAGTTGTACAAGGCGCGAGTTGCATTTCTCTGTTGTTTCAACAAATTTATTATAATGCTCTTCCAAAATATTATTTTGATTTTTTAACTCCAACTTTTGAGCTGTAAGAGTTACAAAAATTAAATTAAAAACTGAACTTATTATAGTATATTTTATTGTATTCATTTATGATTAGATTATATGTTTCAAAAATATATTATTTGTTACTTGTGTAGCATACCTTTTATATTATCTTCAAGAATTTTTAAAGTATGTTCTCGAAATTCGATTATTTCATTGTCTTTCATTTCTAATTTTTCTTTGTTTACTAATATAGTTTCAATAATAGAATTAGCCTTTTGCAACATATCTTCTATATCACTTTTTCGATTCGTTATAGTTTCTGTCACCCGATCTTCCATTTCTTTAGCTCTAGATATGCTTTCTATTATATTGGAATATTCCGTTTGTAGAAGCTTTATATTTTCATTATGTAAATCGCATAATTCTTTTATATGTTGAGCATGTTCATTCTATTAAAATATTTAGTTTAAAAATACATTTTTTTATAGAGTAAATGAAGTTATGCAAATAATTTTATATAGCAGTAAAAAGAAACAAACTATTATTACAGAAATGATTATAATAATTACAATAGAGTTGACATGTGTTATTTATAATTGCAATGATTTTTAATATACATGCATATACTGTGCTATTTATGTAAAATACAAACACTGTAACCTTTAAATTATGAATTTCTTCTTTGTATTGATTTTCTACTTGCTGCTTTTCATCTTTTATTTTTTCTAATTTTGCCATGTAATCTGCTTCCAAGCATTCTATTTCTTGCCTAGTCTGTTCTTCTGATTTCATCAATGCTTCTCTTACAAATGCAATTTGTCTCCTGAAAATGATATTTTTTTACTTCACCTTATACCTATGACATAAATACGGCTAAAAAATTATATTATATATACTGATAGAACTCTGCTTGAAATGTTATTTCATCATTATGCTTTTCATTTATAGTGGATAGTGAAGCTTCTAATTTTGATTTTTCCATTTGTAATTTTGTAATAATATCTTCCATTTCTTTTTTTTCGTTTGTAAATTCTTTATCTTTACAAATTGTTTCTGACACACAACTTCCATAAATTGATGTATTGCTTGGTACAGAAATAGGCTGTGCCATCAATGCCTTGAAGAGACAAAAAATAAAAGTTTTTGAATTTTCTTTTTATGCTTTTTCTTATTTTATAATAATTTAACATATTTTATTCAATAAGCCTTACTTGAATATATTGATCAATACGTTCTTGCTGCATTTTTATTTGTTTTTCTAATAGAGCTTGTCTTTCAACTTGTAATTTTAATAAAGTATTAAACTGTTCTTCTTGATTACGAAGTGTAGTATACTGAGCATTTGATACCTTAGTTAATTGTTCATTTTGCTGTGAAAGCACTGTTGCTGTTTTCAGTTCATGTTCTTGCTGCTGCATATTGATAAGTGCAGTTTGTTGACTAAATTGTGCATCAAATAACATTGAAAGGTAATTTGGATGAACAGATACCCCTTTTGCATTACTTGGATCAGATATCTTTAAATCTGTACCATCATTTACTGAAGTTTCAGTATTTTGCTTAAATGTGGATATTTCTTCAGTTTCTTCTTTCTTTTTTTCTAATTTTTTATCTTCCAATTTTGTTGAACCACCTAACCATTCTGGCAAATTTTCTTCTATTTTAGTATTTTGTATATCTAAATCTTTAGTCGGTACATTTTCATTCATTGTCTTAAAAAAAAAATTAAAAAATTGCAAATATCATTTATATTATAACACAAAGTAATTAATACTATCATTTAAAGTTTAAACTTACATACTGCAGGTATGAATTAATGATCAAAAGAGTTAGTATATACATGTTTCTTTTATATCATGAATAATAAAATATAATTACCATTTGAGGATTTTGTTCTGGTAGTAAACTAGTTGATAATAAGCCAAGAGGATCATTTACAAGTTCTATATTCCTTCTGCCACTTCTAGATTCTCGTGTAGAAGTTTTAGTTGTTTGACCAGTAGTTTGAGATTTTGGTTGTTTTAAAGAATTTACAAATTGTACCATAGTGTCTGGTTCCACTTTCCTAGTCTGCTTATGAATGCTAGAATCTGTACTGATAGATGAATAAGGTTTTTTTTCAAATAAAGTTTCTTTTAATGATGGCCTTCTTGATTTATTGTCTATCCCATCTGACTTATCAATTAAATTCGCTAAAATATCGTCTTCGCTTTTAGCTGTGTTGGTTAACTGTACAACCTTCTCCTCTTTAGTTGATCCATTTTTCAATGTATTAAAAATACCCTTTGAAACAGTTTTACTGTTTTGTTTCTGTGAAAATAACTGATTATCTTCTTGGCTAAAATTATATTTTGATTCTAATTCACTGCTTAATTTAGTACTTGTTGTAGATGGAACTGGTGTTTTGATTTTAAATAAATCTTCTATCAAATTATTTTTGGTATCGGATGAAAATGATTTCTTCTCTTTTATAGAAGTTTCTTCATCAGATAGTAGATCATTTAACAAATTATCTTCATTAGAATCTGCATGTAAATAAAATTATAATCTGTGAATAATGATATGAAACAAGCTTTTAACACTTATTTACATATGCATAAATTGCAAACATAAAATATAGCTGCTTAGATTTTCTACAATACTTAAAAGTTTTTTACATAATAACAAAGATAATATTAAAAATTATTTTAATAAGTAAAAATCTTATTAACAATTTAATATTTTTTGCAAATAAAATATTGATTTTCAAATTTACATTAGTAATGATACTCATTACTAATTCACTTTTACTTTATTCTTATTTTAACTACATAAACACCTTTAAATATGACTTTTTTTTTCATTTCCCCATCTATCTGTACTTGAGAACCTTTAACAATACTTGTAGCAGATTTTGATTTCTTAAACGATTCGTTAAATAATTCCATATCTAAACTATCCATATCTTCTAACGTTTTTTCAATTATTTTTAAATTTGTACTTGAGGTTCCAGTAAGATCAACCATCTAAGTAAAATTGACAAAAATTAAATAAATAATTATCTTAGACAGGTATATAGTAATTTCTATGTATATATAATTGCTTAATTCATGCATTTCATTGCACAAATACCTTTTAAACAATATAGATCAGATATCTAATTATTTTTAAATTCTTTTGAATGCATTCATTGCATAACTGAAAATGTAAACATTGCTACTAATAACCAATGTCATTCAAATTGTTTTGGTATAAGGTAAACAGTCTCCATGGTAACTGCTGGATAGAATATATAGTAATAAATAAATATATATGTTAAGTATAGTGGTAAGTATTGATGAAACGACAAAATGAATCAATGTTTAATTTTGATTGGTTGTATTTGTTACATCTCCAAATTGAAAATTGCTTTTTGAAGAACTTATAATCTTCAAGATTATGAATTTAAACATTTTTTTAATTTTAATTTTTCATAATTTGCGGCACAAATCATGCGCAAAAGCAGTAACTATTCAAATTTAGGCAATAAACATTAGGATTCGCCTTTCATGTTGGCTTCACTCTTCTCATCTATGTTGTTTAGTATATACTGGTGTCTACAAAAATATTGTTGAAGACAGTTAGACAGCAAAATAAGTAAAAATGGCGACTACCGTGGATTCGGTAAGAGAAAAGGCTCTCCAAGATTACAGAAAAAAGCTCTTGGAGCATAAAGAAGTAGAATCACGCTTAAAGGAAAGTAAGTAACATTTATTGTTAATATTCATTTCGCTTAATAACTTTTAATGAATCATGTGAAACACTTAACCTCAGTTTTGCACATCAAATTGTTGTCCTCAATAACTATTACTATAAATGATATAATAAATAATAGCAAACTTATTAATTGCTATACTTTTCTAGTGAGAGAACATCTCAAAGATTTAACAAAACAATACGACAAATCAGAGAATGACTTGAAAGCTTTACAAAGCGTTGGACAGGTAACATAAATTCTATTTCTAATACTTTAATATAAAACTTATTAATTACAAATGTATAATATTTATTCATTAGATTGTTGGAGAGGTATTAAAACAACTTACAGAAGAGAAGTGTAAGTTTATCATTTAATACAATACATATATATTTATATATGTGAATTAAAATACATATTTATATTTATAAAATATTATATTTGTAGTTATAGTAAAAGCAACAAATGGCCCACGTTATGTTGTTGGTTGCAGAAGACAGCTTGATAAAAATAAACTTAAGTCTGGAACAAGAGTAGCTCTTGACATGACTACTCTTACTATAATGCGTTATTTACCTCGTGAGGTAGAATTTATTTTATTAGTACATAAATTCAGTTGTGACTGTATGTATTGTGTGTATTGTATCATTTAGGTTGATCCATTGGTTTATAATATGTCTCATGAAGATCCTGGTGTTGTTACATACAGAGAAATTGGTGGTTTAAGTGAACAAATACGTGAACTAAGGGAAGTTATAGAATTACCATTATTGAACCCTGAACTATTTCAAAGAGTAGGTATAACTCCTCCAAAAGGATGTCTTTTATATGGTCCTCCAGGAACTGGAAAAACGTTACTAGCTAGGGCAGTTGCTAGCCAGTTAGATGCAAACTTTTTGAAAGTTGTATCAAGTGCAATTGTTGACAAATATATTGGTGAATCAGCAAGATTAATCAGAGAAATGTTTAATTATGCACGAGATCATCAACCTTGCATTATATTTATGGATGAGATTGATGCAATTGGTATGGATATTATTACTAATGAAAAAAAGTATAACATTTTTCTCGTACTTTATTCCTTATTTTTATGTAGGTGGGCGCCGATTTTCTGAGGGTACGAGTGCCGATCGAGAAATTCAAAGAACATTAATGGAATTGTTGAATCAGATGGATGGTTTTGATTCATTGGGTCAAGTTAAAATGATAATGGCTACAAATAGGCCAGATACATTAGATCCTGCTTTATTGCGACCGGGTAGATTAGACAGAAAAATTGAGATTCCTTTACCTAATGAGCAAGCGCGTCTAGAAATTTTAAAAATTCATGCTGCGCCTATATCTAAGCACGGAGAAATCGGTATGTTCCTTTATCATTTTTTTGTATATTTCATATAGTAATGTATTGATTTTTTATTTTATTTAGATTATGAAGCAGTAGTCAAACTTTCGGATGGGTTTAATGGTGCTGATTTGAGAAACGTTTGTACTGAAGCAGGATTATTTGCAATAAGATTAGAAAGAGAATATGTAATACAAGAAGATTTTATGAAAGCTGTAAGAAAAGTTTCAGATAATAAGAAACTTGAATCGAAATTAGATTATAAACCAGTTTAATATGGAGAATTATAATAACGTTAAAACTCATTTAATTCACTATAATCAATATATGGGTCAATAAAACGAATTTACTTTATTGTAACACTAATTGTATTTTATAATGAAAACATATATCAAAATGCTTTAAAAATGTGTTGATAATACATAAAATTTATATTAAATCAGATTTAATTTTATTTTATATTTATATGGTATTAATATAAAAACAATTAATAATTCACCTGATATTACATGTTACTCAGAAATACTTCCAAGTCGTGTTTTTTTTCTTTGCAAGTACTCTTGAACATTGTCATATTTCCTTTTATATAAAATCGAGAATAAATTTTGTTGAATAGTATCTTTTTTTAACATTTTCCAAAAGTTATTTAACTGATTCATCTTATAATTGATTTCATTATTAAGTACAAAAGTATTGTCTTTAAATTCATATATCTTAAATCCAGAGTCATTTAATAACCATAAGTTTTGTTTAGAAATATAACATTCTAGAGGTTCATTGTCTGTAACTATAGACTGTAGATAATTTACTTCAAAATTTAACATCATGGTGCCATTGATAATGAAGACCAATAATAATGGATTATTATAAAAACTTAATAATGCTAAAGATGAGGTTGTACTTATCAATGAAAGTCTCAAATGTTTAACAGGTAAAGTTTCAATAACTTCTTCCAAGTGACAGCCTTGAAATTGTTGATTAAATTCTTCAATATCCCTTTTAGATATTTTATCAGAAAAATCAATCAATAATAATTCTTTTCCAATTTTATAATTCCATAGAATAAGTTTACCATCACCTCCACAAGATACCAAAACACTTTTGTCATGAGGTAATTCCGCAATATTTGTTACAAACTTTCTGTGTCCTAAGCAATAAGATACAATGTTGTATGAATTTGGAAACATTGACACTCTAATCTTTTCATCTCTATCAGTTGTAATAATATATCTTTCATCTTCTGTGATTAATACGTCAAGCAACATTGATAAATGTCCTAGAAGTAATATTCCATTGGCAAACTCCTTATTAGAAAATAAATAAACGTCTCCTGCTTTATCAGCAACTATTATATCATTAGAAGGAGTAAACTGTACTTTACTAGCTGCTCTAGGAAGTATTTTATTTAACACGAGTTTTTGGCTTTTTCTCTCATATACACAGAGTTGCTTACGATTTGTACATACAAAAAAAAGGTTTCCATCATTTGAAAACATAACATTTGTGATTGTGTGAAAGGTTTCGATATTTACATTGTTATGTACATCCACTTTTTTATCAGCTTGCAGTTCAGGTAAATGAATTACAGTTTCTGCATTGTTTTCAATATTATATACAATGATTTCCTCATTGTTACACAAAATAACATCTGAATCGTATATACAAAAACTCATAACTAAAGTAATTATTTTAGAACAAAATATATTTATAATAACAGTGACTGTACTTTTTCCTAAATCATACAATTACTCCAATCATGTGTTATTAGAAAATTAGGAAGTTAAAAGTTTTTGAACTTCCTATTGCATGTGTTATTCTGTCAATGGATAAAAACGTGATCAACTCACCACATGCATGAACTTTGTCTTATACATAAGCACTACCAACTTAAGAAATTTAGAAGTTTGAGTCCTAAACGAACTTGTTTAGCCACTTTAGAAACCATTTTCCCTAGGGAAACTAGATTTGCACTTGAATTTACATCATGCATTGTTATACGTATAACCTTGTTTTCGATTTTTGATAACAATGTAAGCAAGATGATTGTTTATCACGTAGATCACGTATTTGTGAAACATCATTTGTATAGAGCATAATAAATATGTCTCATATTCTGTGCATACATAAGAAGTTATTAATGTTTATCTGTAAAACTGATTTTATCTGAAAATATATAACGTTGATCAAAGACATTATAAACGTTTCCTTTGTTACATATGTCACCAATTTCAAATAGTACGTGGGAGTATACTTAGAAATTTTTATATTTATAAAAACTAAGTAAAATTATACATCTTCAATATGTGGAAACCATTTGAAGCTGGTAGTTCACCAGTTGACTGGTGTGAACGAAATTATAGTATTTCTTCTAGTATTGCAGAATTTATGAATACGGTTTGTATTTTGCAGCAGTAAAATACTAATTGTCTTTAACGTTAATGCAATAATTAAATTTGTTATTTTATTTGTAGCTAAGTAACGTGGTATTTTTATTACTTCCTCCTGTTCTTATGCATCTCTTCAGAGATTATGCAAGATTTGTAAACCCTGGAATTCATATAATTTGGTTTTTACTGATGATAGTAGGTCTTAGCAGTGCATATTTTCACGCTACCTTATCTCTTATTGGTAAGTAGTTAAAAGATTATATATTCATAATTTATAAGTAAACATCAATATTATTTATTGTCTTATGACAGGACAATTGTTAGATGAATTAGCAATTTTATGGGTATACATGGCTGGCTTTTGCATGTTCTTTCCAAGAAGGTATTTCCCAAATATTTTACACAATGACAGGAAACTGTTTGCTATATGTGCAACTTTACCAACTTTAATTGCAACTGGTTTATCACTTATACACCCTGCAATAAATGCATTTGCATTAATGACTCTTGGTATTCCTGCATTTGGATTTATGGTCATTGAATTAAAAAGGTAAAATTCCTACTATCTTTATAATGCTGCATATTTCAGCATCTAATTTTGCTATTATGCATGTTTTTTCTTAAGGACAAAATCAATGAGAGTGTATAGACTTGGTTTACGATGTGGTGCTGTATGGTTACTAGCAGTTGTTTGCTGGCTAAATGATCGTTTATTTTGTGATACTTGGTTAAATTTGAACTTCCCTTATTTACATGCACTTTGGCATTTATTTATTTTCATTGCAAGTTACACAGCAACTGTACTTTTTGCATATTTTTCTGTAAAAGAAGAAAAACCACAACAATCACCTGTACTAAAATATTGGCCAAAGGATGATTTTGAACTTGGTATACCATATGTAACCATTAAAAGTTACATTAAGCTTGATGTAAATACAAATATATAAATAACAACTTGAATATTATAAAGACTGCTTTAAATTGACTAAATATTGATTAATGATTTTAAATACTTACTTAAATTGTAGTAAGTAATGAAGTACATTATTTACTTTGCTGACTTACAGATTAACTTTGTATAAGTGTTTTTATAAAAAGAAACATACTTTACAATCTCTACTTAAAAGATAGTCTCGACTTTTTAAATTTGTGATAATATTCTAGTTATATTACTTTTTTATAAGTAGATGTGATGGATGCATTAAAATAATACCTTATAAATGTAATATCAATATAAGTATATGAACATTTATTCTCTTAATAAATATGAATTAATGTTATAATGTATTTGTGTACTGAAAACAAAAATTGAATACAATGTTAATTGGAAATATTGTGATTGTAATCTTATGTCATCCAAAGTAACAAACTTAACTTTGTAAAACTAGTTATTATATGTTACTATATGTTATTATATGTTAAACTGATAAATCCTTTTATTTCAAAGAACATTTTTATTACGCTTTTTCTAAAGTTTATACAACAGATTCCAATAAATTTAGTATTTTATATATATGCTTTGTATCTATGTATATTTAAATAAAAAAATCAATATTTTATTTACAATAATTATAGACATAATGTAAATAATAAAAATTTGAAATACATAACATTTTTAAGAATAAAGTAATATCATCTGTTATTTTACACTGAGATTCTACATATTAACTTTCTTTTTCTCCTTTGTAAACAACAATATTCTTGTCAGTTTCATAAATTTTTACTTCATATAAAAGCTCTGGACATGGCATAACTTTTTTCAATTCATTATAAATATATATAGCTACATTTTCAGTTGTTGAAACAACATTTTTAAAATAAGGTACATCTTTATCTAAGTTCTTATGATCCAATTGATCCATTAACACTTTCTTCATATATAATTTTAAATGTGACAAGTTCATCACCATACCTGTTACAGGATCTACAGGTCCACATACTGTAACTTCAACTGAAATAAAAAATATGCAATGAGAATTTCTTCATTTTTACAAAATAACTATAATTACCTGTGTAATTGTGACCATGTCCCCAATAATTGTTACATTTTCCATATGTGTTTTTATTTTCTTCATCACTTAGATTATTACTAAAAATAAAAATTATTTATTCAACAAAAGGATTTCAAATAAATTATACGAGTCATACAATTTATATATACGGATTTACAATACTTGTGCAACCGATGACAGCTAGATATTACTTCTTTCCTCGTTAAATAAGCAATCGGGCGGGCCATAGTTTACTGATTGAAAATATGAGATTGCAATAAGATATACGATTACAAATAAGCTAAAGACTGCTCAAGGATACTGATAATCATGGAAACTTTTTAATTGCATAGCACTTTTTATAAAAAGTCTAATTATTCAATCAATATTTCTAAAAAATTTTAAATTTATTTATTCATTTACTTTACACGTAGGTAATCGAAATTTGAATAAAAGAATGTATAAAGTGCATACGAGACAAAAGCAGATAACAAATATGATTAGGTAGAGATATCGTAGAACCAATGAAATTTCAGCAATTGAATATCAGACTTAAAGAATCTTTCTGTGACAGGACCTTATGGTGTTAAGGTTGTGCTGTCGATGCGCTCGGTGGGTGGCATAAGTGAACCTATGTTAAAAAAGGACTAATATAATTTGTAAACTTTAATTCTTTTTAAAATAAAATTGATCATTCATTGTTTTAATGAGAACACGAATTTATTTCTACGTTACTACTTTTACTTCTAAAAATGTCATGCCGGTAACGCCCTGGAACTCGTAACAATTAGTCATTGTGCGGAATGTGTAATGTGTAACACAGTTTAGTAAAGAAAATAAAGAATTGGTTCAAATAGTAACATCTTACAAAAATGGATAGTAAAGGCAGAAAAATCATTGTTTGTGATAATGGAACAGGGGTAAGGTTATGAATTTATTTCTATTTTTTAATTTTTTATGTACTTCTTAATTTTTCTATTAATATCACTATAGATGATATTTTTGACACAATTAATGGAAAATATATTTTATATAAACTCTGCTTGTTATACCATGCCATTATTTTGTTTTTAGTTTGTGAAATGTGGATACGCAGGAGCAAATTTTCCAGCACATATATTTCCATCTATAGTTGGACGTCCTATTATTAGAGCTGTTAATAAAATAGGCGACATCGATGTAAAGGTACTTCTCTTAATCTTTGTACTTGAATTAAAATATGCATCATCATGTTCATTCATTTTCAAAAGAATAATTATTAATATAATTTGTGGATAAATTATATTGTCTCGTATACAAGATTTAATCTTTCATATTCTGTAAATTAAAATTTTTGAATACATTTTGAAATTAAAGATGTTTTCCTATTTTAATCGTATGTAAATATTTATAGCTAGTAATTTAAAAACGTTTATTAATAAATTTACTTAATTTTCAGCAAGAATATTGTATTCGTGTAAGTCACTTCATAATATTACCATGTGTGTCCCAATGTTTAAATTTGATTGAAAATGCATTTGTCATTTGTTAACCCTTTTTACTAACAAATATCAGAATGGATTACATATGTTAAAAGTAAGGAGCAAATTATTTTTAAGATTACTAGAGCTAAAGATGTAAGATCTAGGCAATTTTAATTAATGAATAATATAATCTGGAAAATTATTTATAATTCATTTTATTTGAATTGTTCATGATAAACTGATCCATTACATTATAAATCATCATTCTGTCCATTATTTTCCAATAAGATTAAGATATAAAATATTTGAAAATGTTGATAGTTGAAATTTACATTTATGGGTTCATATTTACATAATATTTTTGGTAACTGTCTAATGCATTTATGTCCTTACTCTTGCTCTCATAGGATGTGCTAAATATGCCTGTAAGTTTATTGCATTTTTTGATGCTAATATGTTTATTTATTAATATTATATCAATGCTTCAAAAAACAAATATTCATAGAACAATAGAGTCCATATTCAATATAAATTTATACAATATTTATATGTAAATAAATAGGATCTCTCTTATTACTGTGCTTTTTTCATTTTTGTGAATGTTGCAAGAGTTTAATTGGTTGATAAACATACAATTATAATAATTATACAATTAGAACTAAAGAAAGGTAATGTATTTGCTAATAACTAAAATTGTGAAAACTTCAATTTAAATAGTATACTTTGAAAAATATATGTATTTAGTCACAACTATGTGAGTTGTTATATTAAAAAACATAGAGTGTGTTGTCATTGAAATACTAACAATTTATATTAACGTACATGTACTTCATACTATAGTAAAATATTTAGTTACATTTAATTTATCATATTTTGTTACCACAGGATTTAATGGTTGGAGATGAAGCAAGTAAACTTCGTTCTATGTTGGAGATTAGTTATCCAATGCAAAATGGAATTGTTAGGTGTGTATGTGAATGTAAAATTTTTATGCATTTTGATATATTAAATTATTATAAATACTTCATAGAAACTGGGAAGACATGTGTCATGTATGGGATTATACATTTGGGAAGGAAAAGATGAATATTAATCCTAGAGAGTGTAAAATTTTGTTAACAGAACCACCAATGAATCCTATCACGAACCGAGAAAAAATGATCGAGGTAACTTGCCATCGTAAACCGAAATTTTTCACATAGGAAATTTTCCTATTTGTGACTTTAAATCATGTGAAATAATTATAGGTAATGTTTGAAAAATATGGTTTTGCTGGAACATATATTGCAATTCAGGCAGTACTTACACTATATGCTCAAGGGTTGATTAGCGGTGTTGTGGTAGATTCTGGTGATGGTGTCACTCATATTTGTCCTGTATTCGAAGAATATGCTTTACCTCATCTTACGCGACGGCTAGATATAGCTGGTCGAGATATTACAATGTATTTAATAAAACTTTTATTGCTACGCGGTTATGCGTTTAACCATTCTGCTGATTTTGAAACAGTTAGAATGTTAAAAGAAAAATTATGTTATATTGGATATAATATTGAAACTGAAGAAAAATTAGCTCTTGAAACAACAGTTTTAGTAGAATCGTATACAGTAAGTATATGATTAATATATGATATAAAGTTGGATAATGTATGGCTTAATTAAATTTCTAGAAAGTAATCTTCAAATCATTTTAGCTTCCTGATGGAAGAGTAATAAAAGTAGGTGGTGAAAGATTTGCAGCACCAGAGGCTTTATTTCAGCCCCATTTAATCAATGTTGAAGCTCAAGGAATTGCTGAATTAGTATTTAGTACTATTCAAGCAGCTGATATTGATATAAGAAGTGAATTATATAAACACATTGTTTTAAGTGGTGGTAGTACAATGTATCCAGGACTTCCATCTAGGCTTGAAAGAGAAATTAAACAACTCTATTTGCAGAGAGTATTAAAGAATGATACCTCAAAATTAAATGTAATTGTTTAGATATAAACTTTAATAGAACTTTACAATTTTTATATAAGTTTAGACTACTGCTATTTACTGTTTAATATCTTTCCAGAAATTTAAGATAAAAATTGAAGATTCTCCCAGACGTAAAGATATGGTTTTCATGGGTGGTGCTGTGTTAGCAGAAATAACAAAAGATCGGGATTCTGTATGGATAACAAGAGAAGAATATGAGGAAAAGGGTCTTAGTGTATTAAAAAAATTAGGTTCTTATGAATCATAAGGAAAGAGTCATTGAATGATAGAAAAGAAATTCGCATTTTTTTATATTTAAAATTATTTGAAAGTTAGGTGCAGTGTTTATATTTGTGGTTTCTATAAATAATATAATTATTTGTAGTTTCTACAAATAATTTATATTAAATTATTTCAAGAAAACACAAGCAGCAAATATAATTAGAAAGTATGTAATGTAGTATCCTAAAATTTAAAAAATATTAAAATTTTTTTATCAAAATTCATTCTATTAAAGTATAACAACATCGAACGGTACCGGACTCATAATACTATTAAATTTGATTAATATGCATTGATTTAAATTTGTAACTATTTCCGGAAATATTACGTACTTCATATTGGTATAGTTATTCTGATACACATAATACACTCTTAGACTATACACGTTGTAAATACATTTGTTACAAATGCTTCTTTTTTATGAAATTAAAACTTAACAAACATACATTACGAATTACGAATAATTGTATGTTCACTTTTTCCAGCTTACAATAATATTTCAATTTATGTGTTGTGCGTACAATCGTAAAACAGAAGTTTGTTAATATAATGGCTAAAATTAAATAGTTAAATTTGTAAATATCATAATTACATTAAATTTTAATCTTCTATGAACAAATATTTTATCCTTGAAAACATATGTAGAATTATTTGAAGTATTAACTGCAATTATAGTTATAAAATTTTTAAGTATTATATCGTTTTTCAGTCAAATTAGTAACTCCAATAATTCTTGGAGAATACTTGCAATTTTGGCCATTACTATAATTTGTAACAACTAGTTTGTAAGAAAGCAGAAAAGCATTTATATACCTCTATATCCTCTTTTAGGTTTCAAATGAATAAAAATATCTGGATTACTATTTGAATGTTAACATTTTCGACATATTTTAAGATATGTATAGGGAATTATATATTATATTGAAAGGTCAACGATTGATGTAACTAAATAAAAATAGAGGGTATGAGGTAACATTACATATGATGTACATATAAAATATAAGAAATTTTTTAATTTTACTTAAGTGATTTGTAGAAATAAAGTTATTTCCTATGAAAACTTTTCCACTAATTTTAAAACCTTGTACATATTTAACAATTGTACAGAAAAATAAGTATTTTTTAGTTACACCAATGAAGTCGAAATCCTTTAATTGAAGGTTTATAATACTATTATAAATAATTGCACTAAAGAATATAGTTGTTATAGTATAATAAAGGAAAGGAAATTTGTTTTCAGTAATAAATACTATGTATTACAGCAAATCTACAACAGTCTTTATTATGTTTCTTGATTCGACCTTCATATCGTGTATCATGTACACACTTTATATATAAATAAAAATAACAATATAATTTGTATTATACAGTTTCATGTTTAATTGAATATATAATGTAACAATAGATAAATGTGTATGTATTCAATTTGTTAAGATCTGTACAAGTGACTTATGACAGCATTCTGTATAACAATAAAGTAACAAGCTGTTATTCAAAGAAGTAAATACAATTTACAAACAGTGCTTTAGCGCGTGTGGTTCCATATTATAAAGTTTTTTTTGGAAGTGTATACAATAGTACTTTTATACACTTTAATAAATCACTTTCAATATAACACTTTGTATTTTTCTTATTAAGTTTTCTCTTTCTCTCCCCCTCCCTCTCTCACTCTCTCTCCCTCTCTCTCCCTCTCACTCTCTTCCTCTCGTATTAAACAAATAAAAAAAATAGTATATAAAACACTTTCATTTATACCAAAAAAATTTTTGCATCCAATTTTTTGTTTGATATATTGATACATCAAACGCACGAAGTTGATTTGACGTAATAAATGAGGAATTGGATGGAAAATATGGAAGTTCTATTATTTACCTTTAGAACAAGATTGGTTTGTCCTTACATTGATCGATACAAAAACTAGTAAACCGCTTAAGGAACTTTGGATACTCCCTTTTATAAACAGCGCGTAAGACGGATGCTGGAGCCCATCCACCAGGATTTACTATGATTAACAAAATGTTAAAAATACAAGAAAAAGAAAGGATAAATTATAATATAGAATAAAATACTAACCAACAGAACAATATGTTATTTTGCACGTGACATTTTCTCTTTTTATTTCATCACCATCTTTTGGAGGATCAATAAAGGTTTGGCATACGAGACAGACAGTCAGATACACCCTTACACATTTTCCTGTGTTTGGCTGTGAATGCATTAAAATGTATGAGTTTTTAGTAAAATAGAAGATTCATAGATATATATCAAACTAACCGGAGAATCGGGATGTTCTGTACTGTGATTACAAACTATCCACAAATCATGCGCATCAGGATCTTGATCATCAGAAACTCGACGCATATGTGACCAAAATAATGCATCTCTTTGATTTGCTGGCCAAATTCGTTTATGCGTTTGTAAAAATATTAAAGTATCCTTTGAAATGTTCTCAACGACCGTCATATCTTCAAGTGTGGCTTCCCACCCTGTACGATATTCTGGACTAAAGAATATTTCGCAAACCTCGTGACCAGTAACCCCCTTTACAACGTGACAAGCTTTTAATGGATCTACTACTAAACCATCTGCTTCTTCTTCACGTCTATACATTCGCATATCACCATCTTCCGCAAATAATTGCCATCCACCTGCTCCTACTCCAAGTCGTGCATAATGTAACTGCTGCATTGTTATTTTCTCGATCTAAGAAGAAGTGCAATAGTTAATAAGCGTTAAATTGTTAAAATTTAAAAATTCAACTCATTTTACACAGTAAACTAATTACTTCTGGCCAAAGTCTGTGCTTAGCTGCTGGCATAGTAGGTGTAGTTAAAATTGAAACTGATTTTTGTTTTAAACGATCTCTCAATTGATTTTCTTCGTCAATTTTATCTAAACCAGTTTCTACAGCATCATAAAATTCTTCATCACATAGAGCACTATGTGGACCTTCCTTAAATATTAAGATTTTCGTTTAAATATCCTTCTGAATTAATTTTAAATTATGATATAATAATAATTTACAAAATCAAACCTCGTAATCTGGACCTCCATGAATAAGAACTCGAGGTCTTGGAGAATCACTTTGTTGCATTGCTAGTTGATCTTTTAAAGCTTTATTAAGTTCTTGTACTTTTCGCTTCTTTTCAACTTCTTTTTCCCATCTACGACGCCATGCATCTTCCCGTTGAACCATCAGCTCAACACAGTGTTGTAATGTTGTTAATACACCTTCACTCGTTGCTTTAAATGTTATTGCTTCACCTTTAAAATCCACTGACTGTACAGCTGGATTAAACATTGTCTCAACCTTATTCTCTGAAATGATAATTAATTTATAACATAAAACAAGTGAATACAAGACAAATGAACACACATAGACAAAAGCTGTTATTTTATATACCTTTCATGGAAATATTTTTAGCATTTTCTGCACAATTATCAAAATACTTTTGCAGAGTATCAATTTGTTTGATCAAGATATCTCTAAAAGTTTCAAGCTCTGCTAATTTCTCTTTCAATCCTCTGATTCCACGTTTTGTAAAACTTCCGGCGCTTGTGATAGATTGTGTATTTGACACGAGTGAAATGGCACTACCATGTCGTTTTAAACTGTTTTCACTTCCATAACCAGATTCAGACTATACAGAACAAACACATGTAAGTTAATAAAACTAAAATAATGCTTGATACTTTTACAATAATGCTGTTATAATACCTTATAGGATTTTAACACATCGACCCAACGTTGTTTTTCTTCTGGGCTGTTTGCTCTCAAGTACCATACTAAACAGTCATTTACAGACACATCGAATCTACATTCATCAAATTCATGTGCCTAATAAAATAAAGAATGAAAAGCAACATCATGAATTCTCACTAATTTTAGTAAAGGAATAAGCATACATAAAACCAACTACTTTGCATTAATTCATACCTTAATATTAGCTTTATACAAACTTATAGAGCCTCGACATCCAAATCCACTGTCCTGTTCGGATTTGTAATAAGATAAAGTACCATCTTTGAGAACAATAAATCTAGTTTGCCAGCCATGTATATAATTTGTCCATTTGGATAGTGTACCCTGAAGTTCTGGAACTATAACTCCATCGGAACCTTCTTCATCTACATCATCAGCATCTATTTCTGCTTCCATACACTCGATATCCTCGTTGACAAGACGAATAGTTTCAATTTCATCGGCCATTCTTACGTGTAAATTTTGCTTTCAGAGTTAATTACTCTTAAGATAAAAACATACTCGTTAGAATATTTTTAAACTTATCCTGACGCGGGATTATGTATCGATAACTAATGTTAATCTGTTAGCAGACTAAAGATTGCGAAGTAATCGGACAATGATTATTTATGGAATATGTATCAGAACATGTTAACCGTTAATTATCATACATAACCTTATGCAAAACGTCTTATTAAATAAATCAGATATCAACAACTCGTCTTTTTGCCAAATAACAAGACTAACACTGGCAAATAGAAAATCAACAGTTCACTTAGGCAGTATTTCTATGAATGGATTTGTATTTCATCACCATTGTTGATTGGTTATTCTTCTATATTAAGCCTTCAAAACTTTTTATACATGTTAATAATTTTTACTTATATTAAACATTTCAATATTTTGCACATACGAACAATGATAAAACCGATAATAATGCAATTACGATGCAATTTTGTTTCTTTTTCCTGTGATGAAATTGAGCGGAAATAAATCGAGTATCGAGTGAAAATATCGATAATTGTATCGAAAAGTGCATTGTGGTTTGAAACGTATTTAGAGACCGCCAAGTTCAGCAAATTGTTGAGAATACACGTGAAGAAGACATGGTTGGATCTACAGTATCCGTAAAAATAATGATATTTGCGGTATTTTTTATTCTATTTTACGTGGCAGCAAATGCCTCAGTTCACAGGTTAAACGTTCCCAGAGTTTTATTACCTGTATTCAATGATTTTGCAGTAAATTTTACATTAGAAGTTACTGATGGTGCTTGTTATCAATGGTAATTATTATTTCTTTATAACGTTAGAAATTTATTTTACTATTTATATACATAGTATTTCAAATTCAATATCATTTTTTATAGTATAATTTCGTTAAGATTTATTTATACTGTTTATTTATTATATGTTTGAGCTATAATGATGTGAATATACAGTGCACATTTATTTAATAATAGGTCAACGTCACGTTTAGATATTATTCAATTAATTCCTATAAATGAAAATGTTGAAAGAACTTGTTCTTCTGCTATTTTGATTCAAACAATAACCAGGGAATCTACTAGAAATACAGCAATAGTGTTAGCAGAAGATGTTAATACTGGACAATTTTTACGGTGCGATGTTATCGTTGATGCAATATTTTCATTAAATCTTGTTACAACTACGAGGGAGTTATACATAGAAGAAGCACCAGAAGCATTTGAAGTACGAGCATATGATGAACAAGGTACAGACTATGTACATACATAGTTTATTTATACACACACGTTAATTATTAGTAAATTCTTATTATAATATATTTTGAAAGGAAACGAATTCACAACTCTTGCTGGAGTAGAATTTCTCTGGAACATAGAAATTGCTGACAAGCACAGAACAGATACTAAAATACCAAACGATGTTTTAAGATTTATAACTTACGAAGAGTCACAATATGAAACTCCACAAACAATTGCTGCTTTAGATGCACTTGGCAAAAAAGGACATATCGTGTTATTAGAAGGAAGAAAAACTGGTACAGCAAAGGTATTAATACATGAGATGCAAGTAATATATTTTTTGAGTATAAGTTATTTTATAAAAAGTAAAATGTTTTATTTCATTGTAGGTTTCTGTAAAATTACCTTATCCAGAATACAAACATGTACCACCAATAGAAGTTGAATTAATTGTAATAGCTAACTTAATTATCATTCCATCAGACATAACAATAATGTTACATGATAGTTTTAAATATAAAATAATGCAAGTGAGTGTATTAGTATTGTATATGCACACTATATATCTTAAATGTTAACAGTAACTATTTTATTAATATACCAATTGAATAATTTATTAATATATTTACAGGCTCGTCAAGGTCGTTTAGAAGAAATAAGTTTACCATCTAGCCAGTACTATTTAGAAGCAGAAAATCCAAACATTTTAGAAATTGATAACGATCACGATTGCGCATATGCTATATCTTTCGGTCGTACTAAAGTATTTTTGCATGATAAAAATGTTCGCGATGAATATCCTGTTATTTTACCGTCTGCTTCGGTTAACGTGAATGATGTATCTCACATAAATCTTGCCGTTTTGCCTAATAGAAATTGGGGTTTGATACTTGGTCATACCCATGAAATTATAGTTGAATTATATGATAGTAAAGATCATAAATTTTACATTGGTGAAGGTGTTGAAGTAATAGTAAAATTAGACGAAAATTATTTTGAACCAAAATTAATAACACAAAATGGTACTTACATCGCTGGTGTGCCCATTGCATGTGGGACAATGACTGTTGAGGCCACTCTTCAGGGTATAATTGATAAAAATGGTAAAAAGATTTCTTTTGAATCACACCCTACTACAAGGACTGAACTTTTGATTCATACTCCAGTTACAATTCAACCTAAAGTATTAGCTGTTCCATGGGATTTTAAATCTAAATCACGGTAAGTTATTGCTTCTGATAAATTAGAGTTTATTTTATTAATGTAATAATTATAACAGTGCAATATTGTTATGAAAGGTATGATATAGTGTTGAAAGCAAGTGGAGGAGATGGATCATATGTGTGGTCAAGCAGACATCCGTCCATAGCAACAGTTTCCCAAAATGGAGGAGTACGAATTTTGGCAGCAGGTACAACAGAAATAAGCGTTGCAATGACGAGAAATCAGTATAATAAGGATACTACAAGGGTATATGTGTTACCACCTTCGAAGTTAAAAGTCATAGAATATAGTATGGAAGCAGCTGTAGGAGAGCCAATTTATCTCCACATTGCATTATATGGGAAATTAGTTAACGAAACCGATTCTAAAGAAATTCCTTTTAACGATTGTAGAGATACTAGTTTTGAAACGTACATTCCAGATGGTAATTTTAAACAGAACGATAGTATGATCATAGAACCTGTTGGAATTGCATGTGCTGTTGTAGCAGTTTCTAGTATAGATGTTGGAACATCTGAAGTAACTGTAGTCTATAACGCTAATGGTCACTATTTAACTGATAACGTCACTGTATCCGCCTATGAACCATTAATAGCAGTACACCCCAGTAGTAAGGAAAGTTTATTGGCAGTTGGATCTTCGAGAAGAATAGTGTTTAAAGGTGGACCTCCTCCACGAAATAGCAAACCTCACAGTTATTCACGAAGTATTGAAGTATCTGAAAAAAAAATTGCCGAAGTGATAGAACATGAAAATTCACCAACAGCATTGTATGATTTATCTGTTTTTGAAGTAATGTGTAAAGCACTCGGCGAAGTAACTTTAAGATACACAATTTCGAATATTCCTTTGTTGCCAAATTGTAAAAGTACACATGCAACTGAAACAGTGCGAATTATTTGTGGTAAACCCAGACATATTTTCTTACAACCCGAATTTGAAGATAGCAAAAACTGCCCTATTAGCTTTAATACAGAAAGGGTAATGGCACACAGCGATAAACACTTAAAACTTATCGCTATAATAAAAGATGAAAAGGGTAGAATTTTTGATAACATTACAAGTTTACATATAGAATGGGATTTAAAGCCGTCGACTGTAGGCTTCATAGAAATGCCTTCTGGTTCTATAGAAGAAACATTTATAGATATGAACGTAGTTTTACCAAAGTATTATTATCAAAATATCATTTTCAAGAAACATTTTGGTACTCTCAGTTTAACAGCTACAGTTACAGGTTATCAGAAATATATACTGAGTAAATTGAAGATAATACCTGAATGGCCACCCTTCGCAATCGAAAGTGAAAGAAGAATCTATGAAACTCCACTTATTGAAACTTTCATAGAAATAGTTTTAGTCAATGATACGAGTATTCATCCTAACAAATTAATGATATTAAACGATCCTACTGTAAAATATTATTTGCAAGTGAGTCAAGGTTCTGGCTATTACGAATTTGTACTAAATGCTGATGATATTGCAGATGTCCGATATATAGAGTCAACAAAAGCAATTAGCCTTATTCCAAAAAAATCTGGAATACTAAATTTAGCTTTAGTTGATCTTTGCTTACCTTCAAAACCAGCTGAAGCTGTGATTGAAGTACAACAACTTGCTGTTATTGAAATTGAAACGGTCAACAAGATTGAGAAGGGAAAATGTATAGTAGCTGCATTAAAACTTTATGATACAAATGGGCATATTATAAAATTACCATCCTTGAATGCGTTAGAATTTAAAGCAGAAATCGACAATGAATGTATAGAAGTTAAACAATTGCCTGCTAACGAACATGGTAATCCTCCTTATGGTCAATTATTGTACATGATCCATGGAATAGGAGAAGGAGAGTCTCAGTTAACTTTCGTTAACAAAGGAGGCGAGCAAGAAATACAAAGTGAATCAGTGACCATTCAAGTCTTCCTTCCATTAAGAGTTTTCCCAAAGAACTTAACTATATTAGTAGGAACCGTTTATCAAGTACAAACGACAGGTGGTCCGTCGAATGCAGAAATTGAATTCTCTACCAAAGACACCGATGTTTTGGACGTTGACTATAATGGTATATTTGAAGGAAAGTCAGTTGGACAGACGAAAGTAATTGTTAGAGCTATTGGCCTTAATGCCAGAGGAAACAAAGTCATTTATTCCGAGGACTATGCAGATATACATGTACTCTATCTTGAAGGAGTTAAAATTGCTGTTCCAACAAGCAGAGTAAAAGTTGGTGCAACATTTCCACTTTGGGCATTTGGTATACCAGAACATTTGACACCACTCGTCATAGGATCTATGCACTTACCCTTGATATTTATGTGGTCATCCAGTGATTCTAATTTAATAACTTTGCATAATATGTATGAAGGTACCGGTATCAATATAAGATATCAAAATGAAGTGTCTTTAAGAGCCAAAGCTGTTGGTGCTGGATTAGCAACCATTTACTTAAACGTTACAATGCCATGTAATATGTTAACTGGTTTCAAAAATGATGTAACATACAGTACATTTGTGAAGGTTGAAATTTTTGAAGAGTTGCGTTTAACACATCTTGGCTTACCCTTTAATACACCAATGATACTAATGTCTCCAAATTCCTTTTTGAAATTACAAACGAATCGCGACAAACATGGTTCAACTACTTACAAAGTATTGTCTACTACTCATGGAAACGAATCAGAGGATTTATATGCTTTAACTCCAGCATCTAAAACTGTTAGTATTGATAAAAATGGCATTATAAAAGCTGGTGAGAATCTTGGAAAAATAGTCATTTCTATCACGAACACGGAAGCATATAATTTAAAGCAATCAATAACTGTTATTGTTGAAGTAAGGTTCCTAAATATTTGAAGGTATAAATTTATTGGAGGTCCTTGAAGAAGCATATTTATTTCAATTATTTTGTTCGTAGGTTAAACCCATTCACTACATGATGCTGTCTTTAAAGTCAGCTTTACGAATTCGAAATGGAGAAGAATTGAACATGCTACCCAAGGGCATGGAATTAGATTATATTCTTGAATATTACGATAATGTTGGGAACAAGTTTCATGCAGCTGAAGTTGATGCAAAAACTATATTGAATCGTGCTGATCTTGCATCTTTTATAACAAGTTCTAAAAATATAGTTACTGCAAAATTTATCGAAAATGGGGATCTAGTTGTAAAAGCATACAATGAAAGGTATCCCAATGCAATGTTTGATTATGTACATATGATGATTGGTGATATAGTTTTCCCAACAAAGGTATTTTATACACGTAATTATAGAATATTTTATTTGTCACAAACAGTACTATTCTGTTATATATTATAGACAACACTAACCGTGGGCGATGTAGTATGTTTTTCGATGCCACTTCTATCTCCTGATGGTGATCCCGGTTACTGGCAGTCTTCGGCTCCTGAAATATTAACTGTGGATCCTATTACAGGAATAGGGAGAGCAAAAAATGTAGGCTATGCGGTAGTAAAACATAGTCTTGCGACTCATATGCAAGGTGAAATTGAAGTTAATATTCAACCCATTGCAAAGGTATTACATGTTCACTGAATTTGTAAATATTCATATTTGCAAATTTTAAATTTACATGTGATTTATAGATATCAATTGTTCCATTAAGAGGTAGAAATATTACCGGAACTGAAACATTCAGCGTTCCTCTAGTACTTAAAAGTAAAGATGAACAAGTTAAAGAAAATAACATATTATCCAGAGGATTAGGTGGTTGTAGAACATTCACTTCATTCGCTTTAAATTCATTTCCATATACATGTAATGTACAATTTGTTTCATCTACTTCATCCATTGGAGTGAAAGATTTATTTTTGGTTAAACCACGGTTTGATATTACAACTGGTTAGTACTACTTCAAACTTTCAAAAAGGTTTAATATCATGTACTCGATCTTGATTATTTATTACAGGTTTCTATTATTGTGATGTAATACCGATGGATTCTCCAAATATAATTTCCAGTACGGTAGAGAGCCGCGTTCAAATAAATGCTCAAAGTAGAGATATTGAAGCTATACCTTTAGAAGTCACTTATCTTCCACCTGTTTACGTTGAAGCTAAAGAAATTGTATTTATTAACACTCATACTCAAACTATACCAACAGCAACGCTCGAGATATATGGCTTACAATCTGTATTAGACCATCTTACCGTGAGTTCAATTTCTTTCCGAAGTTCAGTGAATTTATAAATATGATTTGTCATAGTAATCTTTTCTTCAGATCGATGTTCCAGATGGAATAGCTATAAGCGCGCGACAATACATTTCAAAATCTACAATGCAATATAAGTTACGATTAATGCACAATCAGGATGAAATTCAAGGCCAAAAAGTTATCATTATAAATGATATTACGAAACAAAATATATCTGTGAGTAAACAAAAAATATATCCTCAAATTTTTAATATATAATCATGAAATTTACTTGTCTTCTTCAGCTCTTTGTACGTGTAACGAAATATGAAAATTTCATACCGTTATCTGGAATTCATTGGGTAGATTACATGTATTTCCATCGTTATACGTTTGGAACACTTGCTGTAATTGTGATTACTTGTTTCTATAGTAAGTTTTCTATTGTACTAAGTAACTCAATATGTTTCTATGCGAACGTTTCTTCAGTCATTTCTTATACTTTATATTTTATTACAGTATGGAAAAATAAGATGGCAAATATTGACTTGAATATAAAAAATAGATCAGTGTTCGGTACGTACGTATAATACACAAATATATATGTTCATCTACTTTTATTCTCGTGAATTGACTATTTAAGCATTTAATGTTGTATTCTTTTTATAGTTGATAAATGTCCACCACAATTGAAAAAGACTAGTACGCCATGTTCGACAACATTTAATAGTACAAATGTGTCTGCTCCACGAACTCCAATTACGCCAATAAGACCATTTTCTGCATTCGAGCCTGTTTATGGCGATCCTCGGGGTCTTTACTCAACAAGTAAACGAAACCGATCAATGAATACCTAATATTAATGTAGTGACATAGTAATGACTTCATTGTAAAGATACATCGTATTTATAGTGAAACTATAACGTATTAACTAGACTCGTTTGTGAACAAATATTCGATTATCAGAAATTGGTGCCTTATTGCCATAAACTCATGTTTATTAGGGAATTAATTATTTTGTGTGAAATAGGATTTTTATGATTTTTTTGTAGCGATAATATCATTATATTAATATTACTTAATAGATACATAAGATATTGTACATTTTGTAATATAAAATTTAAGTTATATAATTTTATATATTGGTAGAAAAACATAGTAATTTGATGCAAGTATATTTCAAGTACACATTGGCCACATTTACTTTGCACGTTTGAGGTATATGGTTCCTAGTCATGTAACTGATATACAAGAGTGACATTTAGTTATTTGATATGTATGATCTCGAGTGACAATGCAAACGTAATTAGCAATAATTTAATTACATTTTTTATTCATTTATGTCACTTGTCTGGTAAAATGTTTTGCAATTTCATTATACAATTTATATGCTATTCATGTATATTATATCATTTTATAACTCCAAAGTTATTTAAATATAGTTCTTTCTTTTGCTTAATAATCGAACAATTTTTTATTTTTTTCTACAGATATTAATTTCACATAAATATAAGAAGTATCAAGTATAATATTAAATAAACATGTATCATATATTACGAAAAATAAACACATTTTTAATATTTGTTTGTAATTTATGTGACTGTGCCTTAAGTAATTAAATGGTAACTATGTGAAACAGCAAGTATAAGTTATTTATAAATAACGTTTATTATAAAATTAGATGTATACAAGAATGGAACAGTCAAGTATCTTATAATTATGAGCAGAAAAATTCTTTCACGTGACTTAGAGTGAATGTACACAATTAATGTTTCTTTGTAGTTTTAAGTAACTTTTCATATTTACTTTTACTAGAATACCATAATGCAAACGGAATAGCTAATGAAGGTAATGTCATCACAGCAAATGCTGCCCAATCAACCTGGAATAAAAACAATTAACAATTTACTACATTTGTAATGATATTCATAATTGCATATTTTATAATTACTTACTACATGTGAAGAAAATTGCTTATCATAATCTCTAAATGATACAATAATTGCTTCACCAGGTTCACTACTTGCTGCAAATTGTAATCTAGGGGCATCTTCCTTACGTCTATATAAAACTTCTGCAGATGTGAAATTGAAATAACCAAATTTGCGTGGCCTCACAACAACTGTGTGACTAACATTTGTGTAAGGTGGAACACGATCTATCCTTGCATTTATCTCTCCACTCACATGAGTGAAGTGATCAGGATGAAACGAATTATCTGTGATTTCAACTTCCAATGCAGCTGCATTGCCAACGTTATAAACTGTATACTGTGAAAAATAGATATTTTGTTATGAAAATATTAAATATAAATTAAAATCATACATAATGCAGTTAGGTAATTACCTTGATTACAATGTCCATATTTTCTACAAGATATTTGTTAAGAAGTTGTTTAGATATTAATAATCTTGCAGCCTCTTCTTCTTCTTCTGCATATGTGGTGAACAATAAAGCAGCAAAAGCTGCAAATATTAGGTACCACTTCATGCTGAAACATAACAGCATTTATTATTAAAAATACTATTGTTCATAAATATTATATAATTTATGAGAAAAACGATTACACTTGTAACTTATGTTACAAGAATATAATTATTAACACTACTTATAGTGATTATTATTGCTTAAATGCATTATGAAGTTTATTGATTTATATACAAATATAACATAATTTAGAAAATTTTATAAATAATACACATTTTATTCATAAAAACCTTTTAGTCAATAATATAAAAAAAATGAAATATTATCTTTCATTCATTCAAAGATATTTTAAATAAAAGCTATAGATTTCTTTACAAATATCTTATATTATATTTAAAAAAATTTTACAATTATATTTATAATTATGATTATATATATTTTAGTTACTTTTACATTGAATTTACCTTTTTATGCGACAGGACTTGTGTCACTTACGAAAACGAAACAATCACTACCGCATGAACTGGAGGATACATTTGAGAGAAGTGCCAACAACACATACTTTGATGCCACGTTTCGTTGAAGGAAAATATATTCGTACACGCTATTAACTTCCGGTAGCGGCTGTTTAATAAAACGGCGGTAAAACCAAATTGTTCTTATAATTAATACAAGGTAATAAATATAATAACATAGGGTGAAGGGCCACTCAATTAACTTATTATGTTACCTATTAACATCAATTATATCGATAATACTGAAATATGGAAGTAAGAGATGTTGGGGTTTTGAAAATTTAAGAATCCGAGTTTTTAGAAATTTGGGCTTTTAGAAATTAAAAAATTTCGAAATTTGTTCGGAATTAATTGTAATTAATTTTTACACAACGTAATTAAAATATCACATTATTAAATATCACTGTGGCAGTTTTAGTTCCATATCTTACCGTTATGCAGCGCAAACAATTGACAGTCAGTACTTCCAATTCCTAACAATAGATTACGCTATAAATGTCAACATTTGTGTGTGAAGTCAAATATTATTGTTGCATTTGAATAATTAAATAATTAACTCATTGATATTCTTTCACAGTACATTGTTGTAATGATTTTTTAGATTAAAAGCACCATGTTAAATACATTGAGTGTAATATTAAAGGTTACAGGTTAAAGATTATTAAAGGCTAAAGGTTATATTAAATGTTGAATTTATGTATCTTGAGATTTAACATATTTTGAACAATGGCTGCAAAAGTGTATCAATCAGATCAAGAACTGGAAACGAAGGTTAAGAAAGGTGAAAAATTAGGTGTATCTTATAATTGAGCATATTTCTATAATTATTGACATATTATTTTCTATCATTGTAGCAACTGAACGCATATCTGAAAATATGCACATAGTTGCAAATGAACCATCCCTTGCCTTTTATAGGCTACAGGAACATGTAAGAAAAGCATTGCCTCCTATGGTGGAAAAACGTGTTGAAGTACTTGCTCTTCAACAACAATTGTTAGGCAGATGTTACGATGTAGAATATGCTGTAAGCGCTATTAAAACAATGCATGGTGCTGGAAAAAGTTTTGAGAACACATTAGAATTTATAAAAAATGCAATATTCTTTAAGCAACAATTAAAATACGAAGAGCAACGTAGACACAAAAAGGACAGCAACAGAGATTCTGTATATAAGAGGCTATCTGCCCATATTCCCACCTTAGATCATTTACCAGATGAAATATCTGATGTCGTGAGAGAAACTGCTAATAGAGTAGAGTCTATGATGAATCATGCTAGACATTCTACTGAGATACAGAAAACAAATTGAATGCCTCTTTTATAATTTTTAATATTTTGAATTTATTGTACTAAATATGAAGATTACTCAAAATTTTGGTCTTTTATTGTCTTGGTAGATATAAATGTTAATTAAAAGATTCTCATAAAATGGGTGACTAGCTCAAGTGTAAATTTGCATGCCACCTTAATATTAATGACATGCCAATCAAAGAATTATAATACCAGAAAATATGCATTAAAAGTTGCTTTTATATATTTGTACTAAAAAACCTTAGTAACCATACTGTATCATTTATGTTAAAAACTTGATTTTGTATCCTAAAGGTACAATGATCATTGTAAAAAGTATCAAACTGTAAATAATTGCAATATGTAATAGTATAAAGAAGTATGTAATATGAAGTGTTAATTAGAATTGTTGAGGTGTTTCTGATATTGTAAAATATTGAAAACTTTCTATATATTTCAGGTATGTTGTATTACACTTGAAAGATAATTATTATTTAAAAAAAAATTGAAATAACGCTACAGTTCAAAAAGTGCTGTTTGTATATACAATAGAGTTAAATTACATAGATGTCGCTGTATTCGTATAAGTGAGTGCTGTGTATTGTCGCAAGAATTGATGTGCAGAATGTTGGTTAATATATGAAATTGTTATAAAAGAGACAAAATATGAATTGAGAATATGCCGATATTGACACAATAATGTTCGCTTCAAACTTGTTTTATTGTTAGAGAAGTTCTACGGTATGTTGATCATTGGATACTCTTGTTAGTTATAGGTTATTCCTGTTTGGTATTTGCATAATGCTGTCGAAATTTTAACTCATTTTATGTTTGATCGATCACTTTATTATGTAATCGTAATTGTTCTTAATAAATTCATTTTCGGATTATGACATTATCGAAAATTGTGTAAAATAGTAATTAATTAATATAATTTATATAAATTCGAATATTTTACTAATCTCGCATGGACGTTTTATGTGTTGTCCACATATAATCGAATTATTTAGAAAATTCCATATTATTTTAAGTTGATTGTAACAATAGCATAAAATTGCAATAATGAACAACAGATGTCAATGAGAAAATAAAATATTCTTATGTAATTATTTGACAAATACGATTTTCGTATGTATTATAATATATAACACATTTTTATACATTTATTAACAGTTTACAGGTCGAAAATTCAGCATTATCTGAATAAAAAATATTATTATCAATGAACAATTGTTTTTCTAAGTAGAAAGATTAAAATTGTCCATAATTTTATTTAAATATCCGATCGCTCGAATTTTGCAAATTGCCGTTAAAAAATGTTTAACATGATGCAATAAATTTAACATCGTTTTTAATTATCGTGCTATACGTGATTATAGATATTTTCGTTCGCTAATACGGAATTTCCAAGCAGATTCTACAGACGAAACAAATGAATATGCTACACGCGTTTCTCAAGAGAAACCACGCAAATACTTTGCGATTATAAAGTCATGGATGTCGTGTCTTGTATGGACTTCAAATTACTATTACTAAAAAGACAATTTCCCTAGTCGATGATAAACAAATATTTCAACTATTTATAAATATAATAATAGGTAAAAATCTACAATTATTTTCTATACTTTTATTTTTATTAAATCTACTTAGTACTTTTATATTATGTTATTTGCCTTTCAGATTTCATTGAAATCCTTTATTCCTCAGACGATCGACATCGGATCAATTATCACTCGCACCTACAAAATTATTTCATGATATTTCGATTATAGTTAAATATACCAATTTTTAAATAAAAGGGTTTAACATAAATTCGGTAAGATGGAAGATTAGAATAATATTCAATATAATATCAAATTTACATTGATGCAGTCGATCGTCCGAGGATTAGTAAAATCTTTCAAAAATATGGAAAATACAAAGCATCGAATATGATTAGCAAAATGAAACAAAGCAATTAAAAAATACATTTCACAACTGTAATCACGTAATAGAGTCAAAATTTGTATGAGATATGTTATTATATCGTGGCAAGGACAACGACTTCCCCGAATCAGAGTTCCTCTTCTCTTGTATTTAAAATAGTTCCGGGAATGGTGAACCGTGTTCGAAGCTGTCTGTAAAAAATTTCCATCTAAATATTTGTTGTTCATGCACACGCATGGCACCCATTTGGTAATCGCATGTATACGTGAACGATGAAAATCACTTGAGATATAAGTGTACTTTCATCTAAAGGCAACGCATATGTATCTCTTCGAGGAACGATGGCGTTTTCGTCGTTCTTAATTTAGTATTGTATATTTTTTTGGGATCGTTGTATATTTTTTCTCACAACAATTTAAATGATTAAAAAATATCATTCGTTTTGTTAATGCTTGTACAAATTGTGAAAACTGCATTGTTATCAACAACTATAACGGTTCACCGTTGTGCTACTTGCGAGTCGTATGTATTACATTTTACCGTTTCTCTATCGGGTCAGAATAATACGGTCGATGCTTAATGAACTTTTGTAAAACATTAAGATCATTTATATAAATGATTTTAAGTATTTCTCAGTCATCAATAAATATGTAATTAAGCTTAGAAAAATGTTATCTATAAAATGTATTATTGTTATTCAGTGCATGACACTGTTCTAAATAAATTTCATCGACATTGTTTTAACAGTAATTTGGAAATGCGTGGTTTGCGCGCATCTTGTCTTCCACGAACAGGAAGAAGATAGAGAGGGTAGTAATGCACGTCATTTAAATGACGTAAATTCGAAATTGAAATGTTTTATTTAGATTATGATCTCAATATTTGATTCATCTGTTCATTATAAAAAAGATTTTCTTTTTTTATTGTTATTAAACTTCACAGTTTCGAGTGATACTAATACCAGAGATAAACAGGTACACGTGTGTGGAGGGAAAAAGAGGGACGAAAACAGCCGAATCTAGTCGAAACAAGACGATCATTTTCTGAAGGGTCGATCGGACTGCTGGAGCGTGAGCGCAGTTGTTGGTCGGCAAGCGCCGTGCTGTCAGTATCGTTTCTGTTTAGTTCTTTCCTTTTTAAATTTGAGGTACCAATTTCTATTTCTTTCTGTGATTTTGAATCGTGGCAGCTAAGTCAAAAATTTATTTCTATTCAGAAAGAAAGATTTGGAACGCAAGTTATTGAGTACATTGATTGACAAGTATTATCTGATACATTGGTTACATTTTAAAGGTGTATCAGTTTGACACAGTCATGTAAATAGAAAGTCATATTATTCTTATCATACCATTTTCTGTACATCATTTGTCGAATGTTCAAAAGACAACGGGGAATAGCGATCACGTGATATATATGCGATACGTTACCACGTGTGCAATACGTCAAGAGGTCCATCGAATTGCTCCGTACACCTTAACGAGGTATGCTCGACTGCATTTATTATCATTAGATGTAAGTCATTAATAATTGAATTAATGTCAGTTCATGGCCTAACTAAAGAAAGTTCAATTTCTTTTGAAGTTACATCATTAATACATTTGTAATCTTTAAAATCGCGGAATTGATAACAGAGGATTTTACAATAACTCATAAATATATGTGATAATTTGTTGTGAGATAAAAATGAGCCAATACGGAAATGTTCATGGTAAATAAAAAATGTACACATTTCTAGGAATAATTAACATATATAATAAAAATGATAATTATGCAAATATCACACAAGAAAAAAGTGACCAGAGACTATTTTGCAATATAAATTTTTTAAATATACTTATACATATACGTTTAAGTTAAAAAATTCGTATATTTTGTTAGAAATGCAGTGTATGACGCGGACGAAGATATGCTCGTCGCGACAAAAAAGTTATTTACACCGAATACGAATTACATGTAACTTAAGTATTTACTTTCAAAGTGTTTACGTGATGCAGTGCCGCCATTAGCACCGAGCGTATGAGCCACTTGCTCCGTCTCCAGCAGTTAGAATGCTCCGTATTATATTGTTACATGTTACATTGCCACGTGATATATTGCCACGCAAAGTACTACGATGTATTGTCACTCATTATTATTACCATGCGTTGTATCGCCATTGATTGTAACTGTCATGTATTGCATTGCTACCCATTGTTATTTATACGCGTTCTATCGCCGAGCGTGATACTACTCATTATATTGCCACGCATTTCATTAACACACACTGTACTTGCTAATTTAATATCTAGATCCACAAACACGATGAAAAAGATAGCGGGAAGAACAACTTGAAATTTGTGTTTAATTAGGAGGTCCTATGGAAGAACGATAATGTATCCTTATTTTCGCCGCATAGTTTCTTGGCCATACTTTCTACTTATTTCATGAAAGAATAATGCTCTCCATGGCTTTCACGCTCTTTCTTATTTTCACTCCTTTATACAGAACACCACAGAAAGAGCAGACGATTACAGATAAACAAAAATTATAGTCGTGAAACTGAAGTTTTCATTATTTTATGTTCAAGATCTTGTAAGTCGGCTATTCTTAGTGCACCGCGATCCGAGGAAACCGAAAAGAAACATACAAAGAGTCGATACTTTATTTTTGATCGTGACCAGTTCGTGGGATTATTTATCAAATATAGGAATGTATAATTGTCGTTCGATGAATTCAAAATCTTTGATGCACAATTTGAATCACGTGTTAAAATTTCACAGTTTAACTTTTTTGTTTCTAGAATTGTAATGCGCTGCTGACTACATTTACACTAATATTCAATATATCGATGCAAATTTCTAATTGGATCTAATTAGAATATACTAATTTATGCTTGAAAACGATCGTAAAATAAGGCCATGATGAGATGCAAGATTCGTTTTGCAACCTCTTTGCCTTGTTTCTAGGAGCTTGACTCTCGATACACTCACAGTTCAAATGTGATAAATCTTAAATTTTGAATCTCACTCAAATTTTAAGTGTATTACAATTTAAATTGTAAATTAAATTATAATTTGCATAATTACTGAATATAAAAATGACTTGACTCTTAACTTCTCTCATTCGTTTTGCCATCGTAGCTGTGAGTAGTTCTGATTGTTGCACCTGACGAATGTGTGGTATGGTAAGGGGTTAACCGATTTACTCGTTGGTCAATTTCATTTCTGTAAAATATTTCTTCTCGCCGTGTCTCGATATTTATCACGTACAGGAAATTGTGAGACTTCGTAGCATTTCCTGAAACGTTTGACGCAGCTTTATTTGAATGACAATACTCCGTCAAAATAATGGAGTAACCGCTTTCAACGGTATTTTCATTGAAAGTAAGAAGAGGTCAGTGGTCAGTCGAGTATAGAAATGTTCTCATACGCTCTTGGAAAGTTACCGACCTTGACAGACATTTCATTCTTCCATCTTATGCCTCTCGATGAACTACTTTTTTTTTGTACATGAAATCATACACATAATTATATACATTCACGTAAATCGAAAGACACTTAGAACATTAATTTCTTGCTATCTAGGTACGCCCTTATCCTTGGAACTTGAGTGCGTTTCTGTCAGTTTTAAATGCTTGATGTCGGTCGAAGCTCATGGTGTAACACCAAAGAGCACAATCTATTTTTAGAATGTTTAAGATATATTGCCCATCGGTGATTTCGTTACCTTCACCTTTGCCTCGCATTACCTAAGTCTCTTTCAGCTCCACCAGTTAACCGGCAGAAAATAGTATTTCGATTTCGTTGAAAAAGATCGAATCTCATTATGAACGTGTCCGTATTGCATAATTGAAAGTATTATGACTATGTGGAACGTGATTATTAACATATAGGTGGAATGTAGTGCCGCAATAACTGGTCCTCCGTTCGCTTTCCCCAAAACCTATTCCTCATCATGTTTGATCAGCGTCCTCTTTTCTTTGAAGTGTAAGAGCCGCCATACTTTTCTACTAAATCCTTGCGTGTAATCCTTATTTCAATGAAATTTGGAGAAATGCTAAGTTTACGTTGTTAGTTGCATTGTAATATCCACGCATTGTTATCGTTGCGCGCAGAGTTATTACGCGTTATATCACGTACGGAAATCCACCGATACTTCCGCAATGTCAAAGAAGAAAGCTCGTTGTCCATCCCAATATACCACAAATTCCAAGAGAACATTCCGCACCTACAGTTTATGCCAATACAACGAGAGTCCTCCATTGGAATTTGATACTGATATTGATATTGGTGTTGAATTATCGACTCTACTATGGTGTTTGATGACTGTGTTGCAGGTTGTAAATAGGTATTATAAAAAGACGAGAAACATGCTGACGCGCTTGTTCGAGATCCACGGCCGGTTCTGTGCTGGCCATCCTCTCGAAGTGATCGTGACGACCTTCACGCTTACAGCATGCATCCTGAACATGGAGACCGGAAGCGTGCAGTCGCGGGATAGAGCACTTCCTGTGTCCTCGCATTGTCGACCTGGTCGATGTAATTCGGACGTAAGATTTCAAGAAATTTCATCTTATTTAGATTAATGATTGGTACTGATTAGCAGCGAGTTTGTAACAAATGTATCAGTCTTCGTTACTCGCTGCTGATCACTTGTTAATGTTGTTATTATACAATTGATTCTTTCTTAGGACCTAAATGCGGCGGATATTATAGTGATGACTATAATACGATGTCTAGCAATACTATTTACGTACCACCAGTTTCGTAATTTACAAAAATTGGGTTCCAAATATATATTAGGTAAGCGAGCTTGTTTAGTTTGAATCGGGGATGTTTAGAAATTACATGATAATTGTTGTACAAGAACCTTGAAAAATCAGATATCGGAAATGCAAGCTTGAAGTGCACAACGATTATGTATTGGTCGATTATTCATATAGCCGGATCTTCCGATGGTACGCGTGAAAGCTTTCAGTGTCAGTGAAAGTTTCATAGAAAGCGATAACGTTTTATTCTCATGATACGCAATCGACACTTAATTACTGTATTTACATAAATTTCTGTTAGAATGTCTATGTCGAACTAGACGTTCGTAACATCATGTTTATTTTATCTGAAATATGATACATTTATCGTCCGATGATCTTTCTTGGCTAATGATTATCTGATAACTTGTAACAAGTAACATTGTATAATACGTATATCAGAATAGCAATAATATTTTATCGTAATGTTTTATCAGGTATTGCAGGCCTATTTACAGTATTTTCCAGCGTTGTGTTCACGTCCAGCGTAGTGAATTTTGGTCGTAGTGATATCTCCGATTTGAAGTAAGTTTTCATTGAGCTAATAAATTATGTATACACGTAAAAGTTGTAAATATGCATAAAAGTGATTATATTACAGGGATGCGTTGTTCTTCTTCCTGCTAATCATTGACCTTTCGAAGGCCGCCATATTAGCGCAATTGGCTTTAAGCTCAAGAAACCAAGAGGAAGTGAGAGCAAATATTGCTCGTGGAATGTCGTTATTAGGACCAACTATTACATTAGATACTTTAGTAGCAACTCTACTTATTAGCATAGGATCTCTATCAGGGGTCAGGAGATTAGAGATACTGTGCAGTTTCGCTTGTCTTGGGGTCGTTGTTAACTATGTCGTTTTCATGACATTTTATCCTGCTTGTTTATCGCTCATCCTTGAGGTAATTTTTTATGTCCGTTTCGATTAATCGTAAACAGAATTGTAATTACTAATTTATATATATATATATATATATATATATATGCATGAGTCTGTGTATCATAAGTATTACATTAATAATGTTTTTCTAGTTGTCTCGTGGCAGTAACACCATAAAACCATTAAGTGCAGATAAGATATTCATGATGCATCCATTGAACGAAGAGGATCAAAAGCCAAATCCAGTAGTAGAACGCGTTAAATTAATCATGATGGCCGGCCTATTTGTGGTACATGCTAACAGGTATTATATTTTCGTAGTATTTCCTGCTTTTCATAATGTATGCGAGCAACGTTTTTTTCAATTGAAACGAACTTTATATATTATACATCAGATAACGCGTAACAATACGAAGATATACTAACAGAAAGTTATCACGAATCTGCCCCACACCAGTGTGTAGATTTCTTTTTTTACTCGAGTGTACTTCTTGTTTGGCAGTTTTCTTATTCTTAACTTCTACGGGTCAGGTTCAACTTATTACACAGTAATATAAGTGTACATTTAATTCATATTCAATGAATTTCACAAAAAGGAGATAGTATCGAGACAGAGGTTTGGGTTCCTTTAACCTTTAGTATACTATGTTAGGAAACAGTACGATGTACGCTCTTGTGTCGAGCTAAGAATGACAGTAATTATTCATTTCTTTATTGCTGAGTTCGAGATCCGTCAAGATGGAAGTAGAGGAAGTTCAAAGCATTAATTGATATAAAATTATTTGTTTGCTTCAGTCGTTGGCCATTTAAAACTGACGAAAGCGAACATACGGTAGAAGGCAAGGTGTCGCCGACAAATTCGCACATTCTTGCGAATTCATACAACAAGACAGAAAGCTCTTCAGAAGTGAAGGAGTACTTGATGAATTGGCTGTCAGTTAGCGCAGATAATATTGTAATACTGATCCTCCTCCTTGCGCTTGCGGTCAAATTTATTTTCTTCGAGGATAAAGGAGATATCGTTAAGCAGTTGCGATTCAAGGAAGAAGACGATACGGAGGATAAAGTTGAAAGTGATGCTATTAGTGAAAATATGAATACAGCTGCTATGAACATGTCATTACGTCAACGATTTGGAGAATCATTAACCCCAATGCGTTCAGCCATTTTTCCCTTGTCAGGCGTAGGTGGTGGTTGGGTTGAAGTTGAAAATGAATCTCAAATGGAGTTCATCGACAAGGAAGTGCAAACTGACGGAAAACAGTTCAGTGCAGATTCATTGAGCAACGAAAGCCTACCATTACAGTCAAAAGTTCCTAGATCGCTAGAAGAATGTCTCGAAATATATAAGTCTGAAGTAAATAAATTTATTACTAACATTTTATGAAAAACTCATAATACTTTGTTAACATGCCTGATATTTACAGCTTGGAGCAAGTGCATTAACAGACGATGAAGTCATACAATTAGTGAAAAACAAGCACATAGCTACTTATCAATTGGAAAAAGCAGTTGGTGACATGGAAAGAGGTGTTAGAATCAGACGTCTTTTAATTGGAGAAGCTGGAAAGTTCACTGAGAGTTTGACGGAATTACCGTATAAGGATTACGATTATAGTAAAGTACTAGGATCGTGTTGTGAAAACGTTATAGGATATGTACCAGTACCTCTTGGAATTGCTGGCCCGTTGTTGGTTGATGGTGAACTGTATCATGTACCGATGGCGACAACCGAAGGATGTTTGGTAGCATCGACAAATCGTGGTAGTAGAGCATTGTTAAAATGTGGCGTGACAAGTCGTGTAGTAGCTGATGGAATGACCAGAGGACCAGTTGTAAGATTTCCGAATATTGTTAGAGCTAGCGAAGCTATGGTATGGATGCAAGATGCAGAAAATTTTGAAGAAATGAAGAACAGTTTTGATTTAACTAGTCGATTTGCGAGATTGATTAAGATTCATGTGCGCATCGCTGGTAGACATCTTTTCATTCGTTTTGTGGCAACAACCGGTGATGCAATGGGAATGAACATGCTCTCTAAAGGTACAGAGAAATCGTTGAATTTGGTGAAGGAACACTTCCCTGATATGGAAATATTATCACTGAGCGGCAACTTTTGCGCCGATAAAAAACCAGCAGCAGTAAATTGGATTCAGGGTAGAGGTAAAAGTGTGGTTTGTGAAGCCATAGTACCTGCAGATGTTGTTACCAATGTGCTAAAAACATCGGTTCATGCTTTAGTCGATGTGAACATAAGCAAAAATATGATAGGTTCTGCTGTGGCTGGTAGTGTAGGTGGTTTTAACGCTCATGCGGCTAATATTGTTACGGCAATATTTATAGCTACTGGTCAGGACCCTGCACAGAATGTTGGTAGCAGTAATTGTATGACTTTGATGGAACCATGGGGAACAGATGGCTCAGATTTGTATGTATCTTGCACAATGCCCAGTATAGAAATAGGCACGATTGGAGGTGGAACTGGTCTTCCTGCTCAAGGCACATGTTTAGCTATGTTGGGTGTTAAAGGTCCACATGCTAACCAACCTGGTGAAAATGCAAGCAGGTTAGCTAGAATAGTATGTGCTACGGTGCTTGCTGGTGAACTTTCATTAATGGCAGCCCTTACAGCTGGTCATTTGGTCAAAAGTCACCTTAGGCATAACAGGTATGTTGATAAAAAATAATTGTTTAATAATATAACACAAAAAAGTTACACGTAATTTCCTTTTAGATCATCTACCACAGTGACAAATGCAATGACTGTTTCTGCAAGTAATATGGGGGATAAATTGACTGTGCCAAATGTTTTGCAACATGCAAAAAATGTTTGTAAAGAGTTTGTAGAGAAATCTTAGCATGAATCATGTATAAATAGCTTGAGCCATGTCTTCTTAATCTTTTAATAGAATTCCATGTACATGCTATTATACAACTGCTTAATCACAATGTTCCAAAGACCATTTTTTTTTTATATGGACATAGGAGAGTATGAACTATAAATCCAAACAAAAATAGAAGTAAAAATAATGAAACGGTTTTAATAATTTCAGTGAAAAAAAATGACAATTTCAAATCAGCTTTGACACGTTTACGATTTATATTATGTTTAAAGTATTGTATTTAACATGCAACGAAATGTGTATACTTAATTTACAAAGAATTATACAGTTGCTGTTGGTTGTATAGAATTAATATGATGCAAAAGTTTTTTTTGCATACACAGTCATAATTTTAGATAGTGCAATATTAATTTTTAGTTATAACAATTTAGTCAGTCAAGTTCTCATAATGTAGCAGTACAAAATTAATGTATTCAAAGACTGTACATTATGTAATATACAAAGTATAATACAATCAAATTCATGAATGCTTTTTCAAATTAAATAAAGTATATATATACACATATATTAATAACATATATATGTATATATACATATTAATAATACGTTTGTAAAATATTAATAATATGTATGTATAGGAATATTACCAATAAATTTTATCCGCGGATTGGGATAATCATGAGGGACTCAGAAGATGCTGAATCTTCTCAGAGCAATGTATATTTATTCATATATGTGTATATATTAAAGTACTAAAATAATATAAAACTTGTAAATTATATTTTCTGTTTATGTACGTTTAAGTAATAAGAAAAAATTTAGGTAAAATTATTAAAAATTAAATGCATTATGATATGTAAAATTTTATTAATACAAATCGAATTTTAATTGAAAACATTTCAGTAACAAAAAATATATAAAAATAAATTAATACGAAAACTAAAAGTTTCCCAGATTCTTGTACTTTTTGTATACATTTGGCAAATGGTGGAAAAATTCGAATACACCAGGAAAGACATACAATGGTAAAACACAGTCTAATAAATATCTAAATTAAGCTTATTACATTTTTTCATACGTTTCTTCATAACCACAAGAAATGCAAGTGTGTGTATATGTATCATCATCTTCATTATAGGTATCTTCCCCAAAATTGTGTGTATGGGATGCTTTTGTTGTTTTATCATACAGTGAACTTCTCACTTGCATTCGTAACTGTTTAATCTAAATAGTATAAAATTGATAAGATTTTATGGACAATATTTATATTTCAACATGAATAGGAAATTAAGATTTATATATAGTTGTTACCTTTTTATTAAATTTCTTAATTTTAGTTCCTTCTCTTTTAATATCACGAGATTCTTTTTCTTTCAATAAATTTTCTTCAGATCCCCATACCTCCAGAGCTCTTTGTTCTATTTGGAGGTGTAAATACAATTTCATTTCACCCCAATTTGAATTATGAGGATTTTTTCTAGTGATGCATTTCAATGGAGGTTCTCTTTTATCAAGATCACAGTCTTTTAATAAATACTCTTGTTTTGCTTCTGTTTTTGTAATTAAAGAATGTTTCCCACTTGAATCTCTGAAGTAATATAGTTGATAATAATCACATTATTTTCAAATAACTACTTTAAAGTAACAATTGTACCTGCACTTATCACATACTGGAAGATCAAACGTTTTCAAAAGATAAGAATCTTTAAATTCCTCTTGACATTCATCACAATGAGGTGAATCAACAATGATAGGAGCAGGATCAGTTGTTATTTTTAACTATAACAGAATGGGATGTTAGTTTGAAGATTAGCAAATTGTAAATTAAAACATTCTTTAAAACGAACCAATTGTTCTTCTAGATCATCATTTTCTTCTATGAGAAAGCCACCACCACTATCTATAACACGTTGTCCTTGGACTTTTAATGATCTACCTTTTATTGATTCTCCATTTTCACTGTAAAATGTTAAAAGAAATTAACTTCTGTGTATCTTTTAATTTACTACAACAGTAAAAAAAGCTTACAGTAATATACCTTGTTGCATAAGGATGAGTCAGAACTTTAGATTTCTTTAAAAGCAATGCTTTTTGACGATTTCGTTCTGCACGTTCTTTAAAATGTTGACTACTATCTACCAAATCATTGTTTTCACAAGAATCAAGCATTTCCATTGCAGTAGACATTTCCTGTATATCGTTAACCTCTTAGGAACGACTTTACGCGGGGTTGTTTCTCTGTTCGTCAGAGTTCGACGCGAATTGCGCGCAACCGATACAGCACTATTATTTTATAATAGACAATACTGTTCTCTATTCGATTACATTGGAATGAAGTTTTTGAGTATTAAATTGTCATTCTTTCTAAAGATATGATACATATACCTTAGCTTTGATAATTTACTTTAATAATTAATAATACAATTGAGTATGATATATTTTAAAACAGGGTACAACACATAGGCCCACGTCACACTCTTCACACTCATAGCGTGATCTTCTTCTTACATTGTTCTTTGCACATACAATACAATTTCGTAACGCCTTTTTAGGTTTTTCGCACTTACAGTGAGATGGAAAATGTCTTCCAGATAGTCTGAAGAAGTGATCAACGATAGATTTACTACAACTAACGTTACTGCTCATATTATCGAATTTTTTACAAATTTTTTAAAATAATCATTCAATTCAAACAGTGAACGAGTGAGTCAGCGAGTAAGCCCCGATAGTGTCGCGTTGTAATATGACATTTGCAAAAGCCACTATAGTGGCCCGTTGTACAGAGAGATAACATCTGCGAAAGCCACTATAGTGGCGCATCGGGCCTAAGAGGTTAATTATGCAATACCATGTAATATATTACTTTACAAAGTATTTTGAAAATTCTGAAAAGTTTATGTAACATATACTTATCAATTTACTGAAAAGGTTGCCATGAAAATATATAAAGTATCGGTTAATTATTTTATTGTTATATATCTATAAATGTGAATATACTCATTACTGAAAAATCATCCAATTTATATAACTTAATTTGAGTTGTCAATCTTACGATTTTTTCTACCAATCAGCAATGATCTACCCAATGCGCCATGTTTCAGGTTCAAAAATTTATTCTGAGCATTGTTCTGTAAAGTTTAAACGAAGCTAACTCAATTAGAACAAAAATGAAAGAAAACGTCAATAAACCTGTTATTCAGTGAGTATACAAAAATAAATAATAATATAAATTGGATAAATTGGATTTGATTATTCATATCAATAAAATTTATTCAAACTTTGAATCTTCAAAGTCAGGAGATTAAAAAAGTATAAATTTTTATTTTTGGCTAATAATATATTTTAATATATATCACATTTATATTTACAAATAACATATTATAACAAATATTCATAATATATACATCTTAATTTTAAAGTATTTGATATATATTCGAATTAAAAGCTTTAGACGGGTGTGGGCGAGCACCAGGAATTCAATTCGGAATAACATATCGGAAAAAGTCAGATGTTATCCAATACTCGAAATATCTTTCTACATAAGAACGTGAAAATTTCAGATTTTCAAATATTCATTTGTGTAAAGAAATTTGGGATTTCTGCCCAATTCCGTTTGAATTTTTCCAAACTCGACTCAGAATTCGGGTCCCGGCACATCCCTATTGTTTATTAATTACACGCGAGCGGAAGTTAACTATTTCCTTTCATAAATTATTCAACACGCATCACAGTTTTTATAAAAAAATAATAAGAGGAGGAATGAGGAATTATTTCTTTGTTAAACATTGATAACAAGTATCAAATGTGCATAAAGATGGCGGTATATCCTGCACTAATCTAATTATGCATAAAGCGTGAGCTATGTGTCGATTCTTTTTCAATTCTTGTATCAGAATATCTGTGTTTTCTTTTACGTTCTTCAGAGATCGATTCACAAGTACATGCTCAATGATTCGACCGAAAACTTCATGATTTGGATCGAAAGACGCCGTTAAATTTTTTAAAAATAGCATTTCTAATATTGATGGTGATAACGTCAATTCCTGCAACATACAATAATAAAAATAATATAAAATGAATTGAGGAATAAAGAAATATTTGATTATTTAAAAAAAATGTACTTTATATTTTTCTTTAAGAATTGTTACTGCTTCCTCATGTAATTCTGGATCGTTTGTATCTAACCTGATATGAATTGCGTGTTCAAGAGGAAGATCGTTCTTATGTAGAAATTCTTTAAGCACCTGTAACATATAAATTAAAACAATTAGTACTATGGAATAAACTGAATTATTGTCCTAATATGGTTACCTATGTTTTAATACGTACATGTGCTGAACATAATTTTTCTATTAATTCTTTATATTCTTGAAAAACTTGTTTATCCTTGTCTTTACCTTCTTCCTTTATGTATACATTAAGTATTTTCATCATTCGTAAGATCGGATGTTTGTCAATTTGTGTATATTCCGAATTTTCAAAGCTTGGCCATTGTAATAATATTCTTTTTACTTCGTAAAAATTATTAGAATTTCGTATTTTATTGAATACCTTTTCAAAAGCTTCAAAGCGATCTTCCTCTGTTGGGCATTTACCAATATCCTTGAACAGTGAAATACTATTATCTGTATTTAATTCTGGTTGAAGAATATGTGTTTTGTCCTCAATGTTTTCGACTATTTCTTCGTCAGAAAAATTGCCCCAGTCGTCTGTCCATTCTACATCATGGTTAACGCTGGACTCAGATAAATCTTGTTTTGAATCTGAATTTTGAATTGATATTTCTTGATTGTTTGATTCCGTTATAATCGAATTTGTATTCTGAATAAATTCATTATCAGATTCTCCTTTATTTGGATAGTCTTCCACTTTGTTGTAATCTTCAATTATTTGATGTGATTCTGATAACTGAATATCTTCTATTCCATGATTTTTAAATAAACGTGTTTGCCAGTATTTAAAACATTCATAAATCTCAGACTCTTTACACTTATGTGTTACGTTTATCACTTTCCATATTAAACTTAATGGACTAAATAAATATAGATTTTTAAAATCTTTATATAAACTTTTATGCAACTCCAAACAGTAATAATATATTGCAGTCTGAGTGTATAATTCCGTTTGAGGTAATTCCATTAAAACATTTTGCACCTCTTTCACATAATCTTTTTGTACACTAAATAAATAACATATACCTAACAACCAATCCTCTTGCATAGTATACTTCGCACATTCTAGAAATACTGAAATATAAAAATAATTATTATGTCACTAGTATTCGTATTTAACTTTTCATTAAACACTTACAATGATTAATATCACTCGTTTCCAATCCATAACAAGATGACTCGCTTAACATAGCTACTCTCAAAAAAGCACGGCAGCATTTTAGTCTAGTGTTTTGTATATCTGGCATTGAATAACTTGTATATTTACTTTCAAGATCACCAACTTTACATTTTTCATGTAAACGTTCATAAAAACATGGAAAACTTTGCACATTGTCATCATTTTCATGGTGTGCTGTGTTATCATATTCTATATTATTGCCTGAATTATTTGTGAAGTTAATTTTTAATCTAGATTTCCAAAAATTTGTATCACTTATATTCTTAATTAATCCGAACGTTGAATCTTTCATAATATTTGCAGAAGTTTTTACTATTTCAGTAGAAGCTTCTAATACTTTTGGAACGAATTCCTTTGTTTCTACCTGTGGCTGTAAATGACAAGTGATTTAAATATTTCTATTGTTTATTTTGTTAATGCATATATTTATATGTTACTTACAGTTGTTAATGCATCTATAAATTCATCTTCGCTATCAGCATCATTATAATCATCAGATTCATCAGGGGGTATCCACAATTCCAAATTTTTATGCAGCATTTGTATTTCTATTAAATGTATTTGATCTAATGCTTTACTCAACATTTCACTAGGTCCGTTGTTTATTGCAAACCACAGACATTTTTGTCTAGTTTTTAAATCTTCGTAATCTTCACAAAATCCTAAATCTAAAGCAACTGTCCAAGCAGGAATGTAATTGTTCTGCATTAATTGCTGACAAGTAGCAGCACAAACAGAAAAATCCTTAAGCTGAAAGATTATACCACAGACAATTTATAATGTTTGTTATTTACTTCAAAAGAACATTAAAACAAAGTTTTACCTGAAGTGCTTTCTTTGCTATTAATTCCAGAACTTTTCCTTCTCGTGATCTACTGTTGTTTTTCTCGATTCGTAGGTAACTTGCTAAAGTCAATAACCTTTGACGACTTTTGTGAGCATCCTCTCGACTATTTAAACAGTCCTCTATTAATTTTAATCTGTCTTGCATTAACCGGACTTGAAGTGGTAGAATATCAATGTTGAATTCATTTAAAATTTGAAGCGAATTAATAAGGTCGTATTCTTCTTTAATTTTGGGATTATCGTCTGCGATCAAATGAAGACACGTTCTGAAATGACATTATTTGTGACAATGAATATAAAAAAATAATGAGGAAAGATAAAGAATATAATCTCTCACCTAGCTAGTTCCATATTTACATCAGTAAGAGATTTTGAGCTATTAAAATATTCTTTGCTGGCATCTAAAATTAAATTTACTGCTCTTTCATAAGATACCCTCACCAAAGATTGTACACTTTTCTTAGTTTCAATCAAAACACCACAATTTTGAATGTTCGATTTAACTCCCGATACTAAACGTGCGGATACGCAGATTTCAAAACATGCTTCTATATCAACGCATGAGAAAATCAAACCATGAATTTCAAGCATTCCATTTAATAAATGAGCCCATTGTTTCTCGTCTGGAGGTGGAGTTCTTAAAATAAATATAAAAAGATTAAACGTCAAACTAGTTTAAACTTAATGTTTTAAAATGCCCTATTTACTTACAATTTGTTCAAACTTCTTGCCATTTCAACTAATAATTCTTTAGCAGCTTCAGGATTGCTTTTGTTTTTACGTAATGTACTTAAGGTGGTTTTAACTCCATATTGGTTTAAGATTTTTGTACATACAAGTTCTCTATCAAGTTCTTCGAGTAGTGTATATATCGCACTGTTTCTTTTCCCTTCACGGTCTTTAGCAATAGAATCTACAATATATGTTGCTTTTTCGTACATATTAGAATCATTGCAAGCGTATATACAGTCCAATGCTAGAGTGACAAGGTCTTCTATCATTTGAAGAATTTCATCATCACGAGTTAGCTTCAAATACTCAAAAAGTTTGACCGGTAGTTTTAGGTCATCTTTACTAATACATATTAAGTAGTCGCTGAACAGATGTCTTTGTAATTCTCCACCCTATAAAATTGGATAAATTATTAATTCTAGTACTTATAGTAAATGTTTTGCAAAATTTGTACGCTTACCAGATATTGATGTCTTCTTTTTATAAACGGCAGTAAAAAATTGTTGATATCATCGACGAAACTTCTTTCAGTAGTTTTGCTCATTAGTAACTTGATCTTTTCTAAATTGGACAATTTTTGCAATTGATCTAGAGATAAATCTTCTAGGTAAACTTTATAAATGAGATCATCTAAAGTTTCTAAATCTAGCAGAAGATTTTCTAGACCAGGAATGTTATGTGATTTAGCAATTTTTATTAGTTGCAAAGCATTATCAACTATGCAACTATGTCTTTCAATTTCATAAGCTCGCGATTCGTACCATTGTCGCAATAATTCTGGTGTCAGCAATGTATCTCTAGAAATACAGAAACATTAAAAGATGAAGCATGCATAGCTTACAGCGTTAAAAGAACGAGAAAGATATAAATTTACCTGTATACAGATAGTGATGGATCGTCTTCGTAAAGTACTTTTGATGTGTCATCATTTTCTAAATTAATTACTTCATGGAATTCAGTTTTTTCAGACCAGTCTTTCTGTCGCAATTCTCGTTGATCAAATAAAAACAATTGACCGTCGGTATCACATTCTGGTAAAAGCTTTTTATACTTCAACGGATTTAATGTTTCTGGGAAAAAACTAATAATTGCTAGCCAATGAGATAGCAAATTCTCACCATGATATGTAAACATAATTTCAACCCCTTGCCAGTCACCATTTTTTGCAAATCTGCTCTTAATGAAATAATAATACTAGTATAGAAGTATAAATCACTTTATGTTAGAAGTAATCTTTATTATTCTGTTATACCTAACTGCATTTTCAATTGTTGAAAGTTGTCGAAATTCTTCGTAAAATGTTTTATCATATTTTAATGAAGATCCCAGAATGATTTCATATGTAAGTAGTTTATCCAAATGATCTAGAAGTTTTCTTCTATATTTAATTAAGTCCTTTTGAGCTTCTGATAAATTTTTTATATCAACTTTTTCGAGTAGCTGATTTACTTTTTGTACCTGTTTTTATTTAGTATTAATGATTTTATTCTTTGATATTTACTTGAAATGTTTTTATACAAATCAGATAATATAATTTACTTGTCTTAAACTTATGGCAGCTTCATCCATATCATTCCAATCTTCATCTATATCGTCCATCATCATAAATTTTCCATCGTCGTAAGTTCCGATTGCTACTAATGTTTCTAAATTAGCACCTTTTAGTCCAAAATTTAATAATTCCCTTGCTGCTTCAATGGTATCTGGTACCCGCGTAATACATTCGTGTAGCACCCAAGATCTTTTTGATACTTTACTCAAATGTTCATGAATAGCATTCAAGGATAATTCAGATTTTCGCCATCGTGTCTGATACACCAAATCTGTATCTAAATTATACATATTTGCTAATACCAATGCTTCTTCATATTCCTACAATACAATTTGTAATTTAATTTAATGTATATTCACGTGGGCCTTATAATTCTTCATACCTCTATATCAATTTTTCGTGAATACAGTTCTTCAGGTGTTGTACTTTTAAGGCCAAGAATTCTATATGTTCTGAACAACACCCTTGACTTTTTTCTTTTAGGTTGAAACCTTTCAATGTCGGTTATAGAGTATAAGGTACTTTGCATTAAATTTGTAGTATAATTTAATATGCTAACTGGTTCTAATTCATCGTCATCTTCTTCTTCACTTTCTGACGAGACTTCTTAGAAATTAAATAATCCACATCATTTAAATTATTTATTTGATGTATTGAAAATATAAGCTATTGATAAAATGAGTGATATATTTCAAACCTGATATTTGACCCTCTGCATTAGACTCTCTAGTCCTTTTTTTACTTGTTATAAATGTTTCACAATCCAGACACAAAAATCCTCGTTCTGGACCAAGTTCACATATTTGTGGTTGCCCTGCTAAAAATTCGGGACTTGTTCCTAATAGATTTTTTAGGTTTTGTGTACAGCAAACAGAAGTTGATCCAGAATATCTTGCAATTATAATTGCCTTTGGGGATATAAATAAATTAGTATATAAAAAATTCTATTTTTAAGCATATATATTACTTCCAGAAATATTATATTACCTCCTCAGACCACCAGCCAATATCTAATGGATGAAATTCAGTTACATTTGGTGGAAATTTTTTTGATTTTGCAGGCCCTAATGGATTAGGTATATTAAAATCTGGTTGCTCTGACAACTTCCATTTTTTTTGTATCAATAAATTAGGTAAACTCCACAATGATATTGACCCATCAGTGTGTAAACATGTCAAAAATTTGCTATTTGGAGAGATTTTTATTTTAAATATGATTGATTCTGGTTGTAAATTCAATGTTGGAATAATATTCCATATAGAAAATTTAGACTTTATTTTTGATTCATCTTCAAAGCCAAAAGACAATTTGCAATATGGATAGTCATTTAAAGGACGCCATGATGTTAAACCACTTTCTGAAGCTGTTGACTAAAATATTATATTATTAATGGTGTTATATGTTTTTAGTTTATATGTATTTCAAAATTAATTACCATTAATCTTTGAGTGATTGTATTTCCAGCAACATAAAATAAGTGATGTTTTTCATCATAAGTAACAGCATTTATTCCGTTTTTATAAAAATTACCAAAAGAGAATTCATAATTGGCTTCAAACCCATTGGTTGGCGAAATATGGTACGATCTGAGTAAGCCACTGTATGTGATTAACATAAATTCATAAGACCATTTGTCTGATTTTGTTCTTGGTTTCAGAAATATCATAGAAACTATTGCATCGCCAGCTTCTAAGATATGAGGATTCTGAGAAATAGCTTTTGGATTAATATTAAAAACATTGTTTCCCAGAGCATTGTAAAAGGAAGTATGACCATTGCTAGATGCCAGTGCTAAAAGTGTTCCATCTGGACTCCATGAAACTTTTCGCCATTGAGGAAAAGCATCTTTTGGTACTAAAATAATAAAAGATTTTATGAAGAACATTAGTTTATGTATTTGATTTTTAGGTTTAAGAAAGTATTTATAATTTACCAGAAGCTTTCCCAACAATTGACGAGTACTCATCTTTTGCTTTCCGTATTTCTATTACAGTCTCTTGCAAGACTGCAAGTAATCGTCCACTGTCACTAATTGCAAACTTCCATGGCAACGTAAGACTGATCTGTTGAGATATGCTTTCTGGCAAAGAGTATCTGTTGTTTAAATATCTTAGAGCATTTTTTATTGTGCCAGTTGTTGGTAATATTACAGTGTCATTTTTGCATTTCTAGAAGGAAGATAATGTTACACATATGCTAGAGAATTGTCAGATACAAATCATATACCAATTCTTTCATGGTCTTAAACTTACTATTAGTTCTGGTTCTTGTTTCCGAACAAAATATTCTAACAATTCATAAAGTATTGGTTTATTTGATGCTTCGTTTGAATGAACCATTTTGTATCCAGAAACATAACCTAAGACGATTCAAACAGACCAAAAAGTGCTATCAGTCAGAATTTGACATGTCGCTAGTATAACGTCACGAATACTTTTTTACCTTATGTAAAAAATATATATACGTTAATTCAAGCAAAATTTATGTAACTATCTCAGTCACATAAATCTGAGTAGTTATTAAATAAATTGTACATGTACTTTACTGAAAATAAGTAAAAATGACAGAACCATATTGGCATGGTAAACCTGCAATGATGCGCGTTGCATAGGAGCACATGTATAACCTCATGCATACATGTGAATTTCAAAATACAAACGTTTTTGCCTGTGATTGTCAACAGGATAGTGTGAAATTTTTATTTTTAACATTCACCACCTTTGAGTATTTTCAAAATGTCAGATGGTGAAGATGATTTTATGTGCGAGGAAGAAGAAGATTATGGTCTCGTAAGTATTTGTCTTTTCGCGACAGAGTTATTGCTGCTTTAGGAAGTTGTCCACTTAAGGAATAGGTTAGAATTCTCATTTTGACATGTATGATATCTAAAAATAATTTGTTACATATTTTAAAACATTTAACTATTAAAATATGACGTGGTTGAGATTTCCTGTAATGTTGGAAAGGCAGTTGAGGTTGTGGAGTATCTTAATCATATTTAGGTTATATTGATGTACTTAAAATTTTCAGTTTTCCATTGCCTTTGCATTATAATCAATTATCTTGTACTAGATGCAATGTTGGAGTGATGTTATTTTAACAACAATTTTAGGAATACTCGGAAGATTCAAATTCTGAGCCTGATGTTGACTTAGAAAATCAATATTATAATAGCAAAGCGTTAAAGGAAGATGATCCAAAGGCAGCTCTACAAAGTTTTCAAAAAGTTTTGGACTTAGAAGGAGGCGAGAAGGGAGAATGGGGCTTCAAAGCTTTGAAGCAAATGATAAAAATTAATTTTAAATTGGTATGTTTGCAAGTTATTATTCTGTAGGTTTTATATACTTATATAATCATATTTTTGTAGGCTAATTATAAGGAAATGATGGTCAGGTACAAACAATTATTAACTTATATCAAAAGCGCAGTTACCAGAAACCATTCAGAAAAGTCTATAAATTCCATATTAGATTACATTAGTACATCAAAGAATGTGAGTAGTAACTGATTTTAGATTAATTTAAAATGAAAACTATATGAGCTCTTTATTAATTCAATATTTTTACAGATGGAATTGTTACAAGATTTTTATGAAACTACATTAGATGCATTAAAAGATGCTAAAAATGATAGGTTATGGTTTAAAACTAATACAAAATTGGGGAAGTTGTACTTTGATCGATCAGACTTTAATAAATTAGCCAAAATATTGAAACAACTTCATCAAAGTTGCCAGGTACATTGTGTTTACTATTTATTTAGTACAATATCAACATTAATTATTCTAAATATATAACATAATATTTAATTAGACCGATGATGGAGAGGATGATTTGAAAAAAGGAACACAACTCTTAGAAATTTATGCATTAGAGATACAAATGTACACTGCACAAAAGAACAATAAGAAATTAAAAACTTTATACGAACAAAGCTTACACATTAAAAGTGCTATACCACATCCATTAATAATGGGAGTGATTAGAGGTACAGTAGCATAGGTTAAGTTAGTAGAATTAGAAATTACATGAAGGTATCTTAATATCTTAAAGTAAAATAGTATTGTCTATGTGTAAAAGAGTGTGGAGGCAAAATGCACTTGAGAGAGGGGGAATTTGAAAAAGCGCACACTGATTTCTTTGAAGCTTTTAAAAATTATGATGAGTCTGGATCACCAAGGCGAACTACATGTTTGAAATATTTAGTTCTAGCAAATATGTAAGTAGAAACTAGATAAGTAAAGTAACACGAGCTGCAATGACAATATAAAACATTTTATAATTAAAAATAATAGGCTAATGAAATCTGGTATAAATCCATTTGATTCCCAAGAAGCAAAACCATATAAAAATGATCCAGAGATTTTAGCTATGACAAATCTAGTGGTCAGTTATCAAAATAATGATATTAATCAATTTGAACTAATTTTAAAACAAAATAGGAATAATATAATGGATGATCCTTTTATAAGAGAGCACATTGAAGATTTGCTACGGAACATACGTACTCAGGTATGATCAGTACATATACAGTGCATTCTAATTTTTCTAAACAACCAGCATAACGTTCGTATAATTTTAGGTGTTGATTAAACTAATAAAACCATACACTAGAATTTATATTCCGTTCATAAGCAAAGAATTAAATATCGACGTGTCGGAGGTTGAAAGCCTGTTAGTGTCTTGCATTTTGGATAATACTATTCGAGGTCGTATCGATCAGGTAATACAACAAATTGCGTATCAATATCTAAAAACATTACGTTTTCGTATTCTTGTACACGACTCTATATTATTACCAGGTGAACCAAGTTCTAGAATTGGATAAAAAGTCAGTATGCGCAGCGCGTTACTATGCTCTCGATAAGTGGACGAGTCAGTTGCATTCTTTGCATTTAGCCATAGTAAATAAAATGTCGTAAGGAGTATGGTGTGCGTGATGCAAAATAAAAACGATTTCTAAACATATTGTATAGTATATCATAAATGCCTGTCTTCTACTATCTGAGAAATAAAATCTGTTGTGATATAATAATAAAGTTAGAATTTTAATACGATACGTTTACTACACCTTTTCATTCCACTTTGTCAAGTTAACTTTCATTTTACAACGACGCGTATGACCGTAGTAACTCTAAATACAATTGATCGTTAAATGTCATTTGCCTAATCGAACAATCGACAATTATATTAGTGAAAGGTGTCGATCAATTCTTGGAACGTTAAACTTCGTTACGTCCAATTAACGAAGTTCTATTCATCTTCCCTAATTTCCATGCAAGTTCGATACATAGAGCAATTGAACACCCTACTGAAGGATGTGCTTCAACAGAAGGATGACGGAACGTGCCGTCTCAGTGGAATGGCACGGCTGGTTTTAGCTCCGTTTCAAGCATTGTTATTCAGTCTACGTTCGCGCCTATGTAAATGTTGGTTAACCCCAGGCAGGATGGGCGGCAGGGTCCCTAGGCTCGTCCTACATCCTCCCCGTTACGGGATAGTATAATCCTCTCGTTCTCGAACATGTTCATCCTCATCCTCGCCACGTTTAAGGTGGCAGCTTGCAAAGCTACGGAAACTCGCTTTGCTAGAAAATCAATTTCCCAAGTAAAATCACCGGTAAATCCGATAAGTCCCTGTTTTCTGTTTTTGATTTAACCCTTCCTCGGATTATGAGGGTCGCTGCACTCCGACGAAATTACATCTTTAATGTGCGTTGGTACAATTATCCAAAAATTTATGTAATCCTTTATCACGCGATGTAACGCGAGGCTGTGCAACGAAACTGTACAACACGTTGAAATATAACGACGCTATGCAACCGAGGAAAATTTTAATACGAAGGTTTATCAGATTGTTGGATATTGTCAGTTCGAAGTCGAGAAATCGTTGATAGAAGTACTCTATCCTAGGTTTCTGTGTATTTTGGCATTAAGGTTCCACGAGTCGTGGTTTCAGCTGCAGTCGGCGTGATTAGCGGGCACGCGAGTACACGCGTGAAACGACGTCGACGATAACGACTATGACGACGGTGCAACCCCAACGTTAATTGGCACTTGCAATCAAAGCAGAGCTCGAAATACCCGCCGGTATTCACGCAGCTCCTCTGCAGACTTTGAAATGAAATTTTCCTCGAAATTTCTCCTCGCACGAACAGATAGGAGCTGCGAACTCGTACGGTGGATTGGAATTGACCACTATGTATCTTGCATCATTCGTTTCGTCAAGCATTATCACTCGAAAACTTCATCGTAACTAATGAATAAAGTTTGCTTAAAAATTTGTATGTCTAATTTTAATTAAACATATTAGATTTAGTCTTCTTTAGCTTTTACTCTAGGTAAGAGACCTCCGGAAACTGTCCTTTAAAAGGACTATCCACAGTTGACTTGATCTCCCGAGAAAAGTTTTCCAAGTGATCAATTCAATTTTCCAATTCGTCTTGTCCAATTCTGGCCGGTGTTGCCTGAAAGCCAGCCAGCAAAAGTTGCGCGTTTCTTAGAAAACGACTTTGTCGTCGAAACCGGGAAAAACTGTCCCCGAGACACCCTTGGTTATTGCATTACGATAGTTGTCAAAGATAAACTTTGCAGTTCATTAATCCTACTACTACATACGTTAGAATTCTAACTTGTCATACACAGATCAAAATAAATTCATATTTTTTAATATCGCCAAACTTATTAGGTAAGTTTAAATACTTAAAAGCAACAGAAGTGTCCACGAGCGAGCAACATGTCCGCACAGCGGATACAAAGCGAGTTAAGTTGTACAAGATAGATGGTCCAACCGGTGGTCCTCTCTCACCCCGAGCATTTCACTCGCACTTATGATATATGGCGAGCCCGCTAAAAACTGGCAGATGTGTTTCCCCGTTTCTCGTCTCTTTCCATTCTGAGTTACGAGGATCGTCTACTAGCTGGTGGGCCACCCTTAGCACAACCGGATAAATCGACGCGAGGCGCGAACAATACTTGAGAGATTATACGCTCGGCCGACGCGTAGCATCGTGACGCCTAGCTGAAAAACATGGCTGTATTCCTTGTCCCTATGATATATGGTCCCATGCGAATTGTCGTTCGCGATCGTTCTTTGCCGTGGTTTGTTTCTTGGGGGCGCCATTGGAAAAAATTACTCGCGGGACAAGTTCCTAGCACGTTGATCTAACGCCGCTATCTTGTCTTTCGTTTATCTTCCGACGCAGACTGAGCAGGAAAAATCTTCCTGATAGGATAAATGATGAGATAGTATGTTTCTCGGAACGCTGGACACGTCGCGCAATTAATAAGTTTTCAAGTTTCCTACCGTCGAACTTTTATTTTGCAACGTTTTCGCTTCTTCTAAATTAGGATACAACGTCGGGAAATTTCCAAGGGTTGTTAGACGTCTCGGTGTACCTCTTTGGATTAACGAGAAATCATGGGTCCGTTTAAGTCGTAATGAAACCCGCTATCATCCTTATTTTCTATTTTTTTTCTCCCTCTTTAATTCGAACATCACGTCTGTTGCAGGTTCATGTTGCAGCGTACACGAGGGATATAGTTCTCGTGCAGTTGCGAGTAGATTTTAGCCTTTGAGGAGAGTTAATTTAAGCGAAAACTCCATTTTCAGTGTCTCTTCCGTTGGAGGATGCCTTACGGGGTCTACGTTGCATGCCCGTGAAAAGGAAAAATACGATTTCTTCCAGCTTTTTATATCTCCTCGCCTTTCGCATAACTACCTGTCAACGAGATGGTTGCCAGAATGTTTTCCTTTCGTGCGATTTTCGAGGATCTTCGAGTAGGTTTTGCGGCTGAATCGATCGTCGGACGCGCGGGATTAATTACGTTAATGAATCGTTCGAAGGAGCTCAGAAGAGGAACGAGGACTATTATCGAGTCGGTCGTCGTTGGTCGAATGGGAAACGATTCTTCTGTTTCAACGTTTGTTAAGGAGGAGATAGAAGACTTCATCGGGACTTCATTTGTCTCGTGTGATCCTTGCGGAGTAGTCCGGCTTTAAGTTGAAAGCCAAATACAGAGGGTGTGAATTGACCGGAAGGAGGACCGAGGTGTCCGTTCACTCAGTTTCTAGGTGGTTATTTTTCAGTTCGTGGTTAAGACCGCGCATTAAGTGCGACGGTCGAGGTAAGCATGAAACGATTCGAGTTAATTTTCACGTCGTGACTTTTTCCCGTGTTTCGCGACCACTGTGCTGAGACAGCATGTTAACGACATTGTGTTCAACTTTTGGTTTGCATCGTGTACAAGAAGTTTACCTCTTTAAACAAATTCTATATAATTGTACTGTAATTAATACGAAACTCCATATAAAATTTACTTCTGAACATTTCTGAGATACAAGATTGTTTCTCGGAGAAGATGGAGTCCTCGTTTAAGAATTAGAAATTAACAGGCAGATTTTATACAGCAACCTAATATTTAGCGAAAACAGAACAGAGGGTGAATAGTGAATTGGAATGCATTCGTTTGTCGGTTAGACGACCTTTTCGGGATAGTTTTGACGAGGTTCGTGGACCGGTTCGATCGCGATAGAAGAAGTTTGTTTGCCAAAGGGGAACGAGGTGGCGCGAGTTAAACGTATTCCGTATTCGGGATTCCATGAAAATGTACGAGCATCGAGATCAGAAATTTTAATCTGAGGAGAAGGGGTCAGGAAAGGTGGAGAGATCGAACGAGCGTGGAATTAATCGGTCCGTGAACGTGTGTAAGCTGGATAAAAGGGCTTCGCCATATTGGTAAATTGAGAAGTTCTCCCCGGGATCTACCCGTATCCGCAACATTTACATTTTATGATATTTGTCGAGACCTTCGACCCTTGTTGCCGGCCAGGGTAGACGTTTCTTAAGCCAAACCATCCCTTCGTTCTCACACAAATATTCTGCCTAAGACGTTTCTCCGTCTTCTCCTTTTTTTCGCCGTACCCGTTGTGTGTATTACTCGTATGATATACGCGACAGAAAGGAAAAAGAAAAGAGAAAACAAACGCTCATTACCGGGATAAAGGGAAGAACTTCGGTATAGCTTTAAAATCCGCTTTCGAGACGTTTCGCTTCATTTTTCTCCCTTTTTCGGCCGGCACCTGCTCAAGATAAATTTTATTTATCGCCCCCATTTGGCAGAGCATTTGTAACGGGCTCTATTTTGCAAAAATAGCCAGAATTAATAGTTTCGAACAGCCTTATTTAAGGGAAATAATAAAAAAATGCTAAATTAAGATGGAATAAAGTAACGAGAGGCATCTTCGAGCTACCATCGTCTAATACGTTCTTTATCAGCTTGTAATTATCCAGCATTATCGGATACTAACGAAGAAACCTCTGTCCGTGACTGCAATTTGTCAGAAAAAACAATTTGTAATAACAGTTGCGATCGTAGTTCGATAATTAACGAAGAAAATAGAGGGAAGAACGTATCGTTTCCATCGATGCAATGCTTTTTGTCTCTTTTAATTCGCGCGACAATTAACAGCGTCACCGATTGAAAAACGAACAAAAAAAAAAGATCCCGGTGCTTGTACCGCGATTTCTTTTTTTTCCTTTCGTCGATTTCGGTAACGGTATTTCAACAACGACCGCGCATCCCCATTAATTCCAAAATAATTACGCGCACGCGTTTGCGTACGATACCGTGGCGGTCGTTATTGTTCCACTGATATCTGGATCGCATAAATACCGGTATCCGTTGCATTCATTCGACCCGTTATCGTTGTAACGGCGAACATTTATTACACAGCTGACCGAAAGGGCCGGCCGACCATTCACGTTGTTAATTCCATAATAGAACGGCAACGATACTGCCGCCGATAGAACAACTGCTTCCCCGTGAAAAAACCTTGTTACAAGACCCTTTTTAAGATCGTCCTCGATGGCGGGGAACCGAGAGGAAGGGTAACGAGATTTTGACCCAACGATATCCAATTACGTCCTCCTATAAAATCAGAATTAACGTTTCATTCAGACGGACA